GGAAGCCAAGAGTTAACGGGAATCTTAGGGGAGATAGGAGGCTTCAGGAGACTCCGCCCATGGGTTGTTTGTTTTTAACATTTTATTGCTTTCAGAGAGGAAGGGAGAGGGAGAGAGAGATGGAGACATCAATGATGAGAGAGAATCATTGATCGGCTGCCTCCTGCACACCCCCTCCTGGGGATCGAGCCCGAACCCCCCTGGACCTTCAGTCCGCAGGCCTTCGCTCAGCCAGCCAGGGCCCTTCCAGTGCTGACATCCGCTCCTGTGCAGAGCTCTCCGCTCTCCTACCCTGAGGACAACTGCCATGAGGGGGGACTGGAGAGGTTCAGGACCCAGCCAAGGCTACGGGATATTCTCTGGTTTCCCTGCCTGGAGGGAACCTGCAGTCTTCGGCAGGGGCAGGGGCAGGAGCAGGGGCAGGGGCAGGGGCAGGGGCAGGGGCAGGGGCAGGGGCAGGGGCAGGGGTAGGGGCAGGGCCAGGGGCAGGGGCAGGGGCAGGGGCAGGGGTAGGGGCAGGGGCAGGAGCAGGGGCAGGGGCAGGGGCAGGGGCAGGGGCAGGGCCAGGGGCAGGGGCAGGGGCAGGGGCAGGGGTAGGAGCAGGGGCAGGAGCAGGGGCAGGGGCAGGGGCAGGGGCAGGGCCAGGGGCAGGGGCAGGGGTAAGGGAAGGGGCTGGCAGCCCCCTTGCCTGGTCCATGCTGGGAAGCCATGTGCACTGCTTGCTGCTGCTGCTTCTCAGCTTCATCCCATCTTCCTCACCCCCCTCCTTCCCCCAGTCCCACAGGTGCCTGGGGGCTGCAGTCCCAGCACATGGTGTCGATCAGCTTTCCCCATGGCTGGTCCAGGTGGCTAAATCCGTTTTCATGAGTCTGACCCCTCATTCCAGCTTCTAGTATCTCGTCTTCTTTTCTATAATTTCTGTTCTAGGATGACGGGGTCTTAAAAAAGAAATCCCTGTCCTGAAATTCTAGTGTTGCTTTGGGTTGGAGTAAAATTAGATACTTGCATGTAATTCCATCATGTCAACCTGGAAACGAATACTATATGTCCTGCTGAGCATCTCCCCTACGAGAATGTAGGTTTTCTGTAGAATGACGGCAGGGATCTGTTCGGTTCGTTTCACACTTCCAACACCTCGATAGCGACCGGAACATAACACAATAATGACTGACCTGGAACGAGGGACATGACTGCATCCACAAAGGCACTTGAGAAATGACGACATAGCACGTGCAGAATTACGCAGGGCCTAATACTGAGTTTTAACTATTTTGGACCATCTGTTGCCATGAAGAATATTACAGACACCCAAAGCCAAACTTGGAGAAGTTTTAAATGAACCTGTTTTAAATTAAAGCTAATTTCCACATGTGGGTTGTACATTAATTTTGTTATTTTATAACTAGGAGCCCACCCTCGAGTTGCCTGTCTGGCCCTGCCTTGCTCCCTGAGCCCACAGCAGCTGTGGCCACTGCCAGTCTCGTCCTGCCTCCTCCTCCGGCCCTTGAAGCAGCCCTGGCCGCTGATAATCAGGCCCTGCCCCAGTGCCAGTGTGCGGAGGCCCCTGTCACCCCACTTCTGACACTGTGCATGCAACCTCCTCCTGCCCAGTGGACCCGTTATGGCATCCTGGTTAATTAGCATATTTCTCTGTTATATATAGATAGATAACAATCCAATCTCTTACATTAGGGGTGTCGAACTCAATCAGAGAAGGGGCCAAAATCTAAAATCCAGCCTAAATCGTGGGCCGAATGGTTTACTGAACAGTCATAAACTGTCATTGTGATGGAAATGCAGCAGAGTGCAGTGATGACAGCGCGGTGCGGGCCACATTGCAAGGCCTGGCAGGACAGATTTGGCCCGCGGGCCTTGTGTTTGACACATGTGTCTTACATGGTAGACGTTCATTTGATCAATCTAGAGAAATAATAATCTGAATGTGGCTGTGCTCAAGACATGTTCTGTTCAAATACAGTCCATCCTCAAGGCAGTCTGTAACCCAGCCAGCCGTTCTCTCTGGATCTAAACCCGGAGCAACCCACCTGCCTGGCTCACCGGCGTCACATCTGAGGGCTCTAACTTCCAGGACTTGTTCTCTGTGGAAAATGCTATTCTTTTCCTCCATCCAGACCCATCTTCCAACGCTCATCCCGCAGGGGAAAGCCCTTTTATTAGTGTGGGTACAGTTTTTTGCCTCATGGTAAGCACTATATTTGTACCCCACTCACCAGTGGCCGGGTATCCTGGCAACCAGGTCGCTATCTGGTCCATTTACTCTCCGGCCGGAACGCGCAGGCAGCATCACGTGTTTGTGCACTTGAATTAAACTATTGACCGGAGGCCCACACTTTTATTTGCTTCTGTCCTAAGGACATGAGGGTAATTGAACTTAGTGGTTTAGGTTTGTCGCAGATGTAATGGAAATGTTTATTGGCTCTTGACATTTTAACTCCTTCTCAAGGGAGATCTTTATTGTCCTCTGCCCTGAAAGGATGTTTATTGTGAAATTATTACAAGGCACAAAAGCTTAAAAAAAACTTGTGGCCCTGACCGATGTGGCTCAGTGGATAGAGCATCAGTCTGCGGACTGAAAGGTCCCGGGTTCTATTCCAGTCAAGGGCATGTACCTTGGTTGTGGGGGGGTGTGCAGGAGGCAGCTGATCGATGCTTCTCTCTCATTGATGTTTCTAACTCGCTCTCCCTCTCCCTTCCTCTCTCTAAAAAATCAATAAAATATTTTTTTAAAAATTTGTCGAGAAAATATCTGATTTCAAAAAACCACTACAGCCCTAGCTGGTTTGGCTCAGTCAATAGGACTGGGGACTGAAGGGTCCCAGGTTCGATTCCAGTCAAGGGCACATACCTAGTTATGGGCTCGATTGATCCCCAGTAGGGGGTGTGCATGAGGTAGTCAATCAACGATTCTCTCTCATCATTGATGTTTCTATCTCTCCCTCTCCCTTTCTGAAATCAATAATAATATATATTTTTTTAAAAATACACCAAACTATTGGCACTTGAACAGTCTGCTAACAGCATATTATCTCCAGCACTTGGTACAAAGTGACAAGAGAAAAACATTCTCCCCTACTGAGATGTTCTGAATTAAGTTAAGGAGGGTCTGGCTGGGGTGTGGCTCAGTGACTGAGCATTGACCTATGAACCAGGAGGTCACTGTTGGATTTCCCAGCAGGTTCCCAGTGTGGGGCGTGCCGGAGGCAGCCAGTCAATAATTTTCTCTCATCATTGATGTTTCTTTCTCTCTTCTCCCCCTTTCCCTTCCTCTTTGAAATCAATAAAAACGTATTTTAAAAAAATTACGGAGAGCTGAGTGAAAGGGACAGACAGCCTGTTGATAGTTGGCACCAGCTAACTAGACTGGCCCCATTCTTGAGTGTCGGTGGGCACTGTGGACGGACTACGGGTGGCTATCTCCGCCATATCCAAAGAGGGAACAGCCAGATGCCATCCAACCCTGGGAGCTCCCTCTTTTGTTTCCATGTGAACTTTCTAGACTGGCGCCTATTGTCCATCCCAGTGGTCGGCAAACTGTGGCTCTCGAGCTACATGCGGCTCTTTGGCCCCTTGAGTTTTTAGCAAAGGCCAGCTTAGAAGTACCCTAATTAAGTTAATAAAAATGTACCAAAAATGTACCTACCTATATAGTTTAAGTTTAAAAAATTGGCTCTCCAAAGAAATTTCAATCGTTGTACTGTTGATAGTTGGCTCTGTGGACCAATGAGTTTGCCGACCACTGGCCAATCCCAAAGAGCAAACACTTTCTGCGGATGCTGCACCTGTCCTACCCGGTGCAAATTCCTTAAAAATTTTTTAAAATTAATTTCAGAGAGGAAAGGAGAAGAGAAAGAGAGAGACACCAAAGTGAGAGAGCATCATTGTCCGGCTGCGTCCTCCCGCAGCACCGGGATCCGGCCCACACCCTGGGCACTGCCCCGGGGCCTGACCGGAACAGGCCGCGACCTCCTGGTTCACACCCCTGAGCCGCCTGCCAGGCCCAGGTCAGTGCTTCCTCAACCTTCATCTTCCTTCCAAAAACTGTTTCCGGAAAAGGGCCAGACCCCTCCCGGGCTGCCCGGGGCCCGTGGCCTGTCCCTCCGGGCGCCCTGCACGTGCTCAGACTCCAGGCCGGGCCTGGTCTTCCTTTCCCGCCGGAAACGGCCGCAGCCGCGCTGGTCCCAGACGGTCGGCCGCGGACGTAACGTTTCTGTGCAGCAGAAGCAGAGGACCGTAAGGTGCTCAGCGCGTTAGCAATCATCGAAAACTACACGCAAGGGGCACGTGCAGCACACTTTTGGGTGAATGAACCTATAATGGTGCGATGGACGGTCTTCATGGACTTGGGTTCCGAATTTTCTAGAAGGTGTCGTCGTCATCACTGAAGTTACTGTTAACACACAGGAAGGGCAAATCGAAGCCCTTCTGCAGGCCTCGCATAGGTTTGGGTCGGGGACACAGAGACCGCTCACCCCGCCCCATCCAGGCCTTCCGGGGCGGGGCACCCCCAGGCCTCAGCGCGCAAAGATGGCGGCCTGCGCGCCCCGCCCTCCGCCCCTGGCGCTCGGCCGGGCCCGAGCGCTCCCGAGCGAATCCGAGCGTCCTCGGCCAGGCCCGAGCGCCCCTGAACGCCCTCGGCCGGGCCCGAGCGCCCCCGAATGCTCCCGATTGTCCTCGGCCGGGCCCGAGCGCCCCCGAATGCCCCCGAGCGCCCTCGGCAGTGCCCGAGCGCCCCCAATTGCGCCCGAGCGTCCTCGGCCGGGCCCGAGCGCCCCCGAATGCCCCCGATTGTCCTCGGCCGGGCCCGAGCGCCCCCGAACGCCCCCGATTGTCCTCGGCCGGACCCGAGCGCCCCCGAACGCCCCCGAGCGCGCCCGAAGCCTCCGGGAGCTCGGGAGCGCGCGGGCGGGAACGCCCCGCCCCTCGCTGGGAGCGCCGGCGCCGGCGCGGGGAGGGACGGCCGGATATGAGTGGAGCGGCCATTTCCTGTTTCTCTGCAGTTTTCCCCAGCTTTGGGTGGTGGCCGCCGCTGGGCTTCGGCTTCGCGTTGGAGGAGGGCGAGGCGGCGTGGACAGCGGCCCCGGCACCCCGCGCCCCGCCGCCTGCAGCCGCGCGCCCGCCCGCCCGCCGCGCGCCGCGCCCGCCGCTTCCCTCCTCGCTCCCCGGCCGCCGCCGCCGCGGCCCCCCGAGCGGCCCAGATGCAGGCCATCAAGTGTGTGGTGGTGGGCGACGGGTGAGTGCTGGCCGGCGGGTGGGAGCGGGCGCGGCGGGGCCTGGGCTCCGGCCTCGGGGCGCGGGCCGCCTCCCCTGCCGGGACCCCGGGCGCGGGCCTGGTTGCGGCCCGTCCTCTCCCGTCGGTGGGGGAGGGATGGCGGCCGCGGCCGGAGGGAAGAGCGGGCTCCGCCCTCCGCTTTCCCCGCGCCGCTGCCCGCCCGGCGCACCGCCGGCGGCGCCCCCACCGCCCCGCGGGCTGCGGCCGGGGCGTGGGCCGGTGGCCGCCCCTGAAACGGCCCCGGGGCCGCTGCCCCCGAACCCGGGCCTCCGGGGCGCCGTCCCCGCCAGCGGTCGCCCCGGGAGTAACCGGGCTGGTGGGGGCCTGCCCTGATTTACCGGGCGCCGCTTCCGCCGCCTCCGGATGTGAGAAATGACTGCCCTGCTCTCCGCGGGGAAACTTTCCGGGTCCGATCGGCGAGGAGCGGGTGTGATAAACGGTTTGTCTGGGTTTGTGTGTGTGTGTTCTGGGTTTGTGTGTGTGCTGGGTTTGTGTGTGTGTGTGCTGGGTTTGTGTGTGTGTGTTCTGGGTTTGTGTGTGTGCTGGGTTTGTGTGTGTGTGTTCTAGGTTTGCGTGTGTTCTGGGTTTGTGTGTGTGCTGGGTTTGTGTGTGTGTGCTGGGTTTGCGTGTGTGTGTGCTGGGTTTGCGTGTGTGTGTTCTGGGTTTGCGTGTGTGTGTGCTGGGTTTGTGTGTGTGCTGGATTTGTGTGTGTGCTGGGTTTGTGTGTGTGTGTTCTGGGTTTGTGTGTGTGCTGGATTTGTGTGTGTGCTGGGTTTGTGTGTGTGTGTGCTGGGTTTGTGTGTGTGCTGGATTTGTGTGTGTGCTGGGTTTGTGTGTGTGTGTTCTGGGTTTGTGTGTGTGCTGGGTTTGTGTGTGTGCTGGGTTTGTGTGTGTGTGCTGGGTTTGCGTGTGTGTGTTCTGGGTTTGCGTGTGTGTGTGCTGGGTTTGTGTGTGTGTGTGCTGGATTTGTGTGTGTGCTGGGTTTGTGTGTGTGTGTTCTGGGTTTGTGTGTGTGCTGGGTTTGTGTGTGTGCTGGGTTTGTGTGTGTGTGTGCTGGGTTTGTGTGTGTGTGTGCTGGGTTTGTGTGTGTGTGTTCTGGGTGTGTGTGTGTGTGCTGGGTTTGTGTGTGTGTGTGCTGGGTTTGTGTGTGTGTGTTCTGGGTTTGTGTGTGTGTGTGCTGGGTTTGTGTGTGTGTGCTGGGTTTGTGTGTGTGTGTTCTGGGTTTGCGTGTGTGTGTGCTGGGTTTGTGTGTGTGTGTGCTGGGTTTGTGTGTGTGCTGGGTTTGTGTGTGTGCTGGGTTTGTGTGTGTTGAGTGTGGAGCGGTCCCATCAGGAGAGAGGCGGCCTGGGCTCCTGCGCTGGGTCCGGGGGGAGCGGAGCCGGCGGCCCCGGGCGGGAGGCCCGGGCTCCGGGCTTTTCTTTTCATCGCTGTGGTCACGGGCCGGGAACACAAGACTCGTCTTGTGCAGCCTTTTCTCCATCGAGACAAGAATCCCAGTGTGATCCGAGCGAGCGGGGCTGCCAGCCGGTCCCTCCAGCCCGGCCCCTCCAGCCCCGGGGCGGCCGGTCCCTCCAGACTCGGGCAAAGTCGAAGGAAGCTCTTCTGGCCTCGCTCTTCCTCTGGATGACGCTCCCGGCCTCGGCCTCGGGACTGGCCACGCTAGATGAGTTCCCAGCGCCTCTCGGTCATTGTTGTGGACATTTGACACTGTTTCTCTGAGTTTTTTTTCAAAAAGTTCAATTGCTGATGTCAATATAGTGCCCCAGCGTGTCATTCCCATTTGAAAATGTGTAAAGCTAAGCGGTCAGCGCGCAGGTTGCTCCGTGTATGTCACTCACAGGCTAATCACTGCCTCCAGGGTGGCTCCTCGGAGGACTTGTGGAATGAATGCCTGGTTCGGGGTCCGGTCCTGGTCCCGCCCGCCGCCGAGGAGGAAGCCCTGGAGCTGTCACTCACCCTCCCAAGGGCGGGGCTGGGGGAAGTAGAGGTTAAACGAGGTGCTTGGTGTTAAGTGCCTCCGGGTGCTGAATGAGGGCCACTGACCCAGCCCTGTTTCCGATGTCCCAGGCCGTTCGTTCCCGATGCCCCAGGCCGGCCCCGATGCCCCAGGCCGTTCGTTCCCAATGCCCCAGGCTGGCCCCGATGCCCCAGGCCAGCGGGCTCCAGAAGCCATGTGTGGCCTGAGACCCAGTGCCCGGCCCTGGGTGTCTGAGGTTTTTAAATTCTGCGTTCAGTGTGGATGCTGAGGGCTGAGAGACAGCGGGAGGGAAGGTACCTTCCCAAAACCTGAAGCTGTGCTTATGGTTTAGCGGACAGCATGTGGCAGACCTTCCTTCCGTACAAAACTTAGACACCAACTTCCCATGCCCACAGTGTTTCCTGCTTTCCCCACATGACATATGTTCCTGGTGATAAAGTTGGAATGTCTTTTACTCACCAGTGAGTGAAGCCCTCAGTGTGGGTCTGGCTCAAGGAGCTGCGGAGTCAGGGTGGAGTCTCAGGCAGTCAGGGCAAACGGGTTCCACCCTGCCCAAGCTCCCTCCTTTTCGGCTGCTCTTGGGAATTCTGGTGAAAAGTGAAGTCGTAGCCGTGGGGTTTTGTTTGTTTTTATTTTTATTTCCAGTCTTTAATGGGGTGTGCACGTCGACATGATGTCGGTTTGGATTCACTAAGTCCCGTGTCATGACCATGGTATAGCTTGGGTGAATTTTTTTTTTTTTTTAGCTTGGGTGAATTAATCCATATTCTTCTAACGGGTTGTTTCCTATATGGTGATTTTTTATTGCATTGACTCTAAAATTTTTATTTGAGACAGGCCTTCCTGGACACGGGGTCTGTCACTTCCTTATCGGGCGCCTCTGCCCTCAGATGTCCGCTCAGCCTTGCTTCGGAGAGGCAGCCTCTCGGGCGCTCACAGACCAGCGCTCACAGCGCTGCGGGCTGTTTTCCTCGCGGCCGGAGGGGCGGCCAGGAGCTGCCTCTCACTCCGCACTCAGTGTCCAGGTGGGGCTGGTGCCTCTGCAGCCACTGTCTGCTTTAGGTATTGCTGCCAGGGATTGTTTTAATCGAGCATGAAAAATTCATGTATTTGTCATGCCTTCCATGGGATCCTCTTTTCTTTTTAAGCTTCATGGATTGTCCTTAATACTTCGTTTTGAGGCATAGGGTGCCATGTTTTTGACTTGTAAAGATGCTTGAAATCCTCACTGACTTCCAAATTCAGGCTTAGTATGCGACTGATCGTGGTTGGTAAAGTGACATATAATGCCTTTTTTTAAAAATGTGTCATCCTGCCAAAGCCGGTTTAGCTCAGTAGATAGAGCGTCGGTCTGTGAACTGAAGGGTCCCAGGTTCGATTCCAGTCAAGGGCATGTACATTGGTTGCGGGCACAGCCCCAGTGGGGGGTGTGCGGAGAGCAGCTGGTCTATGTTTCTCTCTCATTGATATTTCTAGCTCTCTATCCCTCACCCTTCCCCTCTGTAAAAAATCAATAAATATTTTTTAAAAATGTATCATCCTTTAATATAGCCATCACTTAGTCAGTCGTTCTATTGGATATAGTTAGGTTGTATATGATTAAAATTTTTTCTTTTGTGAACTAATTTTTTAAACTGGACTTATTGGGGCGACATTGGTTAATAAAATTATAGGTGTTCAACTCTAATACATCATCTGTATATTACATTGTGGTTCAGCCTCCCTCCCTTTTTTCCTCTGGTAATCACCATACTGATGCTTGTGACTGAGTGTTTTGTTTTGTTTTTAAACATATTTTTATTGATTTCAGAGAGGAGGGGAGAGAGAAACATCTATGATGAGAGAGAATCATTGTTTGACTGCCTCCTGCACACCCCACATTGAGCATCAACCTATGAACCAAGAGGTCATAGTTCCACTCCCGATCGGCAGTTAACACGTCGTCAGAGGAATGTTATTCCTCCAACATCTTAATATGAACAGTTCCAGACATAGAGAAAAGCTGAAAGAATTGTGCAATGAACTAGTGTACACATGGATACCACCACTTGGGTTCTGTCACCAACATTTCACTCTGTTTGCCTTGTCATGTGTCTTCCCATTACTGGAGCGAATGTTTAAAGACCATGCACTAGAGAAGTTGATTTTGAAGGAGACTGAGGGTGATAGACAAATATAAATTCTTGTTTTGAGCCTAGCTGGTGTGGCTCAGTGGGTTGAGCATTGTCCCATGCACCAGGAGGTCGCTGGTTCTATTCTGAGTCAGGGCACATACCCAGGTTGCGGGCTCCATACCTAGTAGGGGGCATGCAGGAGGCAGCTGATTGATGTTTCTCTCTCATTGATGTTTCTCTCCCTCCCTCCCTCTCTCTCTCTCTCTCTCTCTCTCTCTCTCTCTCTCTCTCTCTCTCCAAATCACTAAAAACATATTTTTAAAACATTCTTGTTTGAATTCTTACCTTCAGCTGACTCAAATAGCTTACCCCAGGGTTAGGCCTGGTTGTTCTGGAAGGCGGTGTAAAGGCTGCTTCAGACTTAACTCTATTACAGGCAGTTCTTCAGCTTTGAGTGTTCCAGTAACTACACAGAACATGAGTTTTTTGAAGTCTCAAATGGTGATAACTAGTGGCTTTCTGTAAGTTGGATGTGCTGTCTTGTTAGTAGCAGAACATGAGAATTTCTGCTAGTGTTCTGTGTTTTGTAGCATGAAATGACTGTTCATGTGTTTTCTGAACACATCCTGTGCATGGTTCTGCATTTGCTGCAGGCTCACTGCTGGAGTCCTCGTTCCCGTTTCTCCGTGCAGGCTGAGGCCTGAAATTCGGGATCTTTAATTTTGTTTTAGCTTCCTGGGCTCTTTACTTTTTTCTTTTTTCTTTTTTCATGAAGAAATCGCTGATGTTTCTAGATTATTGATCATTAAAAGAAAAGTTTTGGCCCTGGCCAGTGTACTCGGTGGTTGGAGCGTCAGCCTGTGCATGAAAGGGTCTCGGGTTCGATACCGTGGTTGCAGATTCCATCCCTTTCCTTGGTCAGGATGAGTTCTGGAGGCAATCAATTGATGTGTCACTCTCACATCCATGTTTCTCTCACACCCTCATCCCCAATCAATGGGAAAAAATACTCTTGTGAAAGTTTTGGTTTATAGATTTCAGGAATTAATAGTGGAATTTGTCCAAAATATTTTAAAGTAAAGTTTCCTTAAAATTCTAATGGAAAAAATGAACATAATAGGAACAAGTTACTGGGTTTAATCTTAGTTACTTCGTTAGATGGGGCAGGTACACACGTAGGTTAAAGAAAAAGTGCTCACGTTCATTTTCTAGAGTTGAATCTTTCCAAGATTAAAAGAGGTTGAACTGAGCGGCTAATATATAAGATTGGAAATTCCAAAGCAAATAGTAGCTTCCTGAGATTCTGCAGCAGCATCGGTCCAGGCTGTGACCAAACACGGCTCCTCTTCCTGTGGGGAGAGCTGGGATTCTCCCAGGGCCAGTGTTGACTTTGGCTTCTGGCCTTTATTTGTGGATGTGTTTAAGAGGAGTGAATAAATACACTAATAGGAGGTAAATAACTTTCCTTTTTGTTTTTATCTGCTTTTAAAAATTAAGTAAATGTTTAAATAAAAGGTTGAACATATAATTATAATTTTATAGTTATCCTATAGAGTGCAGATTTGTAGCAAATAACTGATTGCTAATAAAATTTCAGTCAATATCAGGTTATGTCCTTGAATTCCTTTTTAGTTCAACCTTTCAAAAGATAGGCCTCAGCTGAAGACAGTTTCAGGGAAAGGAAGTTGAGGGTGCTGACAGCACGGTGGCCATCCTGACAGCAATGGCCCTGATCCTCAGACACAGAGAGAGGCTCAGGCCAGGATCTTAAAGGAAGTGCTACTACATTTTAACAGGGAAGTAAAAAAAATTTTTTAGAATATACTTTTTATTTATTTTAAGCGAGGAAAGGAGAGTGTAGAGAGCGCCTGGGAAGGCAGTGAGCTAATTGTCGGCTGAGACCAGTGGCATCGGCAGAGCCATGTCCCGGGAGATGTACCGTGCCAGAGGCAGGTATGTTGTCCTCCTGACCTTAGCTCAGGTGCCAGGGGGTGGGTTTCATTATCTAAGTTCAGCCAGGCGCAAGGAACCAACCGAATTATCCATGCTCAGCCAGGAGTGACAATACAAAGGAGCCACAAGGATGAAGAATTGTAGCTTGATCTTTAACCAGGATTTCACATAATTTCCTTTGTCGTAAACTGTAGTAAAACTTCCTGGAATCACGCTGTGTATGATAAACGTGCTGCACCAGCTCTGGGTCACTGCCCCTCCATCAGAGGGCAGTCCCACCCGGTCCCAGTTTCCCTACTGTCTCTGTGTCTCTGTTTCTCAGTCCCCAGCCGCCCCTACTCAGGTACTCAACTGCTCTCTAGCCTCGCTGGAGGCGGTAAAGAGAGAAAACTTATAGGAGAGGGAGAGACATTGATTGTCTGCCTCCTGCACGCTCCCTACTGGGGACTGAGCCCGAAACCCAGGCATGTGCCCTGACTGGGAATTGAACCTGCAACCTTTCCGTGTACAGGACGACACTCAACCAACTGAGCCACCTGGGCAAAGCGAACGTTAAAATCCTCAGAGCTGCTTATCCTGGACATTAAGCGACAATAACTGTGAACATTTTTGCACATTTGTCATTTTGAAAAGAGGTCCATTTATCATAGCCTTAGACTCCGCTCTCCTCCTCAGCTGTCCGGCCTCAGTCTCGGCAGCTCTTGCAATGCCCCCTCTGCCCTGGCAGCCCCTCTTGGTGCGGACTCCAGGGGAGTGACTGGGATGGTGCCGCTGCTGCTCCGTCTTCCTCTTCCTGCTCCAGGGCCAGCTCCTCAGTCTTCTCTCCAGGCAGCGCTCAGTCTTTCAAAAATGCAAATCTGATAGCATCTGTGAGCAACTAAAGGCATCTGTGACTTCCCCAGTAGGATCAAGTCCATGTTCCTAGCGAGAAGAGATGACAACCTTCCAGTTTTCCTCTACCACTTGCTTCTGATTCCTGTGTCCTTAGTTATTCCGGGCTTTTAGCCCTGCGTCTCCCATATGCTGTTGCTTTTGTCTAGAATAGTCCTCCCTATCGTGTGCCTCCTTCCCCCAAGTCTCAGCGTACACGGCAGCCTCCTGGAACTGCCCCAGACCAGCTTAGCTCTCGCTGTATGTTTTCAGAGCATCTTTGAAAACACTGTTGCACCTATAATTTTTTGTCATGCCTATTGATCAAGTCAATGCACAGGACAAGTTACTATTGACAAAAAGTGTTGTTTTTTAATTAACTGCATAAATCCATGAGGTCTTACTTGCTGCAGTATACTTCCTGGCACAGCACACAGTTTGTTGGTGTAGGTTCAAATTGAGCTAAGTAACACTCACAGTAGATTGGTGGTGGAGTCGGCAGTTTCGCATCCATATTACAGTTGAGAAAACGGGAGTCACAAGGAAGTTGAAACTTACCCCAAAACTTGAGCTGGCCGTGGTGGGCCTCAAGTCCAGGGTAATGATTGCAAGTCTTAGGCTCCTGCTCGCACAGTCTATTCTGACTTGCTAAGCTTTTAACAAAACGTATGGCAGTGAGTCATCGCGGTGAGAAAGCCTTCGGGAATTGGAAGCTGCCTCCGATGATATAATGTTTGACTCTGTGCGGGCTGTAGGGTGGGGAGCCCCAACTTCTGCTAAGCCCTATGTAATGCTCCAAGCGGAACAAGTACTGGCAGGACTGGCCGGCCTGGGACCGGCCCGCTGAGAGGCTTTTTGCCTTAAACTGAGTTCAGGGAAAACTGAGTTCAGGGAAAACAAAAGCACTAGCTTCCAATGTGATTCCTGATTTACAGCAGCCGAGGTTGGACAGCAGTCTTACAGCTCAGAGTGCGGTGTGTCCTCGGAGCTTGGAAAGCCTGCTGAGCGGCAGGGAGGTGGGCGTCGGCTAAACGGTTAGGCCAGGGCCGTGGGCTCGGAGCCCTGGAGTCATCCTAGGAACGCACCGTTGTGGGTGATGGTGCAGTAACTTACATTTTAGGTCATGTTCTCTAGAAAAAAATTTTTAACGATTGAGACTTCCAATCGCAGACTGTGCCTGATGGTGCTCTGTGTCCGCTACCAGCTAGAGGCCTCCCCTCTGTGGAGCAGTTCTGCAGACTCGCCTTCTCTGGGAAGTTACTCCTCCCCTGAGCTACTCACTGACCTGGGCTTGCACTGTGCGAGCTGCTCTAAAAGCTCTGGTGATCCGTGAGGACGGTGGGAGGTGGCCAGTGAATGCAGATGAGAGAGGGGACAGTTCTGTGCGGTGGTGACTAAGCACTCTTCGTTACTGATTGCCAGGGCAGCTTTAGGAGGCGATGCACAGGCTATTACTTAGCAACACGTTAGACGGCAGAGGAAAGCTGTGTTCGCATATTAGTTTCATCAGAGTAACTTCAGTTTAGGATGCAAGGTTCTTGGATGAAAGATTCCGCAGATGGCCGCAGGAAGGATTTTCGTTTTAAAATAGTGTTTCTCTTGAGCCTTATTGAAGAGCGTCTCCTGACGAAGTGCTGATGCCGCGTACCCAGCCATAGTGCGACGGCTCCTGCTTGCCTTTCTGGAAAATTCTGGTTCCTTTAGATTTCACGATAAAATTATACATATAATGTTAAATAAAAGGTTATAGAAACAGTTTTCTTTAATGCTAAGTACTGATGTATACTCCTTGATTTTTCTATAAATTATTTTAATAGAGTAATGAAAACTAGGATTACATTCATGTTAATCAAGCAACTCATACCTTTTTTTTTCTCTCTCCCTAGAGCTGTAGGTAAAACTTGCCTACTGATCAGTTATACCACCAATGCATTTCCTGGAGAATACATCCCCACTGTGTGAGTATCTGAAGTTACTGGGAACTAACTCATCTGTGATGTTTTCAGACGATGCCTTTGACCTTTGTTTTGCTACTTACACGAACAGATATGATTGCTTTTCCTTTCAAACATTCCCCAAAGTCTAGGTATTTGGGCTTTTAAAAAAATAACTAATATTAGGTCTAGTAATAATTAATGTCGTTTTCTAATACTTTTTTAAATCGAATTTATTTAAACAATACAACAAAATTTAATCAACAATATAGTTGCTGTTGTTTTCTACTACTTGTGCCCAACGCTCAGGAAGCATTTTAATCCCTCTGTTGTAAAATTCTTGTGATTTTGATGCAAAAAATTCGGTCATTGCATTTTTGAGGCATTCTTCATTATTAAATTTTTTTCCAAGAAGAAAGTTTTGCAAAGGACGAAACAAATGGTAATCGGAAGGGGCAATATCAGGAGAATATGCAGGTTGAGGGAGAATTTCCCATTCCAACTGGCGCAGTTTTTCAGCAGTGATTCTTGCAGTATGCGGTCGTGCGTTATCATGGTGAAGAATTACGCCCTTCCGATTAATCAGCGCGGGTTCTTTTTCTCTTAAAGCTTGGGCTAACCTTTCCAATTGGGCACTATACACTGCACTTGTAATGGTTTGGTTAGATGGTAAAAGTTCATAATGAAGAATTCCTTTAAAATTCCACCAAACACACAACATCACTTTTTTCGCATGCAAGTCAGGTTTTGGCGTGGGCTGCGGAGCCTCATTTTTGTCCAACCATTGAGGCCGCCTTTTCAAATTAACATACAGCACCCATTTTTCATCTCCGGTAACAATTTGCTCTAAAAACGGCAAACGGTTTTGACGAGAGGAGCGAACTGCAAATTGTGACTCTTTGATTCCGGTTGTTGTCGGTCAACTCATGAGGAACCCATTTTCCAAACTTTTGGACTTTGCCAAGTGCACGCAATTGATTGGAAATTGTTTTTTGTGAACAATTTAAAGTTGTCGCAAGCTCTTGTTGGGTAATTTGAAGATTTTGCACCAAAAGAGCTTGAAGAGCTTCTTGATCAAAATTGGACACACGGCCTCGACCACTCTTGTCATCTAACGAAAAATTTCCCTCGCGAAATTTCTCAAACCAACGCTGGCATTTTCTGGCGCTAACTGCATCTTGACCAAGAGCACTACAGATGTTTTTTGCAGCCTCACTTGCTTTTCTTCCTAATTGGAACTCGTAAAGCATGCAGTGCCGAATATGCTCTTCATCCGCCATCTTCTTAGCCCTAGTTTTGCAACAAAAACCAAACCAAACACAAACTTTTTCAAGCAAAACTTGTTAATTGCACTTCACACGTTCTGTAGATACCACGTGTTTGAAGGTTATGTCAATACAAGTCAACGCCAAGCAAGATTTTAAACGAATGTTAAAAACGACATTAATTATTACTAGACCCGATATAACGTAGTTTCCACCCAATGATGAAACATAGATTTTCTAATTGATTTTTAGACGTTTAGGAAATACAAGGAATTTTAACTCACTGAAGTGCAGTCTGATGTATGTTCCAGGTGCATTTGGCTCTCTGGGCTCTGTGCAGGCCCCGGAATTGGAACATGACCGCCTCTGTTCCGTTGTCATTGGTCTTTTCTAGCAAGTTCTCCACTGCCCTATGTCACTGTTGAGTTACGGGGCTTTGGAGCTCAAGCCAGGGTGTGTGTGGGAGTGAGCTGCTTAGTCCCTGTTGGCAGCAGCGGTGGAGATGGGAGAGCGCCTTTTTAATGATGGGGTTGCTAGGGAGCCCCGTGTAGCCGCCCGGCCTCGCAGCTCCACCCTGTGGTCACGCTGAACTCTGTTTTCCCGGCTTCCCTCCTGGTGGAGAGGAAACACTTCAAGTCCCCCTGAGGGTCTGTTGTTGCATATTTTAATGCTAGTGGCTTGGTGCATGAAATTCATACACGGGGTGGGGGGAGGTGTGAGGGGAGGGGTTTCTCTCGGCCCAGCCTGCACCTTCTCCAATCGAGGACCCCTTGGGGGGCATCCCTCTTGCAATCTGGGGCCATTGACTCCTAACCACTTGCCTGCCTGCCTGCGTGCCTCATTGCCCCTGCCTCTGCCTCATAGCCCCTAACCCCTCTGCCTGCCTGATTGCCCCTAACTGTTCTCCCTTGCCAACCTGATCTCACCCCCACCTGCCCCTGCTGGCCTGATCTCACCCCCAATGGCCCTCCCCTGCCGACCTGATCTCACAACTGCCTTCCCCTGCCAGCCTGGTTGTCCCCAACTGCCTCTCCTCAGCCCCCCACCGCCATGGCTTTGTTTGGAAGGAAGTCGGACGGACGTCTGGAAGATGGCCATTCGACCGGGTCTAATTAGCATATTGCCCTTTTATTAGTATAGGATAGGATTGCTTAAATGGGGAGGAAAAGCCTTTTATAGCCAGAGGAGATGCTTTTGGCAGACAAAAATACATACCGGTAATCCCATGTTGCCAACCATATGCATTATGCTGCCAAACCGATCATTACAAAATTGAACCGCTTTCTTACACCTTACACCAAACATTTGTTGCCCTTAAAACCCCTCCTCAGCCCCCACTTTAGGTTCTGCCTTTGCAGTTTACCCAGATTAGGTTCTAATTGGTTGGTTTCTATGACACTCGGCATCAAAAGCTCCATCTCCTAGGCAGCCATTGGCTCATCACACTTCACCCAGATTTGGTTCTGATTGGTTGGTTTCTATGCCAGTCAGCATCTCCGGGCCTGATCAGAGAAGTGGCTGATCAACAGCTGCCACGAAGACTATGGATCAGACGCTGCTTCTCTGTCTAGGCCTCTCTGCAGCCCCCTCGGCAGTAAGACTGCAGGACTGGCTTCCCGTCGGTCGAGCAGTCATTATGGACCCTGGTTTTTTATATATTAGGATCAGTGGAATCACACTGTCCGGAACTTACGGTAGGGACTGTCCTTATCCACACATGTAGATAGAGCTAAGTCGTTAACAGCTGTTAGGACTTTGAACGACTATAGCTGATGAGCCCAGGTCATTTTCTTGGCATCACACACAGTGCTGTGTTAAACATCGTTGCATGTGGAATTGTTCCAAATTTTAAATTTTCATAGATACTACCCATTTGTTGTCTAAAAGGCTATCACTTTGACCAGCTGTGATGGAAACAGCCCCTTAGTACATGTGGTCCTCATGAATTCAAAAAGTTACCTTACCATTTGCATTTGTGATCGTCAATGAAGTTAAAATATTTTGAATGTTTACTGTCCATTCGTAGTCTTCTGTGAATTGCCTGTTGAAATTTTTGCTTATTTTTCTACTGAAATTTTTTTCTTAGCAGTGGAACTTCTGCATATAAGAAATATTAATACCTGTCTCTTCATTTGTCTTTGAACTTTGTTACGATGTCACTTAGGAGTGATGTGAAAATATTCTCTAGTAATTTTTCTAGGATTTTTGTGGTTAAAGTTTTTATCTTTAATTTTTTTAGGGTGTATTTTTAATGCTTATTGATTGATTGCTTTTTAGAGGAAGCGACATACACACACACACACACACACGATTTGTTGTTCAACTTACTTATTCATTCATTTGTTGCTTCTCTTATGTGACCTAACTAGAGATGGAACAAGCAACCTTGGCATGCTGGGATGGCACCCTCACTGAGTTTTATTTTAGTGTGAGACAGGCCCTGATTCTTTCCCAAATTGGAGGTGGGGGAGTCACCACTCAGTGAATAATCTATCCTTTCCGCATGAGGCAGAATTACTACACATCAGGCCTCCAATGAAAACTAGTTTGGTCACGAAACTTTACAAATCACATAGCACTTGAGACTTTGACTCTGCTGCCCAGTGTAGTAAGGCCTAAAGTTTTAGTCTTCAGAGGATGTAAAAATGAATCCTGGAGTTCTTTGGTTTCTATTTGGTACCTGCCCTGGTTTGAATTGCATGCCCGGTTTTTTATTTAATGAACTATTTACTCTATGATACTTGCAATTTTTGTCAACCTTATTTTCCCCTATTAGCCTGTAGGCTTCTATGGCCTTCCTCCTATAGTCAACCAGTTTTTGTGTAGCAACTTCAGAGTAGTTTAACATACGTGTAATCCCGTACATTCAAAGTGGTTTAACGTGTGTAATCCCGAACATTCGCTTTGAAAACGCTGTGCGACGGTGCTCAGAACCCTCCTCGCTGGTTGTGGGTGATCAAGCCTCCACTCCGCCCAGCCTGCGGGGTCCCGGAGGCCAGCCCGCCGGTGCCGGCTGTGAAAGCTCAGCAGCGGGATTCGAGAGGGACCAGGTTTACAGTCTGTTTCTTCCTGGGAGGAAAGCCTTAGTTAGCGTCTCTTCAGCAAAGGCGAAGCGTTTTATTGCTGACGTAACTGACTTCCATTACGGTAGCAGTGTTGCTTTTTTCCAGGCATTTTCCCAGCTGTGCATTCTCCGTCCACGTCATAGCTCACGGGTCTCCTGAGCCTGCAGGAGGGGCATCTGCTGGCCTGGCGGCCTCCAGCCCTCACCCTCACCCCCACCCCCACCCCTGCCGGCCTTCTCAGCACTGCTTCCTCAGGGCCCCAGCTGGGACAGCGGCTCGGGTGCTGGACCTGGGCCTTATGCTCCAAGGCTGACCATTTTTTCTCCATGTTTTACAGCTTTGACAACTATTCTGCCAATGTCATGGTGGATGGGAAGCCGGTGAACCTGGGCCTGTGGGATACCGCTGGGCAAGAAGATTACGACAGATTGCGGCCCCTCTCCTACCCGCAGACAGTAAGGACCACGAGTGGTTCTTTTTTAAGATTTTGGTTTGAGTTTTAGAGGGAGAGGAGGGGGAGGAAGAGAGCCACTTGTATTTAAATATGCATCATGTGCTTTTCCTGTTACATTTTGTTCTTCCTTTTAAAAGTGCATTTAAAACAATTTCGGAGGCTTAGTCGCTGACTGACAAACATGGTGTGGAGGCAGTTGAACAGATTCCTTGGGTTCAAAGTCTGCTCTCCCTGTGACTGGTTACCTTGGCAGTTGTCTTTCCCTCTCTCCTGTAGGGGTAGCTGAGTGGGTAGCCTGAAGCATAGGAGCAGGCCCAGCACACCAGCCCGCTCCTGCGCAGTGGCTGTTAGGCATCCCTCATTCCCAGGCAGGTCTGGAGCCTCCACTCAGGGCCTCCTCCCTGCCAGCTGGATGCCAGAGGGGTTAAGGGTCAGGTCCGGAGACAGCTGGAGAAGGCGGGCTTTGACCCTTTGGTTGACCCTCCGCTTGGTTTACCCATCACTTTCCGTGGCGGGTGGTGTGGGGGAAAAGAACTAACGAGTTCCAGTCCACCCCGTCTTGTTTTTGTTTTTAAATGAACTTCCTGTTCGTAGTGATAGTTTTAACTTCTGATAACTGCTTTTCCAGGCAGCAGTCACGGATTGCCTCTGGCTCTCTGCTGGAGGAATGCCAGCCGCTGTTTCTTTGAGCTGTAGATTTTGCTAGATCCTGGTAATAGATCAAAACTATAAAATGGGAGGTTTGAATTGTATCATGTTTTAGTTTATCTACAACTAAAAATTAACAAAGTATTAAAACCAGCCAAATCACCAAGTGGTTTGGGTTTTTCAATATGTTCAGGAATCTGTTCTATACCAGCGGGTGCTTGATGACTAGATTTTAAGTGGGTTTGCAGACATCCTGAGCTAGAAGTCTCCTGGCCCCTGGCTGCATCTGGGGGGGAGTGTCCTCCACCTCTGTGACTCAGGCAGGGTGCGGCCTGTTCTCAGCGGCACTCGGTGTGTCAGAGGTGACTTGGCCAGGTTTCCGCTTGGAGTGCTAGAGCACACAGATAGCGCCGATCGGCCCGATTGGCCGCGATTGGATCGGGCAGGGAGCTGGCTGACAGCCGAGGGGGTGTTGCCTTGGGGGGAGGGTTGGGACCTGAGCCTTCTCCGTCTTCGTCTCATTCCCTCGGAGGGGAGAACTGTCCTCGCAGATGCCTGAACAGCAAAGGGGCAGGTGTGACTCTGCCCTCAGTGGCTCACACACAGGTGCCGTGGCGCCCTGTGTCACTGAGGAGCAGCGGGAGAGCACCAGCCAGCGGGCAGGCACGCAGCTGGGCCCCCGTGCAGGTGAGGAAGGATGGCACCTTGGGGCGGAGGAGCTGCCTTCCTCTGCCGCGCTGCCCTGCGGTTCCCGTTGGCTCTGGAGCCAGCTGGCGGCTCCGGGGTGCGCGCCCCCTGGTGCTCCTCCGGCTGGGCCCTGGGGACACTCACTGCGGCCTGAGAAGAGACGCCGTTCCCTGTGCTCACCTGTGTGAACCCTTGTTCCTACCTCGTCCTCCAGGGTGTGAGCACGCAGTCGCCGTTTTCAGTGTACCCTGTCCATCACGTGTTTGTTTTCTAAATTAAGTGATCCTTGGTTTTCTCCCCTTCGGTAGTTATCTCAGAATGCGTGTGGCTGCTGCACACTCACTCCGCCTGGTGCTCAGCACGGAGGGTGAGCCAGGCCTCAGGCCGGCGGCACCCGTGCCCGCCTGCCTTGCGGTGCTGAGTGTGCGGGCGGGAAGGCGTGGCTTGTCAGGAGGCCGGCCCTGTGGGTCACCAGGCGTGGCGCGGGGCGTCTGTGAGCCCTGACTTGCAGAGGGTTTGGAAGCTCCAGCTGGATTGCTGCCGCTGTGGTTTCACTCGGCTTCCGCGCGGCCGGTGGCCGGGCACATTAGCGTCCTCTGGCCAGGCTGGGCACGGCGGTGGGAACGGGCTGGCACTCAGTCCTGAGGGCCCGCACGCCTCGGCGAGGGGCTGAGCTGGGCCCGGGCTCACCCGGGCGGCGCTGCGGGAAGAGGGTGGGTCTGTGGGGCCTGGGGAGGCTGCCTGGGAGGAGAGGGTGGGTCTGTGGGGTCTGGGGAGGCTGCCTGGGAGGTGGGGGTGGGTCTGTGGGCCTGGGGAGGCTGCCTGGGAGGTGGGGGTGGGTCTGTGGGCCTGGGGAGGCTGCCTGGGAGGTGGGGGTGGGTCTGTGGGCCTGGGGAGGCTGCCTGGGAGGAGAGGGTGGGTCTGTGGGGTCTGGGGAGGCTGCCTGGGAGGTGGGGGTGGGTCTGTGGGCCTGGGGAGGCTGCCTGGGAGGTGGGGGTGGGTCTGTGGGCCTGGGGAGGCTGCCTGGGAGGTGGGGGTGGAGCGGCCAGGGCTGGGGCTTTGCCGTTTGCAGTGACCTCCTGTGCTGGTGCTCAGACACGTTGGGGAGTGAGTGATCTCCATCTGCTGTACGCTGTTTCCAGTCAGCGAGGCACGCTGGCCGTGGCGGCGGTCTGGGAGGTGGCTTTGTGCACTCAGGCCTGCCCTCTGGGCGGCTGTGCCGGTGTTTGCCGGTGCCCAGATGCCTGTTAGAGGAACACTCGCAGCCGAAAGGAGCACCCGGGGGAGAGCATTGGGAGGAGACAGTGAAGGAAGGAGAGGGCAGTGCTGTGGGCGGTGAGCAGCCACCCAGAGCTGCCGCCGCCTCTGTGGATGGGACCTGAGCGGCCGGTGGGCAGAGGACAGCCGCCGTGACGCTGACCAGAGGACAGGCGGGCAGCACAGAGCAGTGGTCGGAAACGCCTCAAGCTGCAGGCACGTGGCCAGAGGGAAGGTGGCCTGTGACGGGGACCTACCTCGCAGGTGGAGTAAAGAGGCTGCAGGACACACAGTGCCTAGGAGGAGGGAGTGTCATGTGCTGCCCTCCGGTGGCCGTGTGCGGAGCTGCATGTCCCAGGACGGGCTGTCACAGGGATGGGCAGGGGCACCAGGCAGTGGGTGGAGAGCAGAGGTCTGAAGCCAGTGCGGGGAGACGCCTCGGAGCAGGAGGAAGGGTCCGAGAAGCCAGTCAGGCCGGGAGGAAGCAGGCAGGTGTCATGAACGTAGGTCGGAAAGCTCTTTCTTTGTCACAAAAGATGCTCTTAGAGCGGAAAGGTGCGCGGGTGTGGGTGGCGGCATCTAGAAGGGCGTTTCTGGGCCAGCCCCTCGGGGTCGCTGTGTCCCTGAGATCGGCGTCACTCAGGGTCCCCAGCAGCACGGATCGCAGCGGGACTCGGAAGCTGTAACGGCCTCTTCACACGGCAGTGAGAGGCGCTGGAAGGAGAGAATGAGAATAGTCCTGACCGGGCGCCCAGAGCCGCCCGCCGTGCTGCGGGGAGCCGGCCTCCGCTTCTGCTGGGGCAGAGAGAGAACCGGAGGCTTTGTAACCAACACCGAATGCTGCCACCTGGGGGAGGGCCAGGGCATGGTCTCTGTGCCTCTTCCGAAGAGCCTGTCCCCCAGCCTGTCCACAGACGGCGCCCTCCGGGGCCGCGGCCTCGGCCGCCGTCTGCTGGCGGGACGGAGCTGGGGAAGGCGGCTGTGCTGCTGGGCCAGTGCGGGGACACGCTCGGACCCTTCCCTGCTGAGCACCTGCTTCCTCTCCTGGGTGTGGCCGGGTGTGCTGCCGTGGGGAGGAGTGCCCGTCTCCCCGGGTCTGTCTGCCTCTGGCTTCACCCCCCCCCAGGCTGGTTAACGGGGTCCGAAAGGCGGGGCCGCTGAGTTAGACACTGGCTGCTGTGGGAGCAAAGCCTTGGGCGGGGAGACCGTTCTGGTGAGGAGTAAGGCGCAGGCTGTGTTGATTGTGATCATTTCCTCCGTGTTTACCAAACTCAAACCAGTTCTCGTGCATTACTAGGTCGGTAAGGATAGGACCTCCAGGGGCACAGACAAGCCGATTGCCGTATGTAAACCTTGAGTCACTTCCGTGTCAGCTTCTCTCCTCGTCTCTTAGTGTCCTAGGACCCCCTTCAGCCTCCGTCTCCGGGGCCTGCTTGCTGAGCCTGCTCTGACCAGGGGTGACCGGTGACCGCCAGCCTGAATGAAAGCAGTTCCTCCCCCAGTGAGGGGCTCCCCAGGTGGTGGAGATGGAGACAGGGCTCCGCCAGGAACCGGCTGCCAGGCCTCTGCTGGGGCGGGGCCTGCTGGGGCGGCTGTGCGGGCGCTGAGCTACCCTCTGCTTGGCCACGTCTCTCCGCTGAGGTGGCTCCCGGACAAGCGGGTGCATGTGCTGCGTTAGCAATGCTGTTCACAAAGCTGTTCGTGGGCTCTTCCCCTTCAGAGAGCAGCGGGCTGACCGAAGGGCTAGCTTGGGAATGGGCATTTCACCACGAAACGCAGTTGCCTCTTCCAGGAGGACGTTTTGTAAAGTTAGCCTTCTAGAAACTCGGTATTTTTAACTCGAGAAAGTATTTAGTCTTTTTACACGCAGCATGGGGGAGAGGCCCGGACGTCTGGAGCCCACGTTTTTCCAGGAGGCCGGGCAGGGCGGGTGCGCCTCGGGTTCTGGCAGCGCTAACCGCCGGCCTCCTGGCGGGCGCCCAGGGCAGGTGTGAGCCGCGGCGGCTGAGGGGTTTGCACCGCCGGGCAGCACACCGTGCTGGTGATGTCCGAGAAGCTGGCGGTTCTGCGGAGATGTTCCGGGGTGTCCGTTAGGCTCGGTGGGAGTTGGGGTGGTGATGCCTCCACAGCCCTCAGGAGCTGGCAGCATGTTGCCCCCGTGTGGGCGGGTGCTCAGGGGCCTGTTGGGGAGCCAGGGAGTGGCTCCCGCACCGGCCTGGTCCCAGCAGCTCTGAGAGAGCGCAGTGCGTCCGGCACCACGAGGCCTCCTAACCGCCCTGTGTTCCCTTCCAGGACGTATTCTTAATTTGCTTCTCGCTCGTGAGTCCTGCGTCCTTTGAGAATGTTCGTGCAAAGGTAAGGGGGTTGTTTGTTCGTTTGTCTTTAGAAAACCTATTTTGTTACATAATGTCACTCAGGAAGGAACTATAATAAAATAGCATTCACTGATTGACACTTTCTGTCTAAGTTGGGTTTAGGGATTCTATCATATCGGGGTCCTGAGTGGCTGACTCAGTGCCCAGTGCACCCTCCAAGGAGGGAGTCCAGGCGCCCCACCCTGCACCTCAGACTCCGCCAGGAGGACCTGAGCCCCCTTCCTCCAGGCTCAGTGGGATGGCGGCGAGCTGAGCCTGGGTCAGACCTTTATTCTCTTTCCGGAGTAAACAGGGTGGGCACATGTAGGCTGACAGTTGTGAGTGCACTAAACACTGTGTTATTAATTATTGCATTATTACATCTGCCAACGTACTTTTGCCCACCCGTTTGGAGTGTTTTTCTCCCATCCAAGTACTAACCAGGCCCGACCCTGCTTAGCTTCCGGGATCAGACAGATCGGGCGCGTTCAGGGTGGTATGGCCTAGACTGTTGGAGTCTTTTCTGAGCTGACCTAAGAACTTGGCTCGTTTCACTGAGAACAGCGTGGTTTAGGGGGGACCATCCCTGCCTTTTCCCGCCTCTCTGTGACAGCAGCCCGCCCTGTAGGCCACGGGTCTGCCTGCTTGCTGTGGGGTTTGGCAAGGGAGCCCCGGGGTCCTGCTGCCCATGGTCCTCGAAGGGAGTGAGGGGGACGGGTGGGCGGCTGGAGAGCAGGTGCCGCTCCCGCGCGGAGGCTGTGAGCACAGTGCTAAAGGGCAGTTGCCATCTTGGCAGCTGAGGATGTACTTAGTGAAGGAAGCCACAGCGGAGGTCCTGACTCTTCCTTTCTTGGCACCCAGTGGTACCCCGAGGTTCGACACCACTGCCCCAACACTCCCATCATCCTGGTGGGGACCAAGCTGGACCTTCGGGATGACAAAGACACGATTGAGAAGCTGAAGGAGAAGAAGCTGACGCCCATCACCTACCCGCAGGGCTTAGCCATGGCCAAGGAGATCGGTATGAGCGCCCGCCTCTTCGCGTTTGCTTTGCACTGGCTTCCTTTTCCTTAGAGCGCGTTCCTCCAGCTCGGGGTCTGGCTTGCTTTTGGGGAACCGGAGGGGCTGGGGGCTGCTGTGCTGGGTCCCGCCGTGGGGGGGCAGCACTGAGAGCTGTCTGCCGGCAGGTGCTGTGAAATACCTGGAGTGCTCGGCACTCACCCAGCGGGGCCTCAAGACCGTGTTCGACGAAGCCATCCGGGCGGTGCTGTGCCCGCCGCCTGTCAAGAAGAGGAAGAGGAAGTGCCTGCTCGTGTGAACGGGCCTCCCCCGGCCCCGCCCCGCCTCCCCCGCCCCGCCCCGGCCCCGCGAACCTCTGTGCTTTGCTCAAACGACGGAGCCTTCGCACTCAATGCCAAGTTTTTGTTACCAATTAGCTTTTCCATAAAACCATTTTGAACCAATCAATAATTTTTAGGTTTTATTTAAACAAATAAGTGTAAGGATTCAAACTTTCACATTCTATTAAAATTTAGCCCTAAATGACAAGCTTTCTTAAAGCCTTATTTTTCAAAAGCCCCTCCTCTCTCTCAGATAGTTGCCAAAACCCCTGTGAACTGAGTCGCATTGTTGTGCTAAGAACACTGAGCACTAACTTGTTCCAAGCCTGTGTCTCGCAGACGACCGGCCTCTGACCTTAGGAAGGCAGACACTTACGAGTTTCACAGCAGCCTTCTTACAAAACGTTGCCATTCATAATTTATCAGCCCGCGTTCCTTACCTGACATTGTACTGTAATCGGCTCAGCTCTGTGGATTGGTCTTTACTTTGTAGAGTTTAGACAGTTCGTGTGCTAGCTTTCCCCGAGATCCCGGCCAGACCCTCCCTCGCATGCTCCTCTGGCGAAGTGTGCTCTCGTGGGCATGCGGGATGGGTGTGGGGGACAGCTGATGTGATCAGAGGGTGAAGGCAGTGTTTGACAAAACGTGAATGGAGGTTAATTCACACTACATTGTACGCATAGCAAACGGAACGAAAGTGTCACGGGTAAGATGTGAAAAGCTAGCTTCGTCAAGTGCAGTCGATGGTGAAAGTTGGTATTAATCAGTGAGTGTTTTCTTAAGATTTTCCTTTTTCTTAAACCTGTAACCCCTCCCACAATTGGGCATTTAATTCATCTTGGAACTGGTCATTCCCATAGTTGCTAACTTAGTGCTTTTCTTATAGATCCCCTTCTCAACGAGCAATATGCCTCCTTGTATAAATCTTTCTTGATAATGCATTAGTTTTTTTGTAGATTAGTAAAGTGCATTCCTGTTTTCACGTTCTTTCATTCAAAGCTAATAAGTGCTTTCCTTAGTTTTCTAGTAACTAGATGTAAAAATCACGTGTTGCATCTTTCCAGTTTTTTAAGTATTTTAGATATTCCCAAACTACGAGCCTTCTTAACACCGTCTTGCCAGATCCCAGCTCTGTTCCTTGGCCGCCCGCCTTCCCGTGGTCATGCTTCCTGTCGCTCTGCCTAACCACGTTCCTTTGGGTGGGAAGCTGTGACCTGTGCTTGTGCTAACAACGTTCTGTGCAGCTCACCCACTGGCAAGAACACAATCGGACCTTCCAGCCACTAGAACAACACTTTTTAAATTGACATTTGCAGATTTGTGGAGTGTTTTTACATTGATCTTTTGCTAATGCAGTTAGCAGTATGTTTTGCATGTATGACTTAATAAATCCTTGAATCATATGACTGGTGATACTTGAGTTCTTGAGAGCTTGGGGAACGACCTCCTGGTGTGTCCGTGTTCATTTGCCTTAAATTCTCAGGCTGTCGAAGAAACTCATTTTTCAAACCCTTTCCGTGCTGGGGACAGGGAGGGCCCCTTCAGGGGAGACAGGCGGGGGTGAGTCAGCAGACAAGGGTGGTCGCTGGTACAATACTCCCATGATGCCTACCTTGGGGCATGTGTGTGCGCATCGTATGTGCATTGGGACAGGGCTCGGGGCCAACCATGAGAAGCTGGGATCGCAGTTGGCGTTGTGATGGACGGAAACACTGACTTCCAGACCCTTTCTGGAGCCTGAAGTTGTGCTATCGTAGTAATAATTAATGTCGTTTTTAAACATTCGTTTAAAATCTTGCTTGGCGTTGACTTGTATTGACATAACCTTCAAACACGTGGTATCTACAGAACGTGTGAAGTGCAATTAACAAGTTTTGCTTGAAAAAGTTTGTGTTTGGTTTGGTTTTTGTTGCAAAACTAGGGCTAAGAAGATGGCGGATGAAGAGCATATTCGGCACTGCATGCTTTACGAGTTCCAATTAGGAAGAAAAGCAAGTGAGGCTGCAAAAAACATCTGTAGTGCTCTTGGTCAAGATGCAGTTAGCGCCAGAAAATGCCAGCGTTGGTTTGAGAAATTTCGCGAGGGAAATTTTTCGTTAGATGACAAGAGTGGTGGAGGCCGTGTGTCCAATTTTGATCAAGAAGCTCTTCAAGCTCTTTTGGTGCAAAATCCTCAAATTACCCAACAGGAGCTTGCGACAACTTTAAATTGTTCACAAAAAACAATTTCCAATCAATTGCGTGCACTTGGCAAAGTCCAAAAGTTTGGAAAATGGGTTCCTCATGAGTTGACCGACAACAACCGTAATCAAAGAGTCACAATTTGCAGTTCGCTCCTCTCTCGTCAAAACCGTTTGCCATTTTTAGAGCAAATTGTTACCGGAGATGAAGAATGGGTGCTGTATGTTAATTTGAAAAGGCGGCCTCAATGGTTGGACAAAAATGAGGCTCCGCAGCCCACGCCAAAACCTGACTTGCATGCGAAAAAAGTGATGTTGTGTGTTTGGTGGAATTTTAAAGGAATTCTTCATTATGAACTTTTACCATCTAACCAAACCATTACAAGTGCAGTGTATAGTGCCCAATTGGAAAGGTTAGCCCAAGCTTTAAGAGAAAAAGAACCCGCGCTGATTAATCGGAAGGGCGTAATTCTTCACCATGATAACGCACGACCGCATACTGCAAGAATCACTGCATCAAAATCACAAGAATTTTACAACAGAGGGATTAAAATGCTTCCTGAGCGTTGGGCACAAGTAGTAGAAAACAACGGCAACTATATTGTTGATTAAATTTTGTTGTATTGTTTAAATAAATTCGATTTAAAAGTATTGGAAAACGACATTAATTATTACTAGACCTAATATAGTTAATGTAGAATCCGGTTCCTAAATATTTTTATTGCTTTGGAAGACATTTATATGCCCTTTAAAGGGCAGAGTTCTAAAGCTTGCTACTGAAATGACAATCATCCCCTTTACACCCTCCCAGAGGCAGCTATTTTAGCAAGTTTTTGTTTGCCCCCATAATCTAATTCCAAATGCTTTTTTTGTTCACTAGGTTACCAGCTTATTCTAGAAGGCTGTAACTCGGCCAGAAGGAAGAGGTGCGTGGGACGAGGTATGGGGAGAGAATGGGGTTTCCATGCCTCCTTTCGGGGCCACTCTCCCCAACTAGCTGCCTGTTCGCCAGCCCAGCGGCCCCAGGACCGTCCGGGTGGTTACGGAGGGAGGCCTCATCGCAGGCAGCACTGACTCAACCCGTTGGTGGTGAATCAGCTGCCAGCCCTCTCCGGGGCTCAGTCTGAATCCTGTGCTTTTATTGGGTTTTTCTGTTTCATCCATTACCATCGACATTCCCACCGTGGGAGACCTGAGGGCTTTGCTTCCCAGCTATCCCTCAGCCCAGCACCTTGCCCATTCCCTCAGGGTGGCTATGTGGTTGGTGCTCCTTGTTTAGTGTCTGTTATTACTGTAAATGCAGCTGAGCCTCCTGTGTGCCTGGACTGGGAATTGAACAGGTGACCTCTCAGTGCATGGGACAATGCTCAAGCAACTGAGCCACCCTGGCCAGGGCAGGTGTATGTTGTTAATCCTCAGCTGAGGATATTTTCCCACTGCTTTTTAGGGATAGTGGGGGAGAGGAAAGGACAAAGGAACACATCAATTGGTTGCCTCTTGCATAAGCCCTGACCAGGACCCGGGCCAGGTACGTGCCCTTTGCTGGAATTGAACCCGGGACCCTTTGGTCTGCAGGCCAATGCTCCATCCAGGAGCCAAACCAGCTAGGGCCACGCTTATGCTTTTTAAAGAAATCTCTTAACCCTCACTTTATGGGCGTGGGTTGGAGAGAAATCAGATGTCTATGCATCTTCAGTCTGTAGCCACAGGCCAAGAGGACTTCATTTTGTTACAGTGGAGAGAGAAACCAGAAGGATGTTGCTGTAAAGTCCCCAGAAACAGACCTGCGGGAGCCCCCGGAGGAGAGCGCATCACTGTACACACCGGGGCCATGTAAGCGATTTATTAGTGCCCTGGGAGCCCGTCCCGACCCCCAGAGCCAGAGGCTGGGCCCGTGCCCTGGGCCCGGGCAGATGAAGCAAGGCGAGCGTGTGAGCATGTGAACAGGAGGCTGTGGCCCGGGCAGCAGCCGTCCCCTCACTTTCCTGCGGGCCTTGTCTGTCTCCCACAGGAGCTCAGGCTAAGCCTTATGCCACGGGAGTACCCGGACCCCACCCTCCCAGCGGAGGCCTGAGTGCGCAGCCAGGAGAATCCAGTTCACTAAATAAACGCACCTCTGGGTGCCACGCTCAGGTCCTGCCAGTGGGAGGTGGCAGGTGGGGGTGCAGGCCACACCTGGGGCCATGTCACACGCTCTCCTGGGGCGGGAATCCACAGGCCCCGGGGACGGGCTCCTGCAAAGCTTGTGCGCTTTCAAGCTGCTGTGCTGATGTGGTAAAACGGCTTCTCAGACCGCTCCGTCATTAGACTCGAGTTCAGTGCCCGCCCACCTCCCATCACTGCAGTGGCATCACGGGATCCACTTGGATATCAAGTCTAAGAACAACGGTCCGCCCTGCGGTCCTGGAGGCCCCCAGCCGCCGTGGTCACAGCACGTCCCCATTACGCGGAGCCTCCTGGGGTGGGACAGGAAATGCAGGCCTCCCTGTTGGACACCCTGTCCAAGGCTTTGATCATGACGTCCGGAAAGTGGTCTGTGAGCATCTTTCTGCCGATGAGGATTTCGCCGAATTCTGACTCGTGTGACCACCTGGCTGTGTACCGAGCGGAGTAACAGCACCTGGAAAAGACGGTCAATGACTTCAGCTCCACCGACGTGTTTCATACGGACTGCGTGTGGCCTGAGGTCAGGGCCCTTAGCCCCCAGCTCACCTCCCTGAAGCCCCCTCTTCTTCCAGGTGGATGATCCTGCCGGGAGTGTAGAGAGGGGGGTACTTGGTGGGGGACCCCTCGGGGGAGTCGGTGGACCTGTATCCGGGGGGCTTGTGTGTCAGCAGGCTCTGCTCCCCGAGAAGCGGCAGGGTCAGGTCCCTGTGGTCGTCCCCGTCCAGCTCTGTTGGAAGGTCATCTGTGCTCCCTCCGAACAGCCCGTACCAGCAGCCGCGCAGCAAAACCTTGTACTAAAGGGGAGATGGGAGGCGCATGTTGGTACTCGGCCGGAGCTGGTGGGGGGGGGAAGCAGCTCTTGGCGCGGACGGTGCCTCGGTGGTGCTTCAGTCAGATCTTAGGAGTGTGGAGGCCACTGGGCCTACACTGCGGCATCTCTTGGGCAAAGAAGCCATCATTCTAGAAGCAATATTTAAAGCCAAGTCATGCAGAATTTGAGGTGAAATTATCCTTAATTCTTCCCAGGTAACTCTGCAAACCAGACTTACTCTTCCCCCAAAGGCGTTAGGTACCAATAGTTCTAAATTGGGGGTAGGGGGTAGCTGATAAGGAGAAAGTTTATTTTCAATTCTTAGTACTTTTTCTGATTAGCAACAACAACAAAAAGTCAGAAAACAAAGGTTAAAGAGAGATTGTTTTTCATCAAAACTCATATCTGTTATTTATATCCTGTGTGTGTTTTTAACTTTTCATACATCATGGATAGCTTCTTATTGGTAAATATAAGCTCACGTCACCTTTCTTCTAATCCTCACCAGAGGAGACTTCCCGTTGCTTTTCAGGGAGCGGGAGGGAGGAGCAGACTGGCTGCTCCCAGTGCTCCAGCGGGCCGGGGGCGAACCCGTGCCCAGGTGTGTGCCCCTGCCTGGAAAAGGAGCCCACAGCCCTTCGGCGTGCAGGCGGTGTTCTAACCACTGAGATCCCCAACCAGGGCTCGTGTCACCATTCTTAAAGGACGGCCTTACCACTGTCAGACATCCTAGCTGGCAGCCTTGTTTTCGGAGCTTTGGGGCCAAAGGCACAGGACATCGTGGGCACAGACAGGGCCACGAAGTCTGAGACGTGTACGGGGGGCGCAGCAGTGCCACCTGCACTGGGCTGAGGCTTCGCGTTAGAAAGCTCCTCCCCAGGCCGCAGCCCGTGGGGCCCAGGCCTCAGGCACCGTTACCTTGGGCTTGTTGCAGCGGGCAATCAGCCGCAAGATCTTCCTCTTCAAGTCCTCCATGTTGGTCACACTCAGCCTGTTTGTAGAAGGTGGATTGGTGCTCAGTACGCGGTCTCAGCGCCGCCCGCCCCCACACGACGCCCCAGCACTCACCTGGGGACCACGTCCTTGCCCACGACCAGGGACACGGTGAAGTCCTGAGAGTATTCATAGAGGGATTTGCTGGAATGCCAAAAAGAGAAAACATTAAGTTCATTTTTCACCTGACCTTGGAAAGGGTACGCACCCACACGTTCGGTGCGTCCCAACAGCCACATACGGAGACAGCGCGAGTGCCCGCCAACAGTGCCCCTCAGGCGCAAGAATAGTGAAGCTGCGCCGTGTGAACCAACACGGATAGGCCTGGGGCGCTGTGTTAGGTGAAGTGATTCAGACGGAGAAAGACAACCACCACGTGACCTCACTTCCATGTTCACAGACACAGAGAACAGACTGGTGGTTGCCAGGAGAGGGGCAGGATGACAGAGATGGGCAAAATGCATGAAGGGTCTCAGGGTAGAAACATCTTCTATAATAAAAGCCTAATATGCTGTCTGGTTGACTGGTCAGTCGGTCAATCAATCAAAGCGTAATATGCTAATGACATGCTAAAGGCTGCTCAACTGTTTGCTACAATGTGCACTGAACACCTGGGGGCAGGCAGTCAACCAGTCACTGATGTGCATTGACCACCAGGGGGCAGATGCTCTGTTATGTTAGCTTGCCAATCAGGACTGAGACAGCTGATCATGCCCTAGAGCCCTCCCAAGATCCCTCCCCAGCTGGCCAACCTCCACGTCCCCCCCCTGCCCAGGTCATGCACCAGTAAGGACCCTCAGCCTGGCCTGTGCCCTTTTGCAATCCAGGGGATGTCTGAGAGCTGGTGTTAAATGTAGTGCTTATCTATCTACCTATCTATCTATCTATCTATCTATCTATAAAAGGCTAATATGCACAGTGTCCCTTCAGGAGTTGGACGTGAGACAGGGAGTTCAATTACTTGCTATGATGTACAATGACCGCCAGGGGTGGCATGGAACGAAGGAAGGCCCCAGTGGGCTCTGATTGCCAGCCAGGCCTACAGACCCTCCCTATGCACAAGTTTCATGCACCAGGCCTCTAGTCCAGGTATAAAACAAGAGGACTGTAGTTAACACTCTTGCATATTTGAAAGTTGCTAACTGTAATCAAAGTTCTCATCACAAGAAAAAAATGCATGGTAACATGTTAACTAGACACTGTGGTGATCATGTTACAATATATGTAAACATTGGATCACTGTGTTGTGTGCCTGAAATGAGTAAAATAGGGTGTTTGCCATTTGGCATTACATCGTTTAGGAAGTCAAAGCCATGGTCAGACAGACCCACGGAGAGCTGGTTAGGCCCTGCTGTGTGGCTCAGTGGTTGAGCGTCAGCCTATCAACCAGGAGGTCACGTTTGGTTCCCAGTCAGGGCACAGGCCTAGGTTGTGGGCTCCATCCTTGATTGTGCAGGAGGCAGCCAATCAATGATTCTCATCACTGATGTTTCCATCTCTCTCTGAAATAAATAAAACAAATTTAAAAAAAGACCGTGTAGTCTTTCTTTAACAAAAGAGTACTTGAAAACACTTCTAAGGATAAAAAACTAAGTCACCAACAAAAGACCAGTCTTAACTAGACTTATCCATGCGCCTCATTGCGCCCGGAGAGGAAGCGGTACCTCAGCAGCCCCCTGGGCGGCGAGAAGGCGTAGCACCGGACGTGGGGGTAGGAGCCTCTGAGCATGATGGCCAGCAGGGCTGCAGCGCCCGCTCCCAGGCTGTGCCCGATAACCACCAGCCGGTACTCCTAGAGGACAGAGCGCAGTGAGGCGAGGTCACCACGCCCGGCAGCTAAGGGTGGGAATGAGAGGAGAGGGACATCTCACAGGAGCAGCGCTGAAGGCCTGGGTCAGGATCCCGTCGGTGACGAGGCGTCGGTACAGGTACTTGGCAGCCTGAGTCATCCCCTGAAACAGGAGGTGACTGGTGTGGCCGGGCATTTGTGACGGCGCCCCCCGCAGAGCAGCGTCTCAGGCGGTGGCATGCCCGCTGCTCTTTGTTCCTGGCACCCGGTGCGGGGGGGGGGGGGGGGGGGGCCGTGAACACACGGGTGACATCAGGAACCTCCTGCTGACCCACTGAGTGTTTCTACGGCATTCTCTGCAGCTACGGAGTGTGCTGCCATGTGGAGGTGCCAGCCTAGTCTGGCCAAGTCCCTGTGGTTGGTCAGATTTAGATCATGAATGACAGGTTTCAAAATGGCATCAAAACAAAGTTCTGAATTGGTGACATTAGTGTCCCCTATTCCTGAAAAGGCAGAACTTAGGCCGTCAGAGGTGAATTATAGGGAGGTCAGGCTTTGACTTAATTTTAAAAACAAAAACGTAAGACCTCCTAAGGAATCCAGCTACCTCACAGCTATGGAAAGGCAAGCAGCTCCGACAGGGAGGCAACACGATCAAACCTGGGAGGTTCCCACAGACAGCGCCGTCCTCGGGAAGAGAAAGCTGGGACACGTCCTGGCAAACCACCAGGCCCCTTCCCCACAAGCATGGGTGCCGCCAGCTCCTCTGCACTCAGGCACCGATCAGTGTCTGCTCTGGGCCGTCAGAGCCCAACATGCGGCCCTCACCTGCTGCTGGTGTCTCCCTGGCACGCGCCTCACACGGACAAGGTGCCAAGGGCGTATTCAGGCGCAGAGCTTTCAACTCCAATTGCCAGGCCTCGCTGGCACAGACGAGCCCAGAGCAGAGGGCAGGCCGGCCGTGTGCCTGGAGCAGCTGTCTTCCGGCCGGAGGGGAGGGCTGCTGCTGGAGGGGCCGGAGCTGGAGGCCTCGGGGACCAGCCAGGCCCCAAGGGCCACAGACGGCCTTGAGCTGCAGGAGGTGGACCCTGTAGGAGCCAATCTGCCGCCAAGCCCAGACCCTGGCTGGCTGATGTCTCCAGAATACAGTTTATGCTTTTTTCACTCACACCCAATAGTGGTCAAACCAGACTCTCATGAACCGGCGCAAGGGTTAAAGCAGCGGTTCTCAGCCTTCCTAACGCCGCGCCCTTTGATCAGCTCCTCACGTGGTGACCCCAGCCATAAAGTTTTTGTTGCTACTTCATAACTTCATTTTGCTACTATTATGAATCGTAAAGTAAATGTCTGTGTATCGTCATGTAAATATCCGATGGCCTTAGGCAACTGACCCTGCTAGCAGTTTTCAACCTGGGGTCGCTGCAGAGAGCTGCCGGAGAGCCTAAGAACACACAGATATTCACGTTACGATTCGTAACGGCAGCGAAATCACAGCTAGGAAGCAGCAAGGAAAACAACTGCCTGGCTGGGTCACCAGCACAGGAGCTGTGTGAAGGGCCGCGGCGTTAGGAAGGTGAGAGACACTGGGTAAAAGGGAAGTAGTAAGTACCCTCCCAGCACTGCCAGCTTCCAGCCGGGGACGGACAAAGCCTCCGCCGCTGCCAGCAGCCGCCGCACACTGGCTGGGCCACGGAGCCTGGGAGCTCAGGCCTTTTGTTTTTAAATGGTCACTACACACGTGACACGTTTTAGTTGAGAAGCCCATGAAGTGTGTAGTCAGCATGCCACTGCCCTGCACCCTCACAGCCTCCTGGTACCATTCCGAACGCCCTCCAGTGTTCACGCCTCCGCCCGCAGTCTCCCATCACCAGGGAAACGTAGGTGGAACCAGTGAGAGGCCGCCCACACCCACGGGGGGTGCCTGAACGGAACAGGAAGCACGGCGTGGAGAAACGGGAACTCCGTAGTACTGGCGGCTCTGAAATGGTGCATCCGCTGGAAAACTGTCCCGGTTCCTCAAAAAGTTAAATCAAGCCCTAGCTGGTGTGGCTCAGTGGACAGAGCGTCAGCCTGCAGGCCAGAGGGTCCCTGTCAAGGGCACATGCCCGGGGTTGCAGGCTTGATCCCTGGTGGGAGGCAGCCGATCAATGATTCTTATCATTTAATGTTTCTCTCTCTCTCCCTTCCTCTCCAAAATCAATAAAAATGTATTTTTAAAAAATGTTAAATCAATCCTCAGCAATCCCACTTCTGGTCTCCACCCAAAGGAAGAAGCCGGGACCTGAGCAGAGCCTGCACCCACGGGCATGACGTTACAGCCGCCCACGCCGTCTGAAGGCGGGGTGGCCAGGGGTGTGTGAGCAGTGGTACCGCTTGGCCTGGAAGAGGACGGACCCTGAGAACATGGTGCACAGGCAACAACCAGCGTGAAGGAGGGACACCGACTCCTCCGACAGGAGGTCCCGAGAGCACAAACCCACAGACAGCGGGAGGGGGGGAGGGGGGCGGTCCGGGGAGGGAAGGTGGGACTCAGTGGCACCAGAGCTGATGGGATGACATGGAGAGGGGATGGCCGCACTGAACTGGCCGTGTAGACAGTTAAAGGAGAAGGGCCGTGTGGCATGGAAAGCTTCAGGCCATGGACGGGCCTGGCGGTGGCGTTCTGCAGGCAGGCGCTGTGGTTGGGGATGCCCTGAGAATGCACCCCTCTGATGACCAGGAGGGAACATCTGCGGGTCCAGGCCCGACTGACACTCACTCAGGCACCGGGAGGCTGCTGGCAAGTGAGCCTGGCTCTGAGCCTGCCTCTTACAGTGCTGCCCGCCAGCACGGACAGGCTGCCAGGGAAAAGCGCCCACTGTGCGCAGCCCCTGGCAGTGAACAGGAGACTCGGAGGCAGGAAGTCCTGGCCCTCCCTGGGCGTCTACCTTATGTGCCCCGCAGTCCTGCAAGTCACACCCCAGGTCCAGGTTCTCGGTCTCTGCGGACAGGTCGGTGAGGATGTCCTGTAAGCGCGGGGAGAGGGCCGTCAGCTGGGCGGGCGGCGGTCTCCTGGCTCAGGGGCTCCCAGCAATGGAGACGTCAAGGGGCTGTGAGGCGGGTGTGTCCCAGGACCCACTGAGCCCAGCCGCTGGGTGAGGGGCCCCACATCTGCGTGCCACCAGCTCACAGGTGACCCAGGCTGCAGGCTCGGAACGGGCCCCTGAGCACCCAGCACCCAGGGAGCGGGAAGGCACTGGGTTAGGCCGGGGAGCACCAGGATCTGTGACAGAAACACAATCTTGGCTGGGCTTCCTGGGAGGAGGGCGGTCTGACCAGGCCCCGGAAAGAGGTCAGGACAGACGGGCCGGTGAGACAGAGGCAGGGACTGCGGTGGGAAACCACCTCCAGCCCAGGAAGGCAGCCTGGCCAGCGCGGGCCATGTATGGGGACCGGGGAGGAGATGGGCAGAGACGCTGGCAGAAAGCGAGGCGACGCTGCAGGCCTCGCTGTTAGAAGAAAGGGGCCCAACGGGAGCCGGCTGGAGGGGGAAGGCCTGGACTCTGGGCCAGGTCCTGGCCACCAGCGGTGCTGCAAGCCGCGCCCAGAGGGCAGAAGGCAGAGGGCAGAGGGCAGAGGAAGGGGCCAGGCTCTGGAGGCTCATGCACTCAGGCATTTCCCGGGCCAGCAGAGTGGGCGGGAGCCAGGCAATGAGTCAGGAACGGCCAAGAGACCAGCCTGAGCCAAAGGGAGGGGGGCCGCCTCCCACAGGGCGGAGGTCGGGTGGCGGGGCCCGGGGCTGAGGACAGCAGGAGGTTCGTGCAGCCCCTGCAGGGCGGCCCCTGGGCCCTGCTGAGGTCCACACAGGAATCGGGGCCGCACGGGCGTGCCCACTGCGGGTGCAACTTCGGCCAGCACTGCTGACTTGCTGTCCCATTCTGGGGTTGGGTGGGAGTAAAAGTTCAAGGGTCACCCCGGTTGGGGTCAGGCCAGGCACACCAGCGGAGTCAGCAGGCGCCTCCTGGAGCAGGGACCCCACCTCCCCCACCTCCCACCCCCGTGTCTGTTTCAAGTTTCTCAAAGAAAAGGAAATGACTTGGACGTTTTCAAAAGGACATTTCACAAGCCTGCACACGCTTCCCTCCTCCCTCCCGGGGCTCCTGTCTGAGGCGGGCCAGGACTGCGGCGCCTGAGCAGCCACTGGGGGCTCCCCAGGCCTCACCTGCAGAGACATGGTCCCCCGCACGGCCACCACCACGCACTCCTTCTTGTGATCCAGAGCCACCAGGAAGGGCAGCTCGTAGACCTGCAGGAGAAGAGGCAGGAGGTTCAAGCGTGTGCCCGCCCCGCCCACCTGCCCGCCCGCGCCTCACGCTGTGCGCATGGGCTGGGTGAGCCTGCCTTTGCTCCTGGAACACGTGCCCGGTCTCCTTTCCCGCCTCTTTCCCACCTGTGGCCCGCCATGTGCTGTGTGGTGGGGCCTCCCTCCTGCAGCCGCACAGCTCCACACTAACCAGCTAAAGGGCGCCCTCCGGGCCTGGCCCCACAGCTGCGTTCCCACGGCTTCAGGCTGCCCCGGGCGGTGGGCCCCTTGGCGGGCAGGACAGCGCCCCCTTCCTGACGTTCGAGCAGACAGGTCTGGGCCGGGCCGCAGCCCTCTCGCCAGCACCAAGCACAGGTGAAGCTGGGGCAGTTCTCCAGCTGAGCACACGGAGTGCCCAGTCCTCTGGGGCTGCTGCTGCTGCTCCCTCCCCGGCCCGGCTGTGCACTGGCGGGGGCCCTCGGCCTGGCCTGTGTCCTCGCGCCATCCGGGACCCCTCGGGGACATCGGACTGCCGGTGTCAGCCGATCCCCGCAGCCAGCCTGAGGGACCCCCCTGGTGCCTGGATCCGTGCACTGGGCCTCTAGTAGTTTATAGCTCCCATCAGCATTCAAAGGACTCTGGCCCGAGGCAGGCCGGGAGCACTGTGCACGCTACCTTGTCGTGGAAGCTCATGTGGATGAAGTCGCTGTGCTGGAGCCCTGCCATCCGCAGGACGGAGCCAGAATGGCAGTGCGGCTGCTCGCCTCCAACCACATCGAACTCTGTGGTCCTGCTCCTGCAACTAAAACCACGGACAGCCTGAGCCCGCCCCGGGGCTCCACCCGTCTCCTTTCTCAGCAAACCCAGGGCCAGCGTTCACAACGTGCAGGACTGTCAGGCTAACGTAGAATGGAAGTGATATATTTCTGCCTGGCCAGCATGGCTCAGCGGTTGAGTGTAAACCTGTGAACCAGGTCAAGGCACAAGCCTGGGTTTCAGGCTTGATCCACAGTGTGGGGCGCACAGGAGGCAGCCAATCCATGATTCTCTCTCATCATTGATAATTCTGTCTCCCTCTTCCTTCCTCTCTGAAATCAATAAAAAAAAATTTTTTTAAATATCATTGGGAGAATTGCAAAAATTGGAATATGTTATAAATGAGCTAATGATGAATGGTAACTTTCTGAGTTTAACACTGCACTGTGTCACATAAGAGAACGCTCTTGTTCTTAAGGAATCCGGGCTGGAGTACGTGGGATGAAGGGACGTGGTGTATCGCATGGGGAGGGGCAGCTAAGCGGAGCCTCCGCACACGTGACAAAATGAGTCCCCCTGGCGGCTCCCATCACTGAGACGCGGGAATCTTAGTGCTGCTCTCGCAGCTTTTGAAATATTTCACAACAGAAAGGTTTTTAAAAGGGAAGGAAGGTTGTGTTTAGAAAACAACGTATGGGCGCCTCGGTGAGCGCCATCTAGGAGAGGGAGCCACCCTGCTGACCTACCAGTCGCCCCCAACCCTGCACAGCCCCGTAAAGGGGTTCAGGTAGATGTAGAGGGGCCAGCCGTAGGCAGCGGCCGCGATCGGCATGTAGTGGCGGCAGTTCTCCAGCTCCACGTCCAGGCTGTCCCCCTGGGAGAGAACCGTCTGGTTAGGGGTGGCTCCGGGGGCCCACACACTCACCCGGAGCCTGAGCTGGAGGCCGCCACAGGGGGCACTGGCCCTCAGTGCGGCCCGAGCCGGCCCTCACTTTACAGGGCAGCACGTGCCGTGAGCCGGCAGCCAAGCCCGGGACCTTCCGGCCGCTGTCGGGGTGGAAACCATATGTTCACGCCGCTGTGACCAGCCCGCTGAGCACCGGGTGCCCGGATGAGTGCAGAGAAACCACGTGCTTATGTGGGAAGTTCTCTTTCAAAGCTAAAATCCATGGCAGGAACTCCCATCAAGCAAAACAGCTGTCTGCTCCCCCGGCCCAGAGCAGAGAGCAGCACGTGACCGGGTCAGCCCCAGGAGGAGGTCTGAAACGGGGCCGCGGCCCCTTCCCTGGGAGTGTCCCTGACTCCGGTGACGGAGCCGCCCCGGCAGCACGAGGCTCAGACCTGATCCCCAGCCGCTGCTGGGGCTGCGGCAAGGTTGTGTGTGTGTTCCTTTAAAAGATTTACAAATGGGCGTCAATGTCACAACTGTACACCCGACAGACATGGCTCACCTGGGAGGACCCTGGGGAGTGGCTGACCACTTCCTTCGGCGGCTGGCTGCTCCTGGCTCTGTCCTGCTGCTGGTGGAGGAGGGTGAGGCCCACCACGAGGTCACTGGGCACCAGGTCTGTGTCCTGGAATGGGGGCCATATGGCCTGTCATAAAGCTCAGCAGGATGGCCCCCGAGTCCCTTACACCCGCTTACACAGTCCCCGCGCGCACACACACACAGGCAAAGACACACATACACACACAGGTACACACACACACACAGGCATCTGTAAAAAGGTGCTTTAAAAAGTTTCCTTTCGGGACTCCTCCTGTATGTGAGCTCAGTGTGTGTTACTCTGCCCTCAGACAACTCAACTGGCAAACACAGGGCCTGGGTGGGTCTCCATTTAAAAATTTCTCTTCACGTGACTTAGCTCTTTTTAATCTACTTCCCATCTCTGACGGAGCGGGGAGTGGTGGCAGATGTGCCACTTCTGCAGTGCGGCCAGTGTCAGCAGGGCCAGCCTCTCAGGCTGAAGGTTTGGTGGAAGGTCTGTGGGAGGGAGGGATGAGCTGGCTCACACCCACAGGGGCAGCGGCCTCAGGAGGAACTGTCCACTGGGGAGGCTGCCCTTCCAGGTGGGACCCACCAGCGCGACCTCTCAGCCCGCCCTCTGCCGATGCCGGCTCGGCCTCCTCCAGGGGGACCAGAGCTCCGCCTGCTCCGCCTGCCAGACCAGGCCGCAGCTCTCCTCCCGAACCCCCCCCCCGAGGCTCTGCTGGCCAAAGGCCCGGCCTGGACAGAGCCGAGAAAGGCCCCGAGCACTCTCCCTGACGTGGTCTCGCGTGAACAGAGAGCAGTTTATCGGGCCATTTTATGAAAAGACGCACATTAAGTGCGAAAGCAAAACGAGTGCATGTGAGACGCTGAGAAGCCGCTCTAGGGCGGCGCCCCTCCCGCAGGAAGTCTCCCCCGGCTTCCCTTCGGAGGGGAAACTGGTGGTTCCCACCACGCTGTGCAGAGGGAGGAGCAGTGGGACCCCTCCCCGCCTTGTCTGCTCACAGCTGGTTGGCGGGTGTGAAAAGACACTGGTGAGTTATTCGCAATGTGTAACGTTCATTAAAAACTAATTCAAAATCCTGACAGAGTAAAGAACAGGTGTCAACACCAGGAGGCAGGGACCAGAGGCAGGTCACACAGGCAGGGCCCGCCCCAGGGGCCTCCGGGGCCTGCTGTGTGGGGCGCGCAGTGCAGAGCCCTCTAACGGAGGCGGCAGAGAAGCGGGGCTTACGGAGAAGTAGGTGGAGAAGAGCTCGGCCGTGCTGGAGAAGGCCATGCGCGCCTGGTCGTCCCGCTCCACGCAGCAGCACAGCAGCCTCATCCTCTTTTCCCACACGCTGGTGGCCGCCGTCCGGAGGCCGCTGAGGAACTGGCTCGCCTCGGGGTCATAGGTGGGGCCGGCAGAGGAGTACGGCGCCACCTTCCGCCCCAGCGGGTCGAAGACAATGAAAATGGTGACCGCCGTGGAGCCGATGATCATCCAGCTGCGAACAGGGGGCCGGAGTGAGCCCAGCACAGGGGGCCCAGGCCGGGAACCTGGCGGAGGTGAGCAGCTGGCTTCCGCTAGAAAGTTCCTGCTGAGGCCCAGGATCACAGCCCCGAGGACGGTGCCAGCACACGAGACAGGGACTGCGTGGGCAGCTGTAGCCCCGACCAGGACCCGCCTCACTCAGGGCCTCAGGGTTCTTGTCGGTAAAACCAAAAGAATTCTGCCGAAGCGCGGCACTGAGCTGAAACCGGTGTGGCTCAGTGGATAGAGCATCGGCCTGCAGACTGAAGGGTCCCAGGTTTGATTCCGGTCAAGGGCATGTACCTTGGTTGCGCGCACATCCCCAGTGGGAGGTGTGCAGGAGGCAGCTGGTCCATGTTTCTCTCTCATCGATGTTTCTAACGCTCTATCCCTCTTCCTCTCTGTAAGAGATCAATAAAAAGTGTGTGTGTGTGTGTGTGTGTGTATATATATATATATATAAGTGCGGCCCTGACAGGCCTTTGGTTTGGTGTTTGTCATTCCAGGCTGTCAGATACAAGAGGCTCTGGGTTCACCACGCGTCTCTACTGGAGGTGGCCCTGAGGAGGGGCTCTGCTCCCCCTGGAGGCGAGGCCAGGAACGGCACCGTCAGCATGGCTGTCCATTTCCTTATTTACAACAGGGATATAACAAGATCACTTCAAAATGTTTTAGCCTGGGGAGTGCCAAAGTCTTATTTTAGTGCATTACACTCTATCCAGTGCACTCCTTCCCATCCTGCCGTTAGCGTCTGCCCTTGTTCTGGCCTTCAGAACCTCCTCCTTCTTGTATGAGAAGGGAGGGAATAGAGAAATGGGAACCGGTAAGAAAGAAGACTCCATCAATAAATGCATAAGCCCAGCTGATGAGGCCCAGGGGTTGAGTGTCGACCTATGAACCAGGAGGTTACAGTTCGATTCCCGGTCAGGGCACAGGCCCAGTGTGGGGAGTGCAGGAGGCAGCCGATCAATGATTCTCTCATCATTGATGCTTCTACCTCTCTCCCTTCATTTCTGAAATCAATAAAAACCTATTTAAAAACGCATGCTGGGAGGCGAGCCGTTTCTCACGTATGAACAGGTGCCTCTGATGGTTCCATGGCCTCAGCACGACCAGTTCCTAACGGCTGGGAGCGCGGTCTGCCGGGCGGGCTGCCGCCCTCAGGAAGCTCTCTCACCTACATCCCAGGGCGCGCGTGTCAGGAAGCCGGAGAGACGACGGGAAGCGCTCACCTGACCACGACGGTGACGATGATGGCGCTCACCACTATCTTGTCGCACTGAGTGCTCTCTGCCACCCACATGGCCCCCAGGGAGGCCCAGACGATCTCGGGCAGGAAGAGCGCCAGGCGGATGTACAGCAGCGTCGCCATGGACTTCCGGGGCGCGGGGTTGAAGATGGTTCCTAGGACAGAAGACACTCGGGCTGGCCAGCCTCCCTCGGAGACGCAGGGCTCGCCTTCTAACGCAGCACGGCCAGGGCGGCCACGGCTCTGCGCGGCCCCTCTGCTGTCCCTACTTTAACCAGTCATCCACGCTGAGAGCGACCACGCAACCATGTGACCACGTGACCATGTGACCACATGAGGGGGAGCTGGACAGGCAACCTCAATTCACTTCTTGGACTCAGCAGGGTTTAAAAACGCTTCGGGCTCCTAACTAGGATCCCAATTGGGACGCTTCTGAGAGCAAAGAAGGGGCTGTTGGTAACTGTGCTGGGATGAGAGTAAACAGAACGAGCCCAGCCAAACAGAGAAACCGTTCCCGCTCTGACCGACAAGAAGCTGAGCTGCAGCCCGGAGCCCTCCATGGCCACAGGCACTGCCACACTGTCTCGTTATCAAGATGACCGTGAGACCAGCGCCATCCCCGCTCACAAACGAGGGACCCGAGGCTCTGAGCTCAGAAGCTACTTCCTAAAGTAAACCCGTGACCATGACCCTGGCTCACTGCCTCCCTTTTGGGAAGAAGTAATTCTGATGGTCAGACCACTGAGAGAGGCCTGACACATCCCAGCATCCTCTCCCTGTGAGAAAGTGTTATGATAAACACTAATTTAAGTGACACCAAAATACCATGATTGAAACAAATACAATAAATCCAAGTTCTAAAGAATGACTTGGTAAGAAAATCACTTGTAAAATCCAAAAATTATCTTCCATTAGAATGAATTATGTAGACTTACATTTTATTTTATTTTAAATATGTTTTTATTGGTTTCCAAGAGGAAGGGAGATGGAGAGAGGGACAGGAGCATCATAATGAGAGAAATCACTGATTGGCTGCCTCCTGCACGGCACTCCCTACTGGGGATGGAGCCCAGAACCTGGGCATGTGTTCTGACCAGGAAATGAACCATGACTTCTTGGTTCATCAGTCAATGCTCAACCACTGAGCCATGCCAGCCAGGCTAAAGTCACCGTTTAATATACCAGACACCAAGGGGTCTTATTCTGGGCACAAAGACAAATCTTACAAGGGAACTGAATGAGAGCGGCATGAAAAATCCAGTCCTGTGTTCGGAGCCCATTACTGTATAACCACCGCCGATCACCGAGGGGAAAAACGGGAAGTTAGTATCTTCTACACACACCCCTGCTTCCGGGAGCACGGGGGCCCAAGTAAGGGAGCAGTGCCTGACACCCAGCAGCCCGCAAGGCAACCTGTGGCTGCTGCGTAAATCAAACCCACAAACAAGGAATCAGGAAATGGAGTTCTGGTTAAGGTTCCAGAAAAGTCATAGACACTGAGCAAGTCCCCTCTACATAGCTGTGCCTGCCCAGAAAGCATTTTATCTTTCTGAGCTGCTTATTTTCTTCTCAAGAAAAAGCACGGCTGGCGTGGCCCTGGCTGCTGCAGAGGCCCCGTGAGGCACCGCGTCATGATTAACAAGAAGTTACGCCCCTGGATGTCATGTCCCAGCAGTCTCGGTGAAGTAACCCTTCACCAGGCACCAGGCTCTGGATTCAACACTTCTCCCCACTTAGAATCTTCTCTGGCAGGAGACGAGCAACGAACGTTTGAGATGCAGAGATGCTCAATGTCCAAGAATCAGACACAGTGACTGGCAGACCCCTACATCGAGGCTGTTCCATCAAAAACATGGGAATCAAGCCCGGCTGGTGTTGCTCAGTGGTTGAGCATCAACCCATGAACCAGGTCGCGGTTTGATTCCTGGTCAGGGCATAGGCCTGGGTTGTGGCCTCTATCCTCAGTGTGGGGCATGCAGGAGGCAGCAGATTAATGATTCTCTCTCATCATTGATGTTTCTCTCCCTCTCCCTTCCTCTCTGAAATCAATACAAATACATTAAAAAATGTTTATACCTAAAATTTACACTTTGTAAAACACTTGACTTTGTGCAGGGAATGCATGTAAAGGTAAAAAGTGCAACGCTGACCCGATGCCAGTTAACTTCCATGGCCTCCTGCAATCCACGCGTGAACAAACCATGTGTGTACACATCCCCGTTAGAAAACGGGAGCAAGTTAATGCCACGCCTGGACCCTCAGCCGAGTGAAACTTTCCGTGTCCAAGCAGTTCCCGACCTTTCCCTCGGGGCACAGCACACATCACAGCCTGAATCACCTTCACCCGCCAGTGGCCCCGCAGGCATGGATTTGTCCCAGCCTTTGTCCCTATAAACGACCCTGCAGGGGCCATCCCCACGAGGACTCTGCACGCCTTCAAATACACAGGAAAGAACGAAGACACACACAGCGAGACGGGGCTGCCCAGAGATGCCACCAAAGGACATTCCACCAACAAGACGAGCTGCCTGATCCTGCAGCCTCCCAGCCCTAGGCTTTGTGCCCGTGAACCTTGCTTACGTGACGGAAGCTGAGCAATGTGCACGTTACTGATGTTTATTTAACTGTTCATGATCTCTGCCCAATTTCTACGAACTAGTGGCTTTTTTCTTATTTGTCACAAAAGCCCTTATAATGAAAGAGTCTGGCTCTAAGTCTCATATTTGTATCCCATTTGTCTTTCTAAACTTCCTGTATGGTATGTTTCACTAACACCTACATATTTATGCTACAGCACATGATGTTAATCATTTGGAACAAATTGGCATGAGCTAGCATGCTTTCATGAAACATATTCTGCCTTCAGTTCAGCTACGATGTCTCCCACCACCAGCAACAGGAAATCCAGCTCAAAGTGTCCAAACCAGGAAGACCTCCCCGGCTGCAGAAGGGCTTCGTGCTCCCTGTCCCCCCTACCGCGCTGTCCCCTCCCCACTGTGCTGTCCTCCCCACCGCGCTGTCCTCCCCACCGCGCTGTCCCCTCCCCACCCACCGCGCTGTCCTCCCCACCGCGCTGTCCCCTCCCCACCACGCTGTCCTCCCCACTGCGCTGTCCCCCCTACCACGCTGTCCCCTCCCCACCGCGCTGTCCCCCCCCCACCGCGCTGTCCCCTCCCCACCACGCTGTCCTCCCCACCACGCTGTCCTCCCCACCGCACTGTCCCCTCCCCACCACGCTGTCCTCCCCACCGCGCTGTCCTCCCCACCGCGCTGTCCTCCCTGGGTGTTGGCTCATCCTGGCCTGACTGCAGCAGGAATCCAGCAGCTCATCCGCACATAACATCATCCTGAAGGGGGGACAGTCCTAGGGAAGCAAGGAAGAACTTCTCCAGAAATTCCCAGTAAATTCCCTGAATGTCATGACCCCAAATGGGTCACATGTCAGTTCCTGGAAGCAGTCCCTGACCATGGACATGGTTCCGGAGCTGGGCAGGGGCCAGGCTGTGACATGTGCCTGGCATGTGCGGGGGGCGGGGAGGGGGGGGCGGTGTCCTGAGTTGAACTGGGTTTTGTTTGGAGGAGGCTGCTGGGCCTGGTGATGGGAGCGTGTGCCAGGGCCTGGGAGGGACCGGGGAGATGTGGCCATTCATCACAAGGGTGTGACTGGGCCCTGGCTCCCAAAATCTATCTGAAGGAAAACATTTCTGGGGGAAAACTTACACTTATTGCTTCACATTTGAGCCCATGATTACCGTGTAAACATGGTGCATTAACCAGAGCGTGACCTGGACAGAAAGGGCAGAGGTTAGGCAATGGCATCTGAAATGAGGACCATCCGGTACCGCACCTCTCAGAAATCCTGGCTCCCTAACGTCACGATGCCGCTCCATCCAGCGCGCCCCGTCCTCAGCACCAGCGCCTCCGCCATCCAGACCAGGGCTGACAGCCACAGGACCACCCTGCTCTGCCGCCGACCCCACGCTCCCGTCCTCAAGGCTGTTTCCTGCTACCTGTCCCTGTCAGCGGGCACACGCCATGCTTCCTGGTCATCCAAACCCCAAGACGTTCCCCATAAAACACGCTGCCACTAGCACTTCCCTCTGTGTCCCTCTTCACCAACCACCATTTTGTACATCCCAACCTATCATTTCAAAATGCCGGTCTCTGCCACTGTACCAGCGACGCCCCGGTTTCATCACCATCCGCAGGCACCCTGATGCAAGCCGTGATAAGGCCCTGCTCCCACGGGCAGCGTCACTGATGCAAGCACGGAGCACGCAGCTCCTCCTGTGAGCCGGACCAACTGACAGGGGGGGTCCACCCTTCTCAGCTAAGTGTCTGTCTGCAGAGAATGACGGCATGGAGGGAGAATGATCATTAAGAATAGATGTAACTCATTAATGAGAGGACAAATAACCCAACTTAAAATTGGACAATGAATCGAAATAGACGTTTCTCCAAAAATAATACACAAATGGCCACTAGCCATACGAAGACATGCCTGATGTTGTTACTCATCAGGGATGCAAATCAAAACCACGATGAGCTGCTGTTTCCTGCCCGCTGGGATGGCCGTGACCAAGAGGCACAGAGCTCCTGCCGGTGTGGCTCAGTTTGTGGGCGTGTCATCCATGCACCAACAGGTCACTGGTTCCATTCCCAGGCAGGACGATGCCCAGGTTTTGGGCTTCATACCCATGAGGGTGGGTTCCTAGTAGAGGTACATGAGGAAGGTAACCTATGGGTGTTTTCCTCTCACAATGATGTTTTTCTTTCTCTCTCTCAAAATCAATAAAAACACCTTTTTAAAAAAGAAGTCATATAGCACTACCCAGTTTGGCTCAATGGATTGAGTGTCGGCCTGCAGACTGAAGGGTCCTGGGTTCGATTCCAATCGAGGGCATATGCCTGGGTTTCGGGCTTGATCCACAGTAGGGGGCGTGCAGGAGGCAGCCGAGCAATGAGTCTCTCTCATCATTGATGTTTCTATCTCTCTCTGCCTCTCCCTTCCTCTCTGACATCAATAGAAACATTGCCCCCTTCCGGTGTAGGACAGCGCTCCAACCAACCGGCCACGCCCGCCGCGCAGGCCGCCCCTCCTCACCTCTCGTGCTCACGAACACGATGGCCATCATGGTACATACGATCACCGCCAGGAGCACCATGAGCACCACCATGTAGTTGCTGAGCAGGGTCCCCCGAGCACAGTCCAGCTTCCCGCGGTACCGGAGGTACAAGGCCAGGATGCCGACCCACCTGAGGGAAACAAGGAGGTCAGCCGTCAGTCCCGGGGCTGCTCCGCCAAACACGACAGAAAGAAATAAAAGGAGCCATCGTTCCCTTCCACGGGCGAGGTCGGTTTTGAAATACCACGCTCATCAATAAAAATCTACAAAGTCAGCCGAAACCGGTTTGGCTCAGTGGATAGTCGGTCTGCAGACTGAAAGGTCCCAGGTTCGATTCCGGGCAAGGGCATGTATAATATCTTGTTGCGGGCACATCCCCAGTAGGGGGTGTGCAAGAGGCAGCTGGTCGATGACTCTCTCTCATTGATATTTCTAACTCTCCCTTCCTCTCTGTAAAAAATCAATAAAATATATATATTTTTAAAAATCTACAAAGTCGCCCAGGCCTGCGGCTTTTCACAATGTACTTTCTACTTCCCGTCTTGCGCTGTGCCTTCCTGCCCGCAGGAAGGCACGAGCGCCGTTCACAGCCATAAGGAAGGAAGCAAGCGGCACGAATCAGAGATGCACGCCTGGTACACCAGCACCCTGGGGTGCCTGCCACGTTATTAACAGGAGAAGTCCCACTTCTGTGGATCCACACTGGAGCCTGCTGTGTCTGACACAGAAGGCCGAGCTGGTGGGGAGCGGGGGAAACCAAAAAGGAGAAGCATCCGGGACGCACAAAGGTTTTGCAATTCGGTGGGTGCACCGCGATGGAAGTATCAGCTGCCGCTGGAGCTCGTTCAGCAGCGCACAGCCTGCCTGGCAAGAGTTGGGACTCCAGCCCAGACCAAGGATCCTAGTCCCGGGGAAAGGGACTAGGGAGGTGGCCTGTGCTTTTGTCGGTTCTGTGACATTGTGACCCCGTGGCTAGGAAGAGTGGACCTGACCTCGGAAAGGCTTAGCTCTCAAAACTGTGCAACTACTCAGTAGCAGGTCCCAACGTTGCGTGCTTTTCTTTCTTTCCCCTCACGAACCTACTTTAAAAAAGTAACCAATAACAACGGTGTTATTCCTCGCTCAGCTCTCTGAGGACAGACCTCGGGCCCCACTTCCACTCCCGCGGATCCCACGCTGAGCAAGGCGCGAGGGCGCGTGCCAAGCCCGTCCGCTGCTGGCGGAACGCGGCCCCGGCGGCTCAGGAGGCACCGAGCGCGCAAGGGCGCTCCGTCACGGGCAGGTGCACGCGAGGTGCCGGCGTGCGGGCGGCAGGCTGAGGCGGCAGAGCCCCGGGCCACGGCTTTCCAGGGGCGCCCGGCGGCTCTCACCGGGGCGCGGGGGCGGCTCTCACCGGGGCCCGGCGGGAGGGGAGGGCCGGGGCCCCGGGCGGCCGGCACGCCTCCCGCTCTGTCCTCAGTCTGCCGGCTGTAAAATGGGGGAATAACAGCACCCCCTCCTCGGGGGGCGGGAGAGGATTAGACAAGGGGACGCCGGGCCAGCCTGGGCACCGGGGCCCTGACGACACTGCCACGCACTCCGCCCGGACGGCTGCCCGCCCGGACCCCCGCCCGCCCGCCCGCCCGCCCGCCCGCGCCCTCCGCGGGGCCCCGCGCCCTCACCACAGCGCCCGCAGGAACAGCTCGAACAGCCCCGGGAAGAACAGGTCGTCGCTGGCGATGGCCCAGCGCCGGCCGAAGAGCACCATGCCCGGCATGGCGGAGGTCGCGCCGCCCGGCCCGGACAGCCCGCCGCGCCGCCGCCGCTCCCGCTGCCGCTCCGCGCCCCACGCCCTCCGGCTCCAACCAAACTGGCCGCGGCCCGGCGCACGCGCACGCGCACGCGAGCAGGGCCGGCGCATGCGCGCGGCGGGGCCGAGCCTGGCGCGCGCGGCGGGGCGCTCTGCGCGTGCGCGTGCGCGCCGGCCGGGGGGCGCCGGCGGCCCCAGAGCAGACGCGCTGCGTGGAGGGCGAAACCCGCCCGCTGACCTCCTCCCGGGGCACCGGCGGCGCCCAGACCCCCGGCCGTTCGCGCGGACCCAGGCCTGCGGCGTGTGGCCCGCTCTGTGCGTCCCTGGGCGGGAGGAGGGAGCAGGTGATGCTGCAAGAGCTGAGAACCTGCGACCACCACCGTGGTCGGCAAACTGCGACTCGCGAGCCACATGCGGCTCTTTGGCCCCTTGCGTGTGGCTCTTCCACAAAATACCACGGCCTGGGCGAGACTATTTTGAAGAAGTGGCGTTAGAAGAAGTTTGTTTAAAAAAGTTTGGCTCTCCAAAGAAATTTCAGTCATTGTGCTGTTGGGATTTGGCTCTGTTGACGAATGAGTTTGCCGACCGCTGACCTGGCAGCCTGGGGCTGGGACGGGTGCTGGGGCCTAGCCTCCGGAACAGGCGTTGCTCAGTGCCTCCTGACCCGTCCCAGCACCTCCCCTCTTCTCCCTGGTCTGAGCCTGGGCTCACACCTCCATCCCCAGCCCCGCCCCGACTCACAGCGCCCGTCCTTCTGCCCTGCCTCCCCCCACAGTGACCTTGTCGCACCATCAGACCCAGCCCGTCCTCCGCTTGGATCTTGCAAGCCTTCACTTTGTATATTAAATGGGCTCCCTCCAACCTCCAACCTCCAGCCTTTCCCTAATAGTCACATATCACAAGTCTATAATAAGTGTTTATCCGTATACTCTCCCTCCATCACCCCACTACCTGCCTCCTAGTATTCGTCGGAAACTCGGTCTCCCTGAGGGCTCCTTACATAGTTTCCTCTGCCCCGCATGCTCCTCCCTCAGGCATTTCCCTGTCACTCCCTTCATTCAGGCTTCAGCTCGGGTGTCACTGCCTCCAACAAGCCTCCCCGCCACCTTATCTAAAACAGCTCACCCGCCGGTTCCCATTCCCCTCCCACACTCAAGCTTTCTACACCGCACTTGACCACTCCCTGTCCTTCATGCTCATTACCTCTCCTCCCGCCCTCACACAGACTCCCTGTCCATCTCGGTTCACACATTAAACATTCCATCAATGAATGAACAGACTTACTAAAGCTTTCTGAGTTCTTCTAAAGGGCATCATTTCAGGGCTAAAAATATTGGAATTGTACTGATGGTTGTCAAAATGATACAGAGACTTGTAAATAGGGAAATGAGGTTTTTATAGAAAAAAGCCATTCATCCTTTCACAAAATTAGTATTTACTGGGCACTTGATTAAACAACGAGAGGTCAGGGAAGGTACCCCTGAAGGAGATATTGAAATGAGATCTGAAGGAAAAGTAGGAATTAAGGTGAGAGGGTGATTCAGAAGTTAGAAGGTTACACCTGTGATCACACATATTCTTAAATGTAATTGTCCCCTTTTGAAAACAGGATTTGTGAGGCTTAGCCATAATGCTTCTACATAAACTTTTGTTAGTAAAGGTATATGTGAAAAGCATATTAGTCCCTTATTTTAAACACAGGTTTTTTAAATTTTCTGCTATTAAAACCAGATATTTTAGTCCTCGCCGGTTTGGCTCAGTGGATGGAGCAGCAGCCTGGTGACTGAAGGGTCCCTGGTTCAGTTCAGTCAAGGGCATGTATCTGGGTTATGGGCTCATTCCCCAGTAGGGAGCATGGAGGAGGCAGCCAATCAATGATTCTCTCTCATCATTGATGTTTCTGTTTCTCTGAAATAAATTTTAAAAATATATTTTAAAGTAAACTTGTTAAAAAAAAAAAAAAAGATTTTAAAAATAACTTTATTTCCGAAACGGAACTCCACAGCAAAGCACAGCTCTTGAAAGGGTGACTGTCCTTTTTTTTTTACATAATGAAAATGTTCAAATACAGAGATAAGGGATATCTAAGGCCCAGCACCCCAATTTAGTGAGGGGTAGCATCCTGCCATGTTTGCTCCATCTTGAATTTTGGGAGAGAGAAACCTTTGGTATCCTCTGCTGCTGTTTCAGAATAATTTCACCATTTAATTGCAAACTATTTTTCAGAGATTTTTGTTGTTGTTAAATCCTCACCTGAGGATATTTTTTCCATTGTTTCCTAGAGAGTGGGAGGGGGAACATGGATGTGAAGTGAGAAAGACACATCAACTGCCTGCCTGCCGCATGCACCAGGCAGGGACCCTGCAATCCAGGTATGTGTCCTTGACCAGGAGTCAAATCTGAGACCCCTTGGTTCATGGGCTGACACTCTAATCACTGAGCAAAACTGGTCAGGGCTGTTCAGAGACTTTCTTGGCATTTCATCTCATCTTCATATTAAGTTGGAGAAACTGATTTTTACTCACTTTCCCAAATCACTGGGTTCATCTCCTACTCTATTTCTCCCTTTAGGACTTGATTTTTTTTAAGTTTCTATCCTGAGTAAAATGAATAATATCCTTGCAGTTAAGGTTTGCTGCTGCTGTTAGCCGGGGGTGTTCAGTTTTAGCCAGACGAGCTTTCTTTGGATCGTTGCTTCTAAGCAATTCTTTACAGTCCCAAGATCTTCAGATATCAGAACTTGAAAGTCACAGTTTTTAGTTTCAGGGCACACCAGTTTCCCTGCTACTGCTATGGAACCATTTATTGTCTTAGAAACCTCTTGAGTAAATAGGTTTTGTATTTTCATTGTTTTGGTAATGGAGTCAAATGTCATGAAGTGTTTGCCTACAGACCTTGCCTTTTGTACAGCTGGGTGTGGCTCAGCTGTTGGAATGTCCACCCAGGAATAGTCACTGGTGTAGCTCTAACTGGTTTGGCTCAGTGGATAGACTATCAGCCTGCCAACTCAAGGGTCCCAGGTTCCATCCCAGTCAAGGGCATGTACCCTGGTTGCGGGCACATCACCAGTAGGGGGTGTGCAGGCGGCAGCCAATGATGATTCTCTCTCATCATTGATGTTTCTATCTCTTCCTCTGCCTTCTTCTCTAAAATCAACAAAAAAAAATTTTTTTTTTTAAAAAGGACCTCACCCTTTAAGTGCCCAAAGTGAAACTAGAAGTAGAGATCTCAAGTATAGTATTGTAAGAAATAATGCCCTTAATAGTGCTTTATGATTTCGATTTACTTCTAAATTGAATAGGTAGGACACACCCTCAGCACCTGTGAAGCCCCTATGTCGAGTGCGGGGAAGCGGTGGTACATACTGGGAGGAACACAGGATCCCTGGAAATTCTACCTTCAGCTAGAGAGGGCGAGGCACAGAAACCCCCCGGCATTTTCACAGACCGCCCGGGATGGGGAGTTTGGGAAAGCACCGGGAGTCACGTCTATTAGATGCCTCTCTCCCTCAGGGCAGAGCTGACCAAGGCCAGCAAACGGGCCGGAGGGACTCCTGACCAAACGATACCACCAGCTTTTGAGGCAACTGCTCCCAGCTCAGCACAAAGGGTGGGCAAGGGGGCGCCTTGATGGCAAGCACCTACAGTGCTCCAAGCTGAGTCCTGAGCTCCCACATGGACTGATACTTCACCGACACGGGAGGCATCTAACCGACCGGGGGCGAGGCTCATGTGCAACCCAGCCGAGTGTGGGGAGCCAGGGTTCATCACACAGGCCGCTGAGCTTGTGCTGCTCCTCCTCAGGCTCCCCGCTGGCCACTGCTATCGAAAGGAAGTCAACAGGGACCTTCCCAGGAAGCTGCCCCGCCAGTGGCTCCTTTGCAAGGCCTTCCACCTGTCTCTCTACCTTCTCTGTTTTTTTTAAAAAAAAATATTTTATTGATTTTGTACAGAGAGGAAGAGAGAGAGATAGAGTTAGAAACATCGATGAGAGAGAGTCATCAATAAGCTGCCTCTTGCACACCCCCTACTGGGGATATGCCCGCAACCAAGGTACATGCCCTTGACCGGAATCAAACCCGGGACCCTTCAGTCCCCAAGCCGAGGATCTATCCATTGAGCCAAACCGGTTTCGGCTCTACCTTCTCTTTTGAGTCTTGACGGACTGAAAAGGAGCAGGAAATGCCATTCCAAGTCGGACTGAACTGGGCAGGGAACGGACAGGTCTTTGTAAGCAGCCAATGGCCAGCAGCTTTTCAGAGTTGTCACCTACTGGGCAATGTGTTTCCTGTGTGCTCACAGTTTTACAAGAACACAAACAAAATAAAACAGCACCATAAAAAAGATTAGTTACCTGCCAGCCTTTATTCAGGAAGTGAGTTACTCTGAAACAGTGCTGCAAAAGGCGAGGCAGCCCAGGCCTTGTTCTGCCATGTGCCGGGCACTGCCCGGGCCCTGCCCTCCCGGGGGCAGCCTGTTTATTAAGGTGTCTTTCCGGTTGGGCACAACATGGCGATCCATCTCAGCCGGTTTTATTTTTACTTGGGCAGTGGCCAGAGAACACAGGAACTTCATCAGTCAGGCGGCATGCTGGGGTCCTAGGCCAAGGTCGGGTGCTGTGCTGTCCGTGGTCGAGCCTGCTGGGGTCTGGGTTACATGCACGGAAGCCTTCGAGATCCCCCGCCCGTCCCCAGTCGGGCAGCAAGCAGTCTGCTCCTCTAGTGACAGGATTTCCTCCCCTTCCTCCAGAATCTTCCACGGAGGATGAAAACAGACACTAAACCAGACAAGGATGCTGGAAAGAGATACTGATACACAAAAGCAAAACCAAGAGGCAAGGAGAGAAGCGAACTGAGAGGTAAAGACGGGAGGGTAAGCCATGCAGTCACAGCCACCGGAGAAAGCTGCTGAGATCCGGATAAAGACAAACCCACTCAGCTTCCTTCCTCCACGAGGAACTACGTATAACGCAGCAAGCCTACGTCCCTCTTGTATTAAGTGCTGTTAGTGTCAATACTTTAACGGTTACGGTGCATTCATATGCTTTTGCATAAGTCATAAGTCAAATCTAATGGCAAAATCAGGATGAAAAATTCCAACTTTTCCACAAACTGCAGAAAGTTCCAGATTAAGTGGACAACAAACGTTTGCAGCCCTGTATAGAGCTTTGGTTGCCAAATGAACAATAAACAAAAAAGTAATCCTGACACAGGATGTTCCAAAAGACTAATTCATGAAAGAGACAATTTATTCTATGTTTAATAAAATGTTTATTAAGGTGGTAACACAAGATAAATCATGCAAGAGCTCAGTAAAAACAAAAAAGTAAGAATATAAGGAATGGTAATTGGTGCTGCCAATTTAAAAATGTCAATCATTTTACTACCCGAAGTGATTGGGAAAAGTGTTGGAATCTGAGCATGGACATGGTTGTAGCAATCTTGCAGAATGTAAACTAAAGTGATAGGTGACTCCTTGCGTTCTAGTCCTCAGAGGAGTCAAGTCATAGATCCAAAACCTTCATCGTGTCCCTCGCATCCTGCACTCACATGGCAGCCCACAACCCCTGCCCACCGAGTCCTTCGACACCCGTGGGACAGTCCCAAATGGACACCTCTGAGCAGGGGAGGGGAGCAGGCACCTTTGGTGACTCTCAAATGAGACTCGGTCCACATTCAGAATCTTAACCTCTGTGGTGGTGAGAACCACAGACTTGCATGTCATCCTTACCAGCCTTAAATGTAGTGTGCTGTCCAAGGGAGGGTTTCGTATCCGGTGGAAGAAATTGGGACAGATACACCAAATTGAACATAGCATCTCAGATTTCAAACAAATTTGTCTCATCTTTTGGCAAAAAATAAATATAGTGGAATGCAAGTTTGATAGATGGAAGAATATATAATCTACCAACTGTCAAGGAGTATGATTTCATCGTAGACACAAAGAATCAAAAGTTTCAAAGAATTTTAAAAAAAAAGAAGTTTGCACTATTTCTCACAAAATCTTCACTTTTGGAACTACCCCAATAGAAGCTACACACTGAATTTATTAATACAGCATTAAGTTTCTTTGTGTAAAAAAATCTTTGTACATAGTAATAAAAAAAGATAAGGCAAGATGCATTAAACAGAAACCTCCTGGTTCTTTTCCTCTGGTTCTTTCAGAGCCACTGATGACGATCTGCAACAAAAGAGTGAAGTTTCTGCTTTTCCGTATGAGCATCTGTGCCTTTGCTGCGGTAGGAATTCTGTCCGAGCACCCTGAAGGACAGAGGCTGGTGGTGGTCTTTGGCACTTACGCTGGCAGACTGAGCTTCTTTCCCTTGAGTACTAGAATTTGAGAGAGGAAAACAAAAGATTACTGACAGTGACATGCTCGCGGTTTCCTTCCTCCCATTCCCAGAGGCCAAGATCAGGTTCAAGGAAATAAGCTTTTGGCAACCAAGTCATTGGATTTTGGTGTCAACAAACAAGAGGCCGCTCAACTATGAAAATGTCACACACACATATGCTGGGGTTTTCATGTACTGGATGTTATGGCAATTATAGTTAAGAAAATATGAACTTAACTGAAATTGTTGCTACATTCACAGCAGTTGTTATCATGACTTTCTTCCCTAATCAACATATATTAAAAAGTAACTATCACTATGCCTATAAAATTTGGACCTTACGAAAGGGATACGACCCTAGCCGGTGTGGTTCAGTGGTTGAAGTCAACCCATGAAACAGGAGCTCTCGGTTTGATCCCTCATCAAAGCACATGCCAGGGTTTCAGACCCAATTCCCAGTAGGGAGGGTGCGTGCCAGAGGTAGCCAATTGATGGTTCTCTCATTGATGTTTCTCTCTTTCTCCTCTTCCCTTCTCTAAAATCAATAAAAGCATATTTAACAAAAAAGGGGGGATAAGATATGTATGCCCTGGTACCAGCAATAACACCACCATTGGGAATTTACTGTATAGCAACAGTTCTTAGCCTGGGGTCTACCGCTGGGTTCAGGGTCTCCTGAACCCCCTAAAACTATATGCATAAATACGCATATGCATTTTTTTCCCTGATCAAGGACCATAGTTTTCACCTGAGTTTTGTGAAGTTCACATTCCTACATTCACATAAATGCAAAAATGTAAATATACAAGGATGCTGACTTAAGCACTAGATTTTAATAGCAAAATAGCAGTGGTAGTGTGACTATCCATGAACAGGCTAAGGAAATTATGGTAATACACATAATGTTGAAAATCACATATATTCTATTTACTGACATGAACAACTGTGAGTGGGAAAAGGCAGATTAGGTTAGTTAACCATGTATCTGAGAGATCTGGAATTCCATTTACTAAAACAGTAATAAGGATTTCTGAGTGGCAGGATTTCAGGTGGCTGTTTTCAGAATTATTAGTTCTGACTGAATTTCTGACAATGAAAATGTGCCATTGTAAAAAAATACAGCTACAGCCAAAAGAAGAAAGACTCAACACCAGATCCAGAACTGAACTTCACAGCCCATTACATGCTCTTCTGCAGCCGGTTCTGATTCATAAAGCTAGAGCCAGAGCAGAAGCGCGCGGCTAGGGAGCCTGAGGGACAGGCAGGGCACAGCGCGTACCTTTCGTGATGTACAAGTAGAAGAAGTCGCAGTAGAGGATGGTCTGGACAACGCCAGCCACCACAGCGATGAGGTCAAAGAAGCCCTCGAAGTAGAAGCGCCAGATCCAGTTGACGAGATACAGCGCCCGGTAGAGGCCCAGGAAGAACAGGTAGTGGGTGGTGATGGTCTCCGCCTCCCCGGTCTTGCTGATCATGAAGAGCTGCGGGAGGATGGCCACGGATTCCAGGTAGATGGAGAAGGTCCACAGAATCTGTAAGGCAAACAGAGGATCCTTCAGCACCCAGCGCCCGCCAGGATCACAGGAAACGCTGGTTTGACTGTGGAAGAGGGCAGCAAGCGGGGAGTCCGTGCCTGAGCCCAGGACAGGGCAGCTGAGCAATTTCCTAAGTCACGGACACGCCCAGTAACAAGCTGGGTCACCTTGGACACCTCTACCTCTATGAAGGTTATTACCTCGTCTCTCCAGCATCGCATCCTTCCCTGTACACATCTCCGCGAATCTACACAGAGGCTGTTTCTCCTGGATAAACTCGTCCCAGTCTGATTCTAGGGTCCCGAGGCAACCCTGCTTCCTGCCAGGGTGGACCACACTGCCACCCAAGCCCCCTCCACCTCCTCTGCCAGTGTTCCTCCCAGCTGGCCTCCTCTCCAGACTCCAAATAGTCTATTCTTACTCTTCAGGCTCTTTTGGTGGGGTTAAACCAAAGGAGGGAAGAAATCAGAACTGTTATTATGCAAACTCTGCCCAACATGGTACTTTATTCACGCCTACGGCAGGACTTGGGAGCAGTCCTTGGAGTGTTTCACAAGCGCAGGCCTGCAGCACCGATCAAGAACCAAGAGCAGCGCAGTAACTGACCCCCAGGTGCTGAGGGGGTCATGACCCCCAGGTGCTGAGGGAAGGACTGGGCACTGAGGGGCCGCCACAGCCTCACAGTGCCAGGGCACCATGCAAACAGCATCGCTGTGTACATTAGGGAAAACAGAGCTGGCTAGAGTGGGGAGAAGATCCTGTTCAGTGAACATGCAGACGGACAGAGTGTTTGGTACCTCAAAAACCAACTACCTGGGGTTAACTTCTGCCCACCATTTATGTATACCCAAGAGTTTCTGTTGTACCAGAAGCTTGCCAACTGAAAAAGCACACCAGAACCCACACTGTCTACAAACAGGTCCTTTTCCCTAGGGGACCAGACCTGTCCACTAAATAACCTCTTCACTGACCTCAAGAGGAGAGAAATCATGATTGACTAGAAACGAGAGTCCTCCCACAGGGACCACCAGAAACTCCACTCGGAAGGTATCATGGTTTCCGTCGTAAGTAGCCTTAAACTTCATGTAGATCAGGTACACTGTGGCGTAGGAGCAGGCAATGTAGATAAGCTAAAGCAAAAGAAAAACACCAGGTCATCAATGCTTCCAACTCCCTTGGTTGTCTACATCATTCATATTCACACACACACACACACAGACACACACAAGAGGCCTGGTGCACAAAATTCGTCCATGGGGGGCCCTCCTGCACCCTCAGGGGATGGCAGACAGACATCCCTCTCGCAATCCGGGAGGCTGCACGCACCTGTGACCATATTTTTCATGCAGGTGAAAGGCATCGTGCTGTTGTATGGGCAGCTACACTTTTTCACCCTGATTTTAAAAAGTAGTGCAAAACATGATCCTTCTGAGGCAGTAGTACCATTTTCCCTCTTATGGTAAAAAAAACTGAAGCAGAGAGAAGTTAAGTAATGGGCTTTGTCACACAGGTATGTGTCAGAATCAGGACTGACCACAAAATGTGCAAGCAGAGTCCATGCATATCATCACTGCATCATCCTGTTTTTTCAGTTAAGAGTCGCTTTGCCAGGTTTTAACTTTAAATCTAAGAAACTGTGCCCAATATATAGAGTAGGGTCCGGAGGCCTGGTCAGAGATCAGAGCCAGTCTGCGGGGTGACTGGCTCTCTGGTAAGCGGGACAATCGGGGCCCCTCCTGGCACCTGCCGTGGCTTGTGGCCTGGCACTGCCTGCTCACTAGCCTCGCCCCTCCTCCCCTACCTCATTGCCACTGGTCACCTCCCACTGTACATCTGCCCCCTGGTGGTCAGTGTGCATCCCAGTTGTTCCACCAATTGTTCAGCCGTTTGGTTTTATTATATAGAATTATTTTAATTTAAATTTGTAAATATAGCCTGGCCAGTGTGGCTCAGTTGGTTGAGCACGGTCCCATTCACCAAGAGGCCGCAGATTCAATTCCTATCAGGGCACATGCCTGGTTTGCTGGTTCAATGAATCTCCCTGATCGATATTTCTCTCCCTCCTTCTCCCTTTCTCTCTCAATCAATAAAAACGTATTTTAAAAAAATTTAAGTATAATAAAATTCACTTTTTGGGGGAGTATACAGTTCTATGAGTCATATAACCACCGCCACAATCAAAAAACAGATCAGTACTGTCACCCCACAAAATTCCCTCAGTGGGTAAGCCTTCCCCTGAGGCCTGACCTCTGGCAATCTCAGATCTATTCTTGGTCTCTGTAGTTTTGACTTTTCTAGAATGCGCAAAAATGGAATCATACAATATGCTGACTTTAAGACCAGCTTCTTTTAATTAGCACTATGCATCTGGTATATTAATAAAACAAGTGACTCTTTCCTGCTGTTAAACAGCAGCAGCAGCCCACTGTGCGTGTTACCAGTCTGTTCCCCATGCACCAGTTAAGGACAGGTGGGCTGTTTCCGGCTTGGGGGATAAAAGCTGCTATAAACTTTTGTGTACAGGCTTTTGTGTGACTTTTCATTTCTCTTGGGTAAATATCTAGGAATGTGATTGCTGGATCATATCTCAACACACATTGCGGACCAGTGGTTTTACTGCTAGCTTTACCCAGTGGTCAGATAAGTTTCAATTGAACGAGTTCAAAAAATGTTTTACATAAATGTTAAAGGCACGCTTTAAAATTAAATACCCATTGCATTTTGAAGTTATTTATTACATGTTCTTACAAGCTAATAACTTTTTAAAGCCTTCTTGTGATTGGCCACCAGCCTTAGAAAACACGACAATTCTCATGATCCATCCGCAATGTGTTAAGTATAACTATAAAGAACTGCCAAAGAATGTATTTTTAAATCCCATTTTGAACTATTAGAATGTAGCTTAAGAAAAAAAAAGGAAGGCAAAGTTCAACGCAGTTCAAAACCAATGTACTTTCTTTCAGCTTCATAATATTTTTTTTTAATATATTTTATTGATTTTTATACAGAGGGGAAGGGAGAGAGATAGAGAGTTAGAAACATCGATGAGAGAGAGTCATTGATCAGCTGCCTCTTGCACACCCCGTACTGGGGATATGCCCACAACCAAGGTACATGCCCTTGACCGGAATCGAACCCGGGACCCTTCAGTCCCCAAGCCGACGCTCTATCCACTGAGCCAAACCGGTCCCGGCCATAATATTTCTTAATACTGCTTTTTAAAGATAAGTTAATGTAACTAATTTTAAACTTTATAAAATGGTGGTTTTTACTTAAATTATATTCCTTTAACATGGAACTTCAGATTGTTGCTATGAAACTTTGGTAACATAACAAAACCAAAAGCAAAAGCAAATGTAGGCAGTAAAACACTGCTGACTATGCCCTGACCAGTCTGGCCCGGTGGATGGAGCATCAGCCTTCGGACTGAAAGGTCCCAGGTTCGACTCCGGTCAAGGGCATGTACTTTGGTTGCAGACACATACCCAGAGGGGGGTGTGCAGGGGGCAGCTGATCTATGTTTCTCTCTCATCAATGTTTCTAACTCTCTATTCCTCTCCCTTCCTCTCTGTAAAAAAATTAGTAAAATATATTTTTAAAAAAACAAAAAACAAAACTGCTTCAGCTGCATCACTCAAGGTTTGTAATTATGTAATACTAGGCCTGGTGCACGAAATTTGTGCAAGAGTAGGCCTTCCTCCCCCTCTGACACCCAAGACCAGGCTTTTCTCAGAGTTCCGGCTTCATCCGGAAGGTCGTCCAGAATGACGTCTGGTCTAATTAGCATATTATGATTTTATTATTATAGATGTTCCTGCATTCATCCAATCCAAAAGAAAAATCTGACATTCCTAAATGACACGAATTTTCAGACAGCAGAATTTAGGATCAGGAACCAAACAGCAGGGCTAGCCTGTGGGTAAAGAAAACGTGGATACCAGCGGCACTGCCAGTGCTACTCCTTAGGAAGAGCACCTTGCACAGCTTAATTATGACACAGTTGGGCAAATGACATAACAGGACAATGAAAGCCATCATCAAGCCCTTTGGTTTTGCTTCAAAACAAAGACACTAAACTGTCCCTGGCACCTTGTATTTGCAAATAGTAAAGTATTAAAATTGTTGATCATACCCATCCAAACAAAAAAGAACTACCAAAAAAAAAAATCAAGATTAATCTTATTATAAGCATAGCCAATGGACGCAAAACTGGGGGGGGGGGGGCGCATGAAAGGGAGGAGGGAAGGACAATGGTAAGGTATGTACACATATAATAAAAAAATGAAAGAAAGATTTGCTGGAGTTCTCTCCACACACAAAATCAATGTGCAGAGTCCCTGCTAACAGAACGTCTGGCCGAGGAACACGGTTGCCAGGGTGCCCGCCCAGCATCCAGGCTATGGCCTGACCAGATTATGTCCATAAGGCTTAGCAGCCTCTGGTGAGAGCAGCCCCTTCTCTCTACTCAGTGCTTTGGCACTTGAAGTAAAAAGCTATGAGCATATAAAACTCGACTTATACTTCTCTGATTCTTAGGCTGTGCTTGGAAACTAGAGCCAAGCAGGATTCTTCTGAAGGCTAGGTATCCTGAGGGGGAGGGGGAGTGTTCTTGCTCACACACTTCCAATTTTAACTTGTCCTGCAGTTGTAACTTGCATGGACAAGCAGGGATACAGGCATTTGGAAGTAAGCCAACTTCCCAATGACTAAGCTGTCATCACTTAGAAATGAAGAATGGAATGACTACAGGCAGCTCAAATTTGCTTTTTAGTAAAGATGACACTCAAATATTGCTCTGTCTACTCTGACCTGTGCTTATTAAAATGCTTTTGAACACAAAGTGTTGTGGAATTGTTTCAAATAAAACACCAAGTCCTAGCCAGCTCAGGTGACAGAGCCTCAGCCTGAGGACTGAAGGGTCCCAGGTTCCATTCTGGTCAGGGGCATGTTCCTCAGTTGCAGGCTCAATCGCTGGCCCTGATCAGGGCTTGTGTGGAGGCAACCAATCAATGTGTCTCTCTCACATCCATGTTTCTCTGTGTCTCTCCCCTTCCCTTCCATTCTCTCTAAAAATCCATGGAAAAATATCCTCAAGTGAGGATTAACAAAAATAATTTTTAAAAACCCAAAACATAAATACCACATCAATAAGCGTCAGTTAAACATTATTTTCTTGGCTGTGCAAATAATCAAGTATCTACAACATTGCCTGGCACACTCTCACTAAGCACCTGAATGAATGAATGAATGAATGAATGAATGAATGAAATCAGACTCCTTTTCACATCCTGAGAGCCCCCTACTTTTCCTCCATAGTACCCATTACAAACCACAGCCATTCATTCAGAACTGGGAAGAGCACCGTTGCCCATGAGGTCTGAAGGGCTGGCAACAGCTGGTCTCCACTCCCCACCAGATCTTGACTTCTGCTTGCTTCCCGCCCTGTCCTGGTGCCAGGGAAATGCCGCCCCCATCATCTCCCCCCCGCCGTGCCCCATGGGCACTCTGCTTCTCCTAGTGTGGAGTGGGAGCCCCCAGTGCTGCACAGGGTGTTAAGTATATGCAAATGTTTTGTATTTAATAGTCATACATTTGTTTAATGTGAATTGGGGAAAATATACGGACACTAAAGGTAACACTGATACTAATGTTGAGGATAAATTAAAAGGTTTAAATACATATTTAGTAAATTTTGGCAAAAATAATAAAGATGGCACACAGAGCAGAAGTTGATGAAACATGGACTTAGTGGGGAAATAAAAGGGTAAAGGCCTAAGGCAGTCCCTCAGCAGCAAAAGAAGGCTCTGCAGCAGGAGCCGGGCTTTCACTCCCGCTCCTGCACCCATTGCTGGTTTGCCAGGAGTCTCATTTCCTGCTGCTCAAAAACATACAAGTTTCCCTCTTTCTCTCCCTCTCCTTTTGCTTTCCAGAGTAATTTATAGATTTTTAGAGAGAGGGGAAAGGAGAGGGGGAGAGAAACACTGATGTACGAGCACATCTTCAATCAGCTGCCTCTTGCACACCCCCTACCAGGATGGAGCCTACAACCCAGGCATGTGCCCTTGACCAGGAATCGAACTGGCAACATCTTGGAGATGATGCCCAACCAACAGAGCCAACTGGCCAGGGCTTAACCCTCTTTCTTATAGGATTATCAAGAGCATTAGAAATTTGTCATACTCAAGGAACTTAAGATTTAAAAATTTCTAAGTACAAAACATTTAATTAAATAGATACTGCTCTGAAATGGGGGAAAAATGCTCAATAATGTTTCCATAGATCTGTGAATTATGGATGAAATACATTCCACTGGAGGCCATACCCACCTTCATAGATGTATTATATAATGAAATGAATGAAGTAAAAAGATCCAGGTATCGAGTTGTGAAGACCAGTGCAAAGAGAAGCTGGCTTTTTCCGGAAATACCTAAGAAATAAAAGGGAAGTGTTAGAAACGCGCGAAGAGCATTCACTCGTGTAGCTAACACTGTGCAGCAAGCAGATCTGGAGAATGGGACACCAGGGCCAAAGGCTACCGTCTGGGATGCCTCTGAATAAGTGAGTTTTCGTTTTCCTTTCCCTTCACGTTCTAGAACATGCTCCTCTGGGGAGGTTCTTGTATGATGGGGCCAGAGCCAATATACCAGGTTGCACATTGTCCAGATGAACATTTATTTCTCAAACATGTCCCGTTAGTCTGCTGTTCTTTACTGTGGTAGCTCATCTGTCACCTCTAGCACCTGTCTTTCCATTAGGAAACAGCACCTCCTGTGACAAATCCTCCAAGGATGGAGCTGGACTCTCTGGTCGAGGCAACGAGGAACACTGCTTCAGGTCAGAGTCTGAGCCAAGGCCACTTCTTTTGTGAGAGCAGCACTGACTTAGACACATTACAATGTTTTAAAATTCCATCTCTTAGATTCATCATACAATCAACCTCACGCTCACACAGCCAGTCTTCAAAAGCAGCAGTCTTTTTTTTTAACCCCTTGAAACTGTTTCCACATCCAGAGTGCTGCTGTGGTACAACTGGAGTCAGCTGGAAGTCCAGGTCACACCCAGCATGCACTGGGCTTTGACATTTGGCCAAATATTTGTGAAAAGGACCTGCACTAAAGTCTCCAGTTGGAGACTGAGTGACTTCATTAAGGAAACAGAACCCATCCCCCTCATCAACACTGCAAATCTCACACCATTAGACTCCCGTAAGCATGTGCAGGTCTGTTACTGCACGCAAACTAGCAATACACCTACAGAATGTAAGATCCTTGCCCAAGAACATGTTTATTGATTTTAGAGACAGAGGAAGAAAGAGAGAGAAACATTAATTGGTTGCCTCCTGCATGTGTTCCAACCGGGACTGAACCTGCAGCCTCGATATGTGTCCTGACAGGGAGTCATACCACAACCCCAACTAACCGAGCCACCTCTCCAGGGCAAAATCACATTTAAAAAATAGTGTTTTACAGAACAATTTTGCAGCTTGTTGAAATTAAATGCCTGGATCTGAGGATGTTACTTCCTATGTTTGAATAACTGCAGTTCTAGCCTATTCACAAAAACACCTAAGGAGAAATGACTCCAGACCCATCAATAGTAACCAACCTCAAGGCTAGGAGTGGAGCTACAGTCGGTAAGACTGCTCTTTTTAGCTTTTCTCCCCAGAATGAGAAACTTTATTTTCCTACTGAAGTCCAATGTTCCACAGAAGAGGAGAGCTGACACAGAATGAGAGAAGACACAATGGGAAGGGGGAGCTCAGGGTCTCTGTGATTCACATTTGCTGTTTGCTGGAGCCTTAGAAGATAAATGTTAGTGAATTTCCTATATGGCTCACTCCAATATTTTAAATTAAAAACAATTGGAGGATACATATGGGCAAATTTTGCTGCAAATGGTTTATTCTAATGAAACTTTGAAAGCCATTCAGACTTGAAATTTTGTCCTCCAGTTTCAACAATCCTATACTGAAGACCAGGGACTATCATGCTGCTTTTTCCACTCCCCCTTGCAACCCAACTTACCATCACTCCCTCTGGAAGGCAACTTTGAAGACCCATCCTCAGTGCTGTTTATTGCACAGTGGGAGCTGCTCACGCCAGCTGCTCCCCCAGGTCCTATTCCAGGACTTATAAAACACCTGTCTCCCCTCTCCCCCAGCCCCTCTAGACACGGAGATCTTCAGAGGCCCAGGTGCGCCTATTCCATTTGGTGTTATTTGTGTTGAGCACTAAGCCTGACACACAGCAGGCTAAGGAAATATTTGCTAAATCAATGAACAAATGGACAAAAGAAAATGAAATTCATTTTATTTTCATGTCATGGGGTGAGTTTTCATTTTGTGATACTTCCAAAGCGTTTCTAAGTCATACTGTGTCTCTGTGACTGGAAGAGGGCAATATGCTCTGGGCTCTGCCCTAAGTTACTGCCGCCCAGAGGGCGGGAGAGCCCTGAGCAGCGCACAGGCAGTGGACAGGGACGGGCAGCGTGTGGCCTGGGGCTTGGCCCGCTGTGCAGAATCCAAGCAGGAAGTGCTTTTGTGGAATTTGAGGACACTCACACAGTTCTCCTTTATTCTTTCTGGCCTGGGATCCGATTAGGAAGTAGCAGCTTTGTACTTATTAGGTACAATAATACCTTTATAATTACATAAAGTTTACTCACACACATTACAGTTTTTGTTGTTCAGATTCCCTAGAATTGCTGGGATAAAATATATGCAACTTGAAGTGTGGACGCTGCCAAACTTCCCCAGACAGGCTGTGCCACCTTACCCATTCACTAACACCAGGTGAGAGTACCCTTTATTTCACACCCGCCTGCCTTTCCCTCCTGTGAACTGCCAACTCTGTCCATTTTTTCTAGCAGTTTTTTTAATCTTATTGTAGGAGTATCTTATGGGTTTTAACCCTGTCACTTAGATATCTTGCAGATTATTTCTCTCCATTCATTGTCTTTTCACTTTGATATATTCTGAATAAGTTCATTTGGGGAGACGTATGTTCTTGCTTCCTCACCAGTCTGCTTGGTTCCACCCAGAACTAGGGTTTGAACGTACATTCAGCTCATCTTCTATGTCCATCAGCAAAGTCCTATACCTTTCTTCATAGAGCTTTTACACACTGCTTGTTGGGAAGTCAGGGGCCCTTCCCGAATCCTTCCTGCAACTTCACATTCACAGGACTGACTGCTTATATGGCTTAACACCCTATATTTTTATTTTTAAATATATATGTACACACACACACACACACACACACACACACATATATATATATATATATATATATATATATATATATATATTTCAACTAACTTGCAGCTTTCTTGAGAGCAGAAACTTTGACAGCTGCTGAGTTGTGCCCCGGGAGCCTTGCACGTAGTGGGTGGTCAATAAACATTTAAGAGCAATGAATACTCACGAGACTGGCTGGGATGTGATGCAAAAGCTTCTTGAAGTTCTCAATGACAACAACAGAAGATGAGGTATTTAATCTACTTCAAAACTAAACTGAGATTGAGAAACGCAGGGACCCAGTACATGCCTGGCATGCCTGGTAGGATGAAAAGTCTACGGCCTATATGACAACAATCTAAGCCGTAGGTGGAGGAGGAAAGGGAGAGCCGAGGGGAGGATGGTTGGGGCACCTGGGTCTCAGAAGATTCCACTAATAACGGAAGTAAAACAGACACAGCACTATGAATAACTGTCAGCCTACAGGAAAATGTAGCTACAAACCCAGACTTGTTCTCTGGAGGCTACGGTCAGTGTTTAGGAAAAGGACAACCTGAGCAAACTGTGGATCCAGTTGCAGCAACTGTTCAGGAATCTGAGAAACTCACATTTCCTGTGGGCATCCCTCTGTAATGACAATGGCAGACAAGACAAGGACAATGCCAATTCAAACAGAGCTAACCAAGATCGTCCTCTGCCCCCACTTTATTTATTTATTTATTTATTTTTATAATATATTTTTTATTGATTTTACACAGAGAGGAATTGAGAGGGATAGCGAGTTAGAAATGTCGATGAGAGAGAAACATCGACTAGCTGCCTCTTGCCCACCCCCGACTGGGGATGTGCCCGCAACCAATGTACATGCCCTTGACCGGAATCGAACCCGGGACCTTTCATTCTGCAGGCTGACGCTCTATCCACTGAGCCAAACCGGTTTCAGCCTCTGCCCCCACTTTAAAACAGGTCCTTTAAGCAGCTGTTCTCAAATTAGATTGCCGGGAAAACAATCTCCAACTACCTTACTAGCCTGTCTCATCATTGCTGACCTCAGAGAAAAAATACCTCTGGTTCTGTAACTGCAGGCATGTTCAAAACAGGTGCCAAATTCCTAACGTGAGCCCAATACTACTATTTTCAAAGTCAGAAACACAACCTGGACGCACATGTCTCCTATTCCAGTTATTTGAGAAACTCATATCAAATTCTTACTCTTTCAAAAGCCTCTAAACAACTTTCATAATTTAGGATGGAAAAACCAAGCAGTTAGTCAAATTTAGCATTTAATTCTGAAGAAAATCCCTCATGATTTTGATTTTTAAAAGGTTAGGAAATCTCAAGTATAAGAACTAAAATGCTCCTAAGTCTGACAACGGAAATAGTTTAATAATGCCCTATAACTACAGGCCTAACTATCAGAATACTTGACAAACACACATGAATGGAATTCACCTATTTATCTCCCTAATTATTTTGGCTGAAATATTTTATATTTTCCTAAATGCTCCTAAATCTCTCAAATGAAAACAGTGAATATTAAATAACAAACAAAAGAGCAAACTCGTTTTTTTCTTTATTACTCAAGGTTCCCTTAAGAATTTTCTAGCCCTAGCCAGTTTGGCTCAGTGGATAGTGTCAGCCTTCGGACTGAAGGGTCCTGGGTTTGATTCTGATCAAGGGCCCATACCTTGGTTGCAGGCTCCTCCCCAGCCTGGGCCCTGGTCAGGGTGAATGTGAGAGGCAACCAATATGTCTTTTTCACATGATGTTTCTCTCTGTCTCTCCCCCTCCCTTCCTAAAAATCAATAAAAAAAAATCCTCCGGTGAGGATTAAAAAAGAATTTTCTATCTGAGGTTATCCAACATCTTAGTTTACATACATATTTAGGAGACATCATGCTTCAACTTCATGACTTGACAGAGGCAGGGATTCTGAGAAACAAGTGAAAGAAAACAAAGAGACTCATCCAAAATTTTTGGAGTAAAAATAAAGATTAAAAGTAACATTTCCTGAGTGTGTGTGGGAGGGGTGTGCAAAATGGGTGGTGTTCTAAAGGTATAAATTCCCAGTCATAAGATAAGTAAGTCCCAGAGTGTAATGTACGCACGGTGTCTACAGTTAACAATACTGTGTTGTATATTTGAAAGTTGCTAGGACAGAAGATCTTAAAAGTTCTCATCACAAGGAAAAAAACTGCAACTACCCGTGGATAGTTGTTAACTAAACTTACTGTGATAATTACTTTGCAAAATACACATATATCGAATCACTATGCTGTACACAAAAAACTAACACAATATGTCAATTATATCTCAGTAAAGCAAGAAAAATAATTTTCTGAGTGCAAAAATAAATGACCTAACCAACTGGTCTGGCATCAAACATTTACACTGAAATTACTTAGAACAAAATAAACAGTTATTTCAAAATCCTTAATTTCGAGTTACCGATTGCCTGTTTTAATCCTGGCTCTCCCACTAAGTGCCTCTCCTCCGCAGACTCAGTCCCTCCTCCTCGGAAGGTTATTTTAAGGACATCAGGGGATGAGCACCTGAGGCACTGAGCTCCCTGCCCCAGCACAGCAAGTGCTCAAGTGTCCGCTCCCAGCTCTTAACTTCGCTGCCATCGGAAATCACACAACCGAACCTCGAACCAAGCAGAAACCGAGGGATCGCCTCCAGGCCTGACACGCTGGGTTCAGCACACGGACTTTGTAACATCCATTCTGACTGCTCAAAGGTCTTCTTTGTTTTTGCTTACTTCCTGGCTCCGTACCAGGGAGAGAGGTGAGGCCCGAGGACAGCAGTCAAAGATGGGGAGTGACTTCAGACGTGGACGTTTTTAGGAATCACTCCGGGTAAACGGGATCTCTGCCGCCCAGGCCCCGTAGGCCTCCAGCTTGCACTGCCTCTGCAACAATTAAGTTCTAGGATCCATCAGAAGTCACTTCGCGGAGGCCGTGGCGCCAAAAGCAAGCCTGACAGCCCTTTAAAAAGCGGCCGTTCTGAAATGCTGAGGCTTGATATGATACAGTGCAGGAGTCCCCGGCGAGAAGGTCCGTTCGTCCGTCCGTCCGTCCGCCCGCCCGCCGCCAGCACTGCAGGAGACGTGCACCGGGGCGGGAGTCGCCAGCTCACTGGTGACGTGGAGCGAGGGATCACAGCGACCACAGAGCCAGGCGGTCCCTGCGGGCGCCGCGGCGGCCTAGACCCGTCATTAGATGGGGGCGCTCGGAGTTGGACAAACTAGTGACTAGTGACTGGTCCACGTCTCAAAGCAGCACGAATGGCCCCGGGAAATTCGATCGAGCCCTCCCCGCCCTCCCTCCCCGCGACGGGCGCGACCCCGGGCCGGGAGGTGCGGCGAAGCCCGCCGAACGCCGAGGCCAGGTCGGACCCGGCACCCCAACCCAGAGGCCGGTCCTCCCGGGGCCAGGGTGCGGGCGAGGTGCTCCCTCCACGCCGGCTGCCACGTCAGGCCGGGCCGCCCGCGGTCCCGCCCATCCTCCTCCCGCCCGCCCGTCCCGGGGACTCGCGGGGCCCCGCACCGCCGGACCCCCGCCCGGACCCCCGCCCGGACCCCCGGAGGCGCCTCCTGGAAGCCGGGGGCGAGGGCACGCCGGCCCCCCGCGCCACCAGCCAAACTTTCCGGGCAGAACAGGGACGCGCGCGGGCGGGGGGGCGCCTCCTCCGCCCCGACGGCTCAGGTTCAAGTTCGGGAGCGGACCGAGCGCGGAGCGGCGCCCGGCCCCGCGCCACCCGCCCCGCCGGGGCGCCCGCCGACCGAGGGGGTCGCAGGCCGCCGGGCCCGCCGCCCGCCGGGCCGGCCGAGGGGGCGTGTCCGGCCGGCGGCGGCCGAGGTCGGCGGGTCCTCCCGGGGAACCGGCCCCGCGCCCCAGCCTCCCGGGGCCTCGCCCGCCGCTCACCGGCGCAGGAGCGCGTCTTCCAGATCTTCAGCAGCAGGATGACGATGGCCGCCAGGTGGGACAGGTCCCCGGTCAGCCGGAAGATGTTCATGGCGGCGGCGGTCGGCGCGGCGCCCGGGGGCTCGGCGGCTCAGGCGGCGGCTCAGGCGGCGGCGGCCCCTGGGAGGAAGCGGCGAAGATGGCGAGAGCGGCGCGACGTGGCCGGGGACGTGGCCAAACTGCCGGCGCGCGCGCGGGGCAGCCTGGGAAAGCTCGTCCCGCCAGGCCCCGCCCCCGCCCCGGCCCTTAAAGGGGACGCTCCGGAACGCAGGCCGAGCGGGGAGCACAGGCTCCCCCGAGCTCGCGGCGGAGGATCCCGAGCTTCTCACCAACTCCCCCTTGCTGGGTTTCCGGCTTCTCCTGGGAGCCAACGATTTCCTTTAATTTTTGAAATGACACTCCCTGTGAGTGATTTCCCCCCCCTCCCTCTAACGGTAAGAGCTCTGCAGGCTTACTGTATGAGAAAGTGTAAGAGAAAAATAAACATTAATCCGTGGTGGCATCACAGAGGGTAAGGCCGATATTGGGGGTGTCTGGGGAGGGAGTCGCCAGCTCACTTTTGAGGAGGTCTGAAGATTTTGTCGTTCTGGGGGCTCCCTTTGGGAAAGAGAGCAAAATTAGGCGGAAGAGTGAACAACTCTTGTGAGAGACGAAATCACAAGCAATTGACAGCAGAATGAAGCCGACAAACAGAATCTTCTGCATAATTTGAGGGGTCCCCGCGCAGAAACGTGGGATCTCCGGAGGAAAGCAGGGGGAAATGCTGTTCAAGAGACTAAACTATTATAGAAGCTTTCCCCTGTCCTGCGGTCTCTCCCAACTTGGGATGGTTCCCGTTTGCTATTTACTGCCATTCATTCTCAGTAAAGAAAAAATACTTAAATTGTGACCCTGAGTTTTACCGTTTGTCTTTATATCGGGCAACAGTCAACATCCTGGGGCCTGTGGGCTGAGGGCAGCTTCTGTGTTGAGCATCTGCCCCCTGGTGGTCAGTGCACATCATAGCGACCGGTTGTTCCCCTGATGTTCTACACTACAGTTTGGTCAATTTGCATATTAGGCTTTTATTATATAGGATTTACTCCATGAAATATATATGTTTAAAAAATAAGGTAATGACAGCAGTAAACCAGGCACCTTCACCAAAATCACTGCCTCTTAGATTCCCCTTCACTCTAAGCCTCTTCCAAATCCTTCACCCTGGGCTGAAGACATGGTAAACGCCCTGGGAGTGGGTGCCAAGCACACTCAGCTCAGCGCGGGTCACTTTGTCTCTTTCTCTTGGAGTGCCGGCCCACCACCCTGTCCTTGTTCTACGGGAGCTTCCCCATTAGGAAGTTCCCTTCAAACCTCTTCGCCCAAGGAGCAGCTGTGGGTGAAGGGAGGGCAGACTTCACATGGATGGCACCTCACTTTCCTGCCCCAGCTCCCGGCAAGGGCCTCTAGGACCCACCAGCTGGCGGTGGGCTTCTGCTTAGTCCCTGGACGGTCAAAACCCTGCTTGGCCCAGGCAGCTCCTGCAGCAGCCAGGGCCCAGGCCACCGCTCCCACCACTGGCTCTGCGACTGCACGGCCCACGGGAGGCCATGTGGGCCCAGCAGCCCAGGCACCGCACCCCAACCCAGGAAAGACTTGTCCGGGGAAACGGATCCCACACATGGAAGCCTGAGTTAGAGATGACGGTTTGGATGATTTGGACGAATCAGGCCAGTTTGGCAGAAGCTGTGACATGGCTGAAGCGCCTGCGCCAGGCTGTTGACTGGCACAGGCCAGCAGAGATGAGCGCGCAGTCAGACCAGGTCTTTGACCCAGGCCGGCCTCCGGGGCAAGGCCTCACAGCGCTTTTACTAATGATCCGCCGCGCACACCACATGTACAAAATGCTCTTCTTTCCTACATTTTTGTCACTGCACCCTCTTTGGTCACCTCTTCGCGTGATACTGACTCTGTGTGTGTGTGTGTCTGTGTGTGTGTGTCTGTGTGTGTCTATGTGTGTGTGTGTGTCTGTGTATTGGGATTAACAAGTTTAATAATTCAGAGCATTGTCATTTCTCCATTTTTGTTGCGATCCAATTCCATTAGCTTCAGGGCTGCAACATAGCGATTCAATACGTGTACGATGAGGGCGTGTCCAGGGACCGCGGGCTTGCCTGCTCCCCAGGACAGAGCTTTCCAATCAGCGTGGGAACAAACTGCCCAAGTGCACACCGTCTCCTCACATGACTCAGCAGTTCAGCTCCTGAGTCGGCCGTGGCAGCATCCATTCACACTGCATGTTCCAGAAGCATCACTTGGTCCTCAGTCTAAGGCACATGTGTCAAACACAAGGCCCGCGGGCCAAATCCGTCCCGCCAGGCCTTGCAATGTGGCCCGCACCGCGCTGTCATCACTACACTCCGCTGCGTTTCCATCACAATGACAGTTTATGTCTGTTCAGTAAACCATTCGGCCCGCGATTTAGGCTGGATTTTAGATTTTGGCCCCTTCTCTGATTGAGTTCGACACCCCTAGTCTAAGGGAAGACGAGCCGCAGTTGGGGATGAGTTTCCTGGGCAAGACATGGTGTCAATCTCACGTATCCTGGGGCTGTGCCTTGCCAGCATGGCCAAACAAAAGGATGTGTGCAGTGAGATGGTGCCAGATTGCATACATGTTTACATACGGCCTACACCTGTGTGTTTCAGTGATGAGGCTGGGGTCCTGCACTGTTGTGTGTGTGTGTGTGTGTGTGAGTGTGTGTGTGTGTGTGTGTGTGTGAGTGTGTGTGTGTGAGTGTGTGTGAGTGTGTGTGTGTGAGTGTGTGTGTGTGTATGAGTGTGTGTGTGTATGTGTGTGTGTGAGTGTGTGTGTGTGTGTGAGTGTGTGTGTGTGAGTGTGTGTGAGTGTGTGAGTGTGTGTGTGTGTGAGTGTGTGTGTGTATGAGTGTGTGTGAGTGTGTGTATGTGTGTATGAGTGTGTGTGTGAGTGTGTGTGTGTGTGAGTGTGTGAGTGTGTGTGTGTGTGAGTGTGTGTGTGTGTGAGTGTGTGTGTGTGAGTGTGTGTGTGTGTGTGTATGAGTGTGTGTGTGTGTGTGTGTGTGTGTGTGTGTGAGTGTGTGTGTGTGAGTGTGTGTGTGAGTGAAAAGGGATTCACAGCCACTTTTCATTCTTGGGAATCGATGTGTAGAACAACCTGGGAGGACGATACCAAGTTAAACACGGAAAGGGCCCAAGAACTTAGGCAAAGCTGTCTCTTCACCTCCCCTCCACTTAGGGGTAGAATGTGTTTATCTTTTTTGGTGTGGAAGAGGCTTTCTGGAATTTGAGTGGGTCCGTGGTCTGAGATCCACTCAAATTCCAGAATTTCTTTTTTAGTCCTTATCCAAAGATTTTTTTTCCCATTGAATTTCAGAGAGAGAGTCTAAGGAAGGGAGGAGAAAGGCAAGGAGAGAGAGAAATAGAAACATCAATGATGAGAGAGAATCATTGATTGGCTGCCTCCTGCACACCCCCTACTAGGGATGGAGCCTGAAACCCAGGCACGTCTCTTGACTGGAATTGAACCCGGGACCCTTCAGCCCGCAGGCCAATGCTCTATCCCCTGAGCCAGACCAGCCAGGGCCCATCCATGTTGTGTTTTTTACTTATTTCATCATGAGAGGAGGAAAGAAGGAGCGGAATAAACGGCCGTGTCCTGGCCCTTGTCCCGGAGCGGGAGGGGGGAGGGAGCAGCTGAAACGAGTGGAATTCAGCCCGAACTTGGCGAGGAGACGCAGCTGGTGAGCTAGTTTGCACCGGGAAGGGCAGAGGTCCCCCGAAAAAGGTAAAATCAAGGATCCAGGCAGGAGAAGCTGCCGAGGGGCCAGAGGGGCAGCGGGACTCTGCAGGGTGCCCGAGGACAGGCTGAGCAGCAGTGGGGGGAGGGGGGGCACGGGACTGCGGGAGGTCGGGGGCTTTGGGCTGTGGAGTCTGGATTTTGGACCTGAGCTGAGGCAGCTCTGAGCGCTGGCCGGCGCGGTGCCCGCCAGAGGGGCTCTCGGAGACGGGCCCCCCTCACGCGGGGGCCTGTGTCTTTCCCCGTGAGCCTGCTTCGTGGACCTTCCGGACACATCACAAGCGTCTCCCATGACCTTAACCCCTCCTCACCATCCTAATCGCCATTTAACCTGCCGTCCTAGGACTCCTGCGGAATCCGTTCCTCCGGGCCCCGAGCGTTGGGGCATCCTGGGCGCGTCTATGGACCCCACAAGGACCGGCCCCCTGCCTCCGTGCCTCTCTGCACTTCTGTTTCTGTGGGGTGCATTTCCACGTCTAGCTTTCTCCGGGGGCCCCTCCTCTGGGAGTTTCTGGGGGGTGGCTGAGGGGGTAGCCCTGTGCTTGACGCTGTAGCCAGCTGCCGAGCTCAGAGCCACCACACCTGCCCCCTCCCCCACTTGCCCTGAACCACTTCCCTCCCAACGTGGGACGCCCTTCCCACACCACTCAGGCCACCGCCAGCCCAGAGGGCTCCCCCTTCCGCTCCCTGCCCCGTCCTTCCTGCCCCTGTGGAAACCCTCACACCACCCCACATGGTGACGACCGCACAGTCGCAGTGCTGGCCACTGCTGCGCCTCCGGAACCCAGCCACACCCTCTCCCTGCTCAGAGATCGGGCCACTCTCCAGGTGAGGGGTGGTTCGAACCGCTAGCCAGGCCCTCGCCCCGGCCTGGGGACAGCGCTGGTTTCGGGGTGACTCCAGTTTCCCCCAGAACACTGCGTGGGGCCCGCCTCGGGTGACCCATCGGGGTGACTTTCCCTAACAAAGGGCGCCTCAGAACAAGGCCGCCAGCACCTTCCACCGGCCAGCCGCTGGCCCCAGCACGGCTCCCCGCTAACACTGGAAACAATCAAGCCCCTTTGTGGGGGACACCCCCCCCCACCCGTACCCCGGTGGTATGAACACATCCAGTGAGGCAGACGTGTTATTCCAGGGCCTGCAAACTCCCCGCTGGGCTCCCCCGTCACCGAGGCCTTTTCTTTGGTTCCCATTGAGCACCTTTGTGAAAGCTCTGAATGGGTTGCCAACGTTTCACATAAAAATCTGGGGTTCTGGCCTCCTTTGCGAAAGCCCGAAGCTGGGGCTCCACAAGGTGTGTCTCCCACGTGGGAGTCCAAGGCCGGAGGGACAGCGGGAGGGCTGGGCGTGCCCCCTGCAGCCGGCACAGCTCCCCAGCTCCCGGGCCCAGCCCGCCTGCCCGCGGCCTCTCATCCTTGTCCTGGTGTCCTCACCTTCCCAGGCCGCGTGTCGGCACTGCCTGTCCCGCCTGCAGACTCTCCCTCCGCACGCCTGGTTTAAGGGCCTGGATACGGGTGGCCATGCCGTTTCATGGGAAGGAGGCGGCACTCTCGGTAGCTCCCTTCCCTGACGTCATTGGATTTGATTTAAGGGGCAGTTATTGAGCACTTGTTGTGTGCAAAGTCTAGGAGCAGCTGGGCCCATGGGAAGTCAAGCCGAGGACAGGGTTATTGGGGGGGCAGACAGCTGGCCGCTGGAGCTGGGCGTGGAGGGTTTGCCAAGGGAGGGCAAACAGTGCCGAAAGGCTGTAAGGAGGGCAGTGACGGTAGGGACGCAGCTCTCCCAGCAGCTCCTGTCAGGGGCCGGAGCAGGTCCGGGGTGAAGAGGGAGAAAGCCACACTCCGGCGCTGGAGGTGAGCGGATGGCGAGGACGCAGAGGCAGCCGGTGTAGACGACAGTCTGAACGGTTTGGCTCCGGAGGGGGTACCAGCCAAGACTGCTCTAGAGGGTGTGTGGGGGGGAGTCAGGGTGGAGTGAGTTGAGGCCACTGGTGCACTGAGATTCCTGGGGGTTCGGGGGCAGGAACACAGCAAGCACAGAAATGAGCAGCCGACAAGGCCTGAGCAGCCGGAGGAAGGCGAGGGCAGGAGGGGGAATGAGCGGGTGGGGGAATTTAAAAAAGAGCTATAAGGGCTTATGTCAAAGTCACCAGCACCCATGGGCCTTGGAACATGACTGTTAAAATCTAAAAAGCATAAAAAATATGTAAAGCAAAACAAAGACGATATTTCCACTCAGAGGATGGGCTTTGGATTTAGACAGAGCCGCGAGTTCAACCGGGCAAGTCACATGACCGTCCTGCGGGTCAGACGTTTTATTTGTAAAAGGGGCTAACAAAGCCCACTGCAGAGGGTCCTTGTGGAAGTCGAATGGAATGGGGTCTGTGGAAACACGGAGCACACGGCCGGGCCACCACGGCCGATGGCGGGAGAGACAGGCTGTGACTCCCTTAGCGTGAGGGAGAGACCAGGGAATCCTGGGGCAAAGGCGCTTGCCTTCCCATCACGCTGTTGGTGAGGAGCTGGTGGGGGATAGGGTGCACCTATGGGCTCACCTGTCGGGCTTTGTCCGGACTCAGGTGCAGAGCCACCATGAAATACAGCCCTAGGGAGCCACACGCAGAGTGTCTCACCCATACGATGTGGGCACCCAGCATAGCCTGGCACCCAGCATCGCCTGGCACCCAGCATCACCCTGGCACCCACATTGCCCTGGCACCCAGCATCGCCCTGGCACCCACATCGCCCGGGCACACAGGAGGCAGTCCAAAGGTGTTGGCAAATGCATTTATGGAGGAAGAGGGTTCGCAGAGAACAGGAAAAGGCCCAGTACCTACAGCCACCTGCGGGCGGGTGTGTTCGGCAACACGCTTCGTGTTGCAAGGGACAGGACCCATTCAACCCCGCCTGAGCCAAAACGTTAAAATAAAATTTAGGAATTTACAAATGGAGGTGGGGGGGCGCGCCACGGTTACAAATTGTCCTGGACACGGACAAGTCCAGATCCTGCTTCAGGCATGGCTGGATCCAGGGACAAGGAGGTGTATGGAGCCGTCTCCCTTCTGCTCTCCAGCACTGGCTTCCCACCCAGGCAGGAGCACAGCAGGGGGAGGTGCTGACGACTCCCCCCAGCCTCCCACCCTCTCCGCGCCCAGCAACTCGCCCCCAAGCCTCCCTTTCCAAACGATCTGACTCCAGCATTGAATTGACCCTGAGCCACCGGCCAGAGTCCCGAGACCCTCCTTATCCAGTCGGCATGGCTCCCGGGCATGGCAGTGGGGGAGGGATCATTTCCTAGAGGAACACCGGCCCCCCCCCAGCAGAAGGGACACTGGTTTCCAGGCAGGCACTGGACTGAGTGAGAGTGGAGGGGACGGGCACTCGGGTGACTAGGTAAGTGGGAGCGAGAAGCACGCCACCTGGAGGAGGACACGGACAGAGGGTAACGAGAGCCGGGCTGGGTCCAGCGGGACCGGCCACAGAGGAGGTGGAGGAGGCTGGGGTCTGAGCCAGGGGGGTCCAGCCAGGGGGCATGTGGTGCACAGATGGCAAGAACGGCCCTGATTCTAAGCCACCCGGGGCCCCCTCAGTGCGGCTTCATGGCACCTCTCACACGCATGGACTGTATTTCCCTCTCCCCAGACCCCGGCTGGCTCTGTCACAGTGAGACTGGGGTGCCAGTCCTGAGCTCAGCCACAAGGGGCTTCGGGCTTTGCTTTTCGCCTGGACCCTGCTCCACCCGGTGAACCATCCAGGCCATCTGCCTGGAGGCCCCGTGAAAGCCTCCCGCCGTCCCCGGAAGGCCCCCGGCACAGCACGGGAGCGAACCCTGGAGGGCTCCCCGGGGGCCCCGTCACCGCACACACACTCAGGAGCCCACGGGCCCCGCTCAGAGCAGTTAGTGGCTGCCGAGTTAAGCAACGGAGGCTTTTGTTGTGTTTCGTTTCGTGTTGGTTGATCCTCACCTGAGGATATTTTCCACTGATTTTTAGAGAGAGATGAAGGGAAGGGGAGAGACACAGAGAGAGAAACATGGATGTGAGATGTGAGAGAGAGACATGCCCAGACCAGGGCCGGGGAGCGGCCTGCATCCAAGGTACGGCCCTTTGACCAGGATGGGGCCCGGGAACCTCAGTCCGCAGGCCGAGGCGCTACCCACTGAGCCAACCGGCCAGGGCAGCGGCTGAGCTTCGGGACGGCTTGCTCCACGGCCTGTGTGGCCAGTGGGTGACCGACGGGAGGCGGGTGAGGCCGTGCTCCTGGCCCGGGGCTGCACCCGCCACGTTTCTCAGTCGCAGGGAAGTGCCACACGGGCTCCCGCGCTGCGGGGTCACCCGTGCGTGGCCGGGGGCGTTCCTGATCCCCGAGATCTCCCGTGGGTCCGCACTGGCCCCCCGAGGGAGTGCGCGGATTTCGCACCCCTGGCCGCCTCTGGCTCCGTCCGCCCCGCCCTGGGATCATGCCTTTGGCTTCAGAGTCCTAGGCGGTGGCCACGAGAGGGGAACAGGGAAACGCCACCCACCACGGCCTCAGAGAGGGGCGCGGGGGCTGGCTGGAGCGGGCAGGGGCAGAAATCACAAGGACGGACGGTCCCCGTCTGTGTGGGAGCAGCACGGGCCCTGCGGCCTCCGGGGCGGGAGAGACCGAGGGACGGCCCGGAGCGGGACCAGAGGCCCCGGAGGAGAGGAGGGAGAGAGGCCACAGGGAGCTGCGAGGCCCGGGCCGCCAGCGGGAGCCGGGAGCCCGGGAAGAAGCCAACGCGCCCCCCACGCCCCGGCAGCTCCAGACGAGGGACAACCGGGGCTCCCAGAAGGTCCGGGCCGTGACCCTGCCCCCAGGCCTGCTTTCCGCCCCGACCGGCTCCGGGGCGTCACAGCGCCCTCCGTCAGCCACCGCCTGTGCAGGCGCCACCCGGCCGGCCGGCTCTCCAGCCCTGCCCGTCGCCCGGCCCTGCAAAGGGGCCGCTGCTTCGCATCTGAGTGACGCCCCGTAAGGCCTCAGTGCTGCCGCCCCCGCTGGGCACAGAGGTCTTCCTCACCCAGCCCTTCGCCTCTTCTCGCCTCCTCGCCTCCCTCACCCCCCGCCCGCCCCCAGGCACCAGCCCAGGGAGTTCCCTCCAGCTCCCAAGCCCGGGAGGCTGGGCAGGGGCTCTCCCCGCCGCCTGCCTCTCCGAGCCGCCGAGGCCCGGCTGAGAGGGCCTGCCGGCTCACAGTGTCCCAGGGGTGGGGGGGGGGGGCGTGCTCCAGGGCCTCTGCCGCCCTCTCCGGGGTTCGGGTCCAGGAGGTCTGTGCCCCCGATGATGACCCCCAGGGGCCCATGGGAGCCAAGCCATGGAGGAGCAGACAGCAGAGCCACCCCGGGCCCCGGCCACTCACACGCAGTTCACCTGCCGGCCGCAGCCCCCACCCCCAGTCCCCTGCGTCCTGAGGGTTCGGGCAGGAGCCCTGCTGGCATGCCGGGGGCCGGGGCAGTGAGGTGAGGGGGCCAGCGGGACCTGGGGCACAGCCAGGCTGGGAGCCATGGCGGCCCTCCTGGGGGTCACCTTCCCTGCGAGTTCACGGCGGCCCCTGCCCCCCAGCGCTCAGGGCTGGGGCTCAGCCGGGAGCTGGGGTCCAGCGGAACCCGGACCTTCGCGGTGGCTGGCGGTCAGCGCTGAGGTAGCTGGAGGCGTGGGCTTCGGGGTCCTGGGCAGGAGGGGCTCCGGGTGGGCGAGGCGTAGCGCCCCGTTCCTCTCCAGCAGGCTGAAGGGGCGCCATCGCCCTGTCACCAGGCCAGGGGCGAAGCCATGCCCGAACTGCGCCCACCCTCCCCGGCCTGCAGGTCGCCGAGGGCCCGCTGCGGGAGGAGAGGGGGAGGGTTTGTCAGTGGTTCCGGGAGCCCCAGCTCCTGCCTCCCCAATGTCAGCACCGGAGCAAGCAGAGGCCTACACCCCTCTCTGCCCGGGTGAGTGTGTGTGTGTGTCACTCACCGGGGTGCTCTCCCAACACCCCGCTTCACAGAAGACCCCTCCGAGGGCCGCTGGCCCTGCCCCTCCCTCGGGCCTGCCCCTCCCTTGGCTCACCTCAAACGAAGGCTCACCTCGAAGGAAGGCTCACCTCGAACTTGCTCATGAACTCCGCGAAGATGCCGAAGAAGGCCTCGGAGGTGGTGGCTTTGGAGTCCTCCCCGAAGAAGGCCAGCGCCCGGCCCAGCTCCTCCACCGCCTCGCGCTGCAGCCCGTCCAGCGCCCGCAGCACCGGCTGCGCCGTCTCCAGGAAGGCCTGGCGTCTGCTCAGGAAACTGCCCCAGCCCAGCGCCCCTCCCAGCGGCCCAGACCCAGTGCCCAGTGGGGAGCCGCCCTGTCCTGCCCTGCAGCGCTGCGCCCTGAGCTAGTCCTGGACCCCGCCCGCCCTGTCCAGCGGGGCCTCTCCCTCTGCAGCAGCTCCCGCCCACTGCTCAGAGGCCACCACCCTTTTCCCAGCCCTTCACGGGAGTGGCCCCTGCCCCTCTCCGGGCCTGACCCTCTCTCTCTTTTTCTTTTTTCTTTTTTTTTAAATATATTTTATTGATTTTTACAGAGAGGAAGGCAGAGGGAGAGAGAGTTAGAAAAATCGATGAGAGAGAAACATCGATCAGCTGCCTCCTGCACACCTCCTACTGGGATGTGCCCGCAATCAAGGTCCATGCCCTTGACCGGAATCGAACCCGGGACCCTTCAGTCCGCAGGCCGGCGCTCTATCCACTGAGCCAAACCAGTTAGGGCTCTCTCTCTTTTTCTAAGGCATTTGTCACTCTCTGTGCCCCACAGAGGGAATGGCCCTCTCTCCCGACTGCCTTGCCAGCGCCGGACAAGCCTCTTTCTGGACCTCCTAGCCTGGGTCCTGGCTCTGCTGGGGACCAGGCCCGGGACAAGGCGCAGCCTGGGCCCCGGTGCTGGGCTTCTGAACACCCCGGGACGGCCCTCTCCCAGCAGGACCAGGACCTCTGCGGGAGGCGGTGGTCACCGGAGCTGGAGCCAGCCCCCCCCCCCCGCCGCCCCGCCGACCGCCCTGGGCCCCCTGGGCCCCTGGGCCCTGCCTCGGAGGATACTGTCATGACGGCGGCAAACTTGTCCTCACCGGAGGGGGCCGCGCTCTGGCAGGCAGCCTGGATCTCCCGGATGGTGCCGTGCAGGTCATCCAGGTCGCCGGTCAGAGCCCGCTGGTTCACTGTGGGGAGGGGCAGGGCCTCGTGGGGCCGCCCACCCCTGGCGGCAGAGCCTACCGCCCGCCCGCCCGCCCGCCCGCCCGCCTGCCCGCCTACCTTTGGCCGCCAGGGGCACCGTGGGCAGGTCCTGCGCAAAGCCCAGGAGCTCCGGGAAGTGCTGGCTCAGCGATTTGGCAAGGATGTGCAGGAAGGTGAGCTTCCCGTCCACGGTCTTGGTGGAGTTCAGCTGCAAGAGACCCCCGACGCTCATCCTCCTCAGCCCCCGCCAGACCGCTGACCCCAGGGACCAGCCATGCGTCTCTTAGACTCAGCCCCACCTCGGTCCCTGCCCTCAGCCGGCTCAACACTCACAACCCGGCTGCTGGGTCCCTTCTCCGGGTTTTACTGCCGGGACGCCATAGGCCCCCTGGGAGTCTGGAGGGCCCGGCCAGCTCCCTGAGGCCCGCAGCCCCGGGGAGGGGCAGGCCCCAGGGAGGAACCAGGCCCGCAGCCCCGGGGAGCGGCAGGCCCCAGGCCTCTGTGTCTGGACCGTTGGCCCTTGTCAGCAGACAGAGCCCACACCTCCCTGACTCCACTCCCAGTCTTCCCTCGTGTGGTTTTCTGGAAGCGTCTGTGGCCCCTGAGCCTCAGACATCTAAACCACTGACACCTGCAGGCGGAGTTTTGCTCTTTGGTTAAAGGACAAGGGGCTCCCTGGGGAGAAGTCCCAGGAGCTCGGGGGAAGGCTGGGTGCGCAGCCCGCAGCCCTGGGGCGGGGGTGGCTGCACTGACAGCGTGGGTGCTGCAGGGGCACAGAACCTCCAGGTGGGCGCTCCCCTTCCACTTGGAGTCTTCCCTCCCTGCTCCCCGGCACTCCATAGCTCCAGACCCGGAGGGAGATGGAGGAGCACCCCCCAGCCTTTGCTGCTGTCCTGGGGATGTTCCGTCCTCTGCTCTGCCGCCCCCCCCCCCCCATCCTCAGTGGCAGAGCGTGGCGGGCCTCACCTCGGTGAGGAAGTTGATCTTGAAGCCCGTGGTCTTGTTGGCTCGGGGCTGCCCGTCGTTGAGGTAGTTGCCCATGGCCAACACGAACTGTGGAGAGGCCGGTGGGCGGTGGGCGGGCGGGTACTCCCCCTCCCCCCTGGCCCATCGTGGGAGCCCGGGGCAGAGGGGCAGGCCGGGGGCCAGGCCGGGGGCAGGCCAGGGGGGGGGGGGGCGGGGATGCGGGCTGACCTCCAGGATCTTGGCGAGCTTCCGGCTGTTCCGGAGCTCCAGGGAGGCCTGGCGCAGGCACTCCAGGCTGGCCCGGATCTCCTCCGTCCGCTCCTGCAGGCTGGCCTGGAAGTGCAGGCTGCGCAGGCGCGTTTTGTAGTCCGGAACCGACAGCATCTGCCGCGAAGGCCGGCCTGAATCATGGGTTGGCCAGCACCGCCAGCACCGCCAGCACCGCCAGGAGACCCACCCCCAGTGCAGCCTGGGGCCCCAGCTGCTACCGGGCCAGGGGTTCCCTGAGGAAACTAAGCAGGGCCCCTAAGGGCAGCAGCACCCCATCCAGCTGGATTCCTATGGGACCTGGTTCAGAAAGGTGTGAACTGCTGGTTGCACGGTGACCTATGAACCAGGAGGTCACAGGTAACGGTTGGATTCCCAGTTAGGGCACATGCCCTGGTTTTGGGCTCGATCCCCCCTTGGTGCAGGAGGTAGCCAGTCAACGATTCTCTCTCATCGTTGATGTTTCTCTCTCTCTCCCTTCCTCTCAATAAAGATATATTAGAAAGAAAGAAAGAAAGAAAGAAAGAAAGAAAGAAAGAAAGAAAGAAAGAAAGAAAGCCCTAACTGGTTTGGCTCAGTGGATAGAACATCGGCCTGTAGACTCTAGGGTCCCAGGTTCGATTCCAGCCAAGGGCATGTACCTTGGTTGCGGGCACATCCCCAGTAGGGGGCGTGCAGGAGGCGGCCGATAGGTGTTTCTAACTATCCCTCTCCCTCTCTGTGAAAAATCAGCAAAACACATCTTTTTAAGAGAAGAAGGAAGAAGAGGAAGGTGTGCACTGGCACTCAGGGGCGTGAGCGCGGGGCCCGTGCAGCAGGACGAGGCGACGCCCGCAGCGGCGGCCGCACCTGCAGCACGAACTGGTCGGGTTCGCTGAGCTGCCCGGGTGCCTCGCGGAAGGCCTGGTAGCGCAGCTCCTCGTCGGCGTCGGGCGCGAAGAGCAGCAGCTGCGCCAGGTGCTCGGGCTCCAGCCGCCCCGGCTCCATGGCCATGAGCACCTGGCGCAGCTCGGCCGGGCTCAGCTTCAGGTGCGCCAGCAGGATGGCTGCGGGGGGCGCGGGTGAGGGGGCTGCTGGGGGGGCCCGGGGCTGGGGGGGGCGCGGGTGAGGGGGCTGCGGGGGGGCCCGGGGCTGGGGGGGGGGGGGGCAGGAGCCTGAGAGGCGGAGAGTCCCCTGGGGACGGAGGAGAGAGCCAGGCGGGGTCCCGGGAGAGAGATCTAGGATTGAGCAGGACCTGGCGATGGCGCCGAGAAAGGGAGGGCCTGGAAGCGGGTCAGGGCCCCAGCCAGCAAGAGGGCGGGCCTGAGGGGCGGACCCAGGGCCGCACCCACCCAGGAGGATGTGGGACCTGGGAGGGGCCTCTGCCCGCTGGGTGGCAGGTGTATGGGGGGGGCGGTTACAGCCTAATTTCTGCGTCCCCCCGGGGCCCCGGGCCCCGCCCTCACAGGTGTTGTAGGCCTTCTTGTGGGACAGGATCTCCACCACCTCCTTCTTCCTGAAGGGCTCGGGCCTGGGCGCGGGCTCTGGAGGGACATGGTGGCTGAGGGGGGCGTCCAGGCTGAGGCTGCTCTAAGAGGGCGGGGGGGCACCCCACCAGCCCAGACGCCCCCTCTCCGTGGCCCGGACTCAGCTCTGGGGTCCACAGGCCCCACGCCCGGACTCCCGGGCCCAGCCTAGCACTCAGCATGCATGGCGCCTCCCTCCCGACCTTCCCCCGGCTGGCCGACTGAGCTGCCGGGGAGCGGCACCCCCCTCTGGGCCTTGCAGGTGCCTCCTGGTGGACACGGCCTCTCTCCTCCATCGGGGACCACTGGCCACACGGTGTCCCTGGCTGCCTGCAGACCCCCCACCACCAACTGCAGGGAGGGGCACAGGGAGGCGGGGGAGGGGCCGGGAGGGGCACAGGGAGGCGGGGGAGGGGCTGGGAGGGGCACAGGGAGGCGGGGGAGGGGCTGGGAGGGGCACAGGGAGGCGGGGGAGGGGCTGGGAGGGGCGCAGGGAGGCGGGGGAGGGGCTGGGAGGGGCGCAGGGAGGCGGGGGAGGGGCTGGGAGGGGCACAGGGAGGCGGGGGAGGGGCTGGGAGGGGCACAGGGAGGCGGGGGAGGGGCTGGGAGGGGCGCAGGGAGGCGGGGGAGGGGCCGGGAGGGGCGCTGTGGACGCCTCCTGCAGCCTCATCCGGCTGTGCCTGAGGTCACCAGCCCCTGGGCTTCCGAATCAGGAAGGCACAGTCCCGGGCTGGCTCTGCCGTGAGGGAGCAGGGCGTCTGCGCGCAGTTACTGTGCCATCGGGGCCAGCTGACAGCCCCCGTTTGGAGGCCTGAACTCAGGGACACAGTGAGCGGATGGCCGTCCGGGCAGCCCCCCGGGGCCCTGAGCCCTGGGCTGTCCCAGCGGCCCCGGGATGGGGGACCCCAGGGCCCTCGGCCACTCACTGGCCGGCTTCTGGGTGCCGAAGTGGAGCTCCAGGTCGAGGTACTTCACCATGTCACTCAGCTTGTCGTAGTCAGAGTCCTCCCCCAGCTGCAAGGGACCGGCGCACAGTGAGGAGAGCCTGGCAGCTGGGCTGAGCCCCCCCATCCCCAAGGAGAGCCCCCGTCAGGCTGGCGCTGGGCGGCCTGCAGAGAAGCCACATCCCGGCTCTCAGGTGGGGAGCCGCTCCCGTGGTGGCCAATCACTCCCACGCCTGGGAACACCTCCACCCCCGGCCCCCCACCTCCCACCCCCCGCAGAGGCCAGCCCTGGGTGGGGCGGGCAGCAGGGGCTGCAAAGGGGCCGGAGCCGCCCAGGGGCCTTCGAGGGGCCCTTTGCAGGGAGTGAGCTGCCCCCCCGTGTTCCCGACTGGGGAAAGGGAGGCAGGGAAATGCCAGGGGCTAGACACGGGACAGGGCCTGTCCTCGATGCTGCTGGCCAACCCCCCCCCCCCCGGGGCCCGGGGCCTCCGGCCGCCCACCTGGCCCCAGATGGTGCCCTCCGAGTTCTCCACCTGCTCCCAGCGGAGGCGCTTGACGCTCATGTGGCTGGTCCCACCGCGGCGGTGGGCCAGGCCCCCGGACAGCGTGGGGGGGGCGCAGGGCACGGGCGGGGGCAGGGGCGGCGGGGGCGGGGGCGGGACCGGGTGGCCAAGTGGGGTGAGGGGCTTGGCTAGAGTCTGGGGGGCACCCCGGGGACCGTCCGGGGCGCGGGCGCTGGGCTTGGGGTCGTGGAAGGGCAGGGGCGGCGGGGGCGGCGGGGGGCTGAGCGGGGGCGGGGGGATGTGGTCGGACATGGAGGAGTAGGTGAGGGAGCTGCCCTCCTCGCTGCTGCTGACGCACTCGCTGGCGCTGCTCCGCTCGTTGGTGACAAAGCTGCCCTGGTCATCCTCGTGGAAGCTCATCTGCCGGGGACAGAGCAGGGGGCGGCCGGGCTGGGCCAGGGGCTGGGCTGGGGAAGCCGGAGGCGGAGGGAGGGCGGGGGGAGCCCAGCACAGGAGGAGGTGACCTGAGCCCAGGTCTGTGTGGCCTCGGGCAGGTACTGAGTGTCATACTTGAGTCCAATGTGGTTCGGCCCTCACCGGTGTGGCCCAGTGGCCCCGGGTTCAATTCATCAGGGCAACACCCGGGGGTGCGGGCTCGATTCCCAGTAGGAGGTGTGCAGGAGGCAGCGGGTCAATGATTCTCTCATCTTTTATGTTCTCTCTCTCTCTCCCTCTCCATTCCTCCCGGAAATCAATTAAAATGCATTTAAAAAAATATATATCTTTATTGATTTTTACAAGAGAGGAAGAGAGAGGGATAGAGAGTTAGAAACATCGATGAGAATCATCGACCAGCTGCCTCTTGCACACCCCCTACTGGGAATGTGCCCACAACCAAGGTACATGCCCTTGACTGGAATCGAACCTGGGACCTTTCAGCTGACACTCTATCCACTGAGCCAAACTGGTTTCGGCTTTATTGATTTTTTTTTTTACTGAGAGGAAGGGAGAGGGATAGAGAGTTAGAAACATTGATCAGCTGTCTCCTGCAAAACCCCCCACTGAGGATGTGCCTGCAACTAAGGCACATGCCCTTGACCGGAATCGAACCTGGGACCTTTCAGCTGACACTCTATCCTAGGGGTGTCGAACTCAATCAGAGAAGGGGCCAAAATCTAAAATCCAGCCTAAATCGCGGGCCGAATGGTTTATTGAACAGTCATAAACTGTCATTGTGATGGAAACGCAGTGGAGTGCAGTGATGACAGCGCGGTTCGGGCCACATTGCAAGGCCTGGCGGGACGGATTTGGCCCGCGGGCCTTGTGTTTGACACATGTGCTCTATCCACTGAGCCAAACTGGTTTCGGCTTTATTGATTTTTTTTTTTTTTACTGAGAGGAAGGGAGAGGGATAGAGAGTTAGAAACATTGATCAGCTGTCTCCTGCAAAACCCCCCACTGAGGATGTGCCTGCAACCAAGGCACATGCCCTTGACCGGAATCGAATCTGGGACCTTTCAGTCTGCAGGCTGATGCTCTATCCACTGAGCCACACCGCTTCAGCTAATTTGCATTTTTTAAAGAGTGTCCAGCTCTAGCCAGGGAGCAGGGTGGCTTGGGCCAGGCCTCAGGGACACTGCCCGCCGTGGAGACACCCGTCACACACACACACACACCAGCTCACCTCCTCGTAGTCGTTCTCGGGGCTCAGGAAGTCATCCACCAGGGTGACCCGCGGGCCCAGCTGCTCGCTCAGGGCGTCCAGGAAGCGGTCGGTGTCGCGGCTCCGCGGGGGCCGGGAGAAGGTGAAGCGCTTCCTGCGGCCGGGCTGGCGGCCGGGGGCCGGGCTTGGGGGGCTGTCCGGGGGGCCGGGCCCGGGCTCTGGGGAGGGCGCCCTGCTGCTGTCCAGGCTGGCGTAGGGGTGGGACTCGGAGCTGCTGGGGGAGGCCGGGCCCTCGGAGCACAGCGGGTAGTAGCAGGGGGAGGGCCGTAGCCGCTCGCTGGGCCAGGAGACGCCGGGCAGGGTCCTGGGCCCTGGGGGGGGGGGGGCGCATGAGGACCCGCCCTGGGGTCAGGGCCTGGGCTCCAGGTGTGGGCTGGCGGGGAGGGCCGGGCGGGGTGGCTGTGCTGGCGGGGAGGGCCGGGCGGGGTGGCTGTGCTGGAGGGGAGGGCCCGGGGTGGGGTGGCTGTGCGTCCCCGGGCACCTTCCTTCCCTCTCTGGACGCGGCACCGGGAAACGGGGCACCCTGCTCCCCATGCTCTTCCCGAGGTGGCCACAGGTTCAAGGTGGGGCACCGCCTAGGACCGGCCAGACCCAGTGCATCCTGGGAGCGACACCGGGGTCCCGCCCGGGCCCCGGCACACAGCTCCGAGGGCCAAGGAGCCTTCGCCAGGCTCCGGACCCAGCGTCATGGGCACCTCGCTGCCAGGAGCATCGCCAGGGGTCCTGCCTTCTGGACTTCAGCGGTGTCATCGTGTGTGTGTGTGTGTGTGTGTGTGTGTGTGTGGTGTGTATGTCTATCTGTGTGTGTTTCTATGTGTGTGTGTGTCTATCTGTGTGTGTTTCTGTGTGTGTGTGTGTGTGTGTGTGGTATGTGTGTGTGTGTGTATGTCTATCTCTGTGTGTTTCTATGTGTGTGTGTGTGTGTGTGTGTGTATCTCTGTGTGTGTGTCTGTGGTGTGTATGTGTGCCTGTGTGTGTGTATCTGTGTGTGTGTATGTGTGTGTGTGTGTGTGTGTGTGTGGTGTGTGTGTCTATGTGTGTGTGTATATCTGTGTGTGTGTGTCTGTGGTGTGTATGTGTGTGTGTGTGTGGTGTGTGTGTGGTGTGTATGTCTATCTGTGTGTGTTTCTATGTGTGTGTGTATGTGTGTGTGTGGTGTGTGTGTGCTATGTGTGCGTGTGTGTGTGGTGTGTGTGTGTCTATGTGTGTGTGTGTATCTCTGTGTGTATGTGTCTGTGGTGTGTGCGTGCATGTGTGTCTATGTGTGTGTATCTGTGTGTGTGTCTATGTGTGCATGTATGTGTATGTGTGGTGTGGTGTGGTGTGTGTGCGTGTGTGTGTGTGGTGTGTGTGTCTATGTGTGTGTGTATCTGTGTGTGTGTGTCTGTGGTATGTATGTGTGCTTATGTGTGTGTATCTGTGTGTGTGTCTATGTGTGCGTGTGCGTGTGTGTATCTCTGTGTGTGTGTCTGTGGTGTGTCTGTGTGCCTATGTGTGTGTATCTGTGTGTGTGTCTATGTGTGCGTGTGTGTGTGCGTGTGTGTGTGTGTCCTGAGAGCATCCGCCCTCCCAGCTGTGCTGCTCACAGAGCCAGGCCCGCACTGAGAGGTTCACCCACAGCCAATACCGCCGGGGGGTCCTTGGGGGCAGCCCTCCCTCTGCTTTTCTAGATCCACAGCCGGGGTGAGGCTCAGAGGGGACACGCAGGGACAGAGACAACCCTGACCTTGGTGGCCCCTCGCCATGGAGGCTGCTGCGGCCCCAGAACACAAGCTCATGGCCATGGAGCAAGGGGGGGGCTCCAGAGGGGGCCTCAGGCGGCCAGCGCCCAGCCAGCGGGCGGGGAGAGTCGGTGCTGCCCTCGGAGCCGGCGGCCGAGCGCCCACCTGCGGTGCCTGCCGGGCTGGGTGCCGGGGGCGAGGCCCGGGACCGGGACGTGGACCCCCTCCTGCCCGAGAAGCTGCTGCTCAGCCTGGACTCCAGCTCCGCGTACACGGCCGACATCTGCAGAGAGAGGAGGCGGGAGAGTCCAGCGCCCCCTGCCCCCGGGGGCCCTAATGTGGCCTCGCAGGCCAGGCGGGGGTGTCTGAGAAGCAGGGATCTGCCTGGCCGGCGAGGCTCAGGGGCTGAGCGTCGACCTAGGAACCAGGAGGTCACGGTTCCATCCCCGGTCAGGACACAGGCCCAGGTTGAGGGCTCCGTCCTCCTGCAGGAGGCAGCCGATCAATGGTTCTCTCTCATCAATGACATCGCCAACTCTTTCTCCCTCTCCCTTCCTCTCTGAAATCAACAAAAATCTATTTTAAAAAGAGTAAGAGCCCTGGCTGGCTTAGCTCAATGGATAGAGCATCAGCCTGCGGACTGAAGGGCCCCGGGTTTGATTCTGGTCAAGGGCACATGCCTGGGTTGGGGGCTCGATTCCCAGTAGGGGACGTGCAAGAGGCAGCTGATCAATGATTCCCTCTCATCATTGACGTTTCTGTCTCTCTCGCCCCTTCTCCCTTCCTCTCTGAAATCAATAAAAATGTATTTTATAACAAATAATAAATAATAAAAAGTGAAAAAAGAAGAAGAAACAGGCACCTGCCCAGCCCACCACCGACACCACCAGGGGCACCGAGGTCTCACCATCTTGGGGTTGGGGGTCTCCGGGAGGGATGTGCCATCGCCTGCCTGGCGCTCGCCGGGGATCGGAGGAAGAGGCACCTCAGTGCAGTCACCGGGGCCTGCTGGGAGCCGGGGGGAGGGGCGGGGGGGCACAGAGTCAGGCACCAGGCGGGCCCAGGGGGCCCGGGAGAAGGAACCCGCTAGCCCACAGCCAGGAGGCCGCCGCTCAGCCTGGCTCCCGGGCCTCTCCCTCTGCAGGCGGGGAAGCAGCCCCGGCCGCCCTCGAACCCTCTCCTGCTGCTGGGTCTGGCCCGGGCCTACCGCAGGCGAGGCCGGCCTCCAGGCCCTGGGCGCGCAGGCTGCGGCGGCACACGGAGGAGGCCCGCAGGGAGCTCCGCCGCTGGGGCACCGGCTCCGGCTCCGGCTCCGGCTCCGGCTCCGGCTCCGGCTCCGGCTCCGTCTCCGCTGTGGGACACGAAGGGGAGATGGGCCCGCCCTCAGCCAGGGAGCCGCCAGACCCAGGGAGGGGAAGGCAGCCGATCCATCGGTGCCCGGCCGTGCCTGGCTCTGGCCAGCTGCCGAGGGGAGGCCCGGGGTGAGAGAGCGGTGCCAGGGCAGGGGCGCCAGCCTGAGAATGGAGGGGGAGGTGACACGGGGTCTCACCTCCCAGCACTGCTGCCCTCGGGGCTGATGGGGCGGAAAGGAAGGTCCCGGGTCCAGGCAGACGTGTGAGGCACCTGCACCCCGTTTCTTGCTAAAACCCGGGCCCTCCCCCTGCCCACTGGGGGTCCGTGGGAATAGGGCTGGTGGGCACGCGAGGGCCAGCACATGGGCCTGCAGGCTGGCCCGGCAGGGGCAGAGCGGCGAGGACACAGGCCCCGGGTTTGGATGCCGTGGCCGGAACGAAGACGGGCATGGCCTCGTGGGCTCAGGGCACCGGCGTCTGTGCCCAGCCAGGTGCGGCCCCGCTCACGCCCACAATCTGAGTCTGCCAACAGCGGCCACACGAGCCTCTCACCGGGTGACACACTTCCTGAGGTGCCACACACCGCCGAGACCCCGGTGGCGAGCTTGGGGGGCGTCTATAGCTGCATTTGCTCCTAAAAGCCGGGAGGGTACATCCGGGTGGCCAAGCATGGAACCAGCTGGGTGTGCTGGGTATGAGCATGGCATGTGGGCACGTGTGTGTGAGGGGCCTCGGGCCTCTGGAGCGCCTGGCAGGTGAGAACAGGTGTCTGGGTGGGGAGGGCTGCTCACATGGTGGGGAGGGGGGGCGGGGCAGGGGCGGGGCGGGCTGCTCACCTGGTGGGCAGGGGGCGGGGCGGGGCTGGGGGCGGGCCGCTCACCTGGTGGGCAGGGGGCGGGGCCAGGGGTGAGAGCCGCTCACCTGGTGGGCAGGGGGCGGGGCCAGGGGTGAGAGCCGCTCACCTGGTGGGCAGGGGGCGGGCTGGGGTGAGGGCTGCTCACCTGGTGGGCAGGGGGCAGGGCGGGCCGCTCACCTGGTGGGATGGGGGCGGGGCCAGGGGTGAGGGCCGCTCACCTGTGGGACTGGGAGCAGGGTGGGCTGGGGGGCGGGCTGCTCACCTGGTGGGCAGGGGGCGGGGCCAGGGGTGAGGGCCGCTCACCTGGTGGGCAGGGGGCGGGGCGGGCTGGGGGCAGGCCGCTCACCTGGGGGTCGGGGGCGGGGCAGGGGCGGGCCGCTCACCTGGTGGGCAGGGGGCGGGGCCAGGGGTGAGGGCTGCTCACCTGGTGGGACGGGGGCGGGGCCAGGGGTGAGGGCCGCTCACCTGGTGGGCAGGGGGCGGGGCGGGCGGGGGGAAGGCTGCTCACCTGGTGGGCAGGGGGCGGGGCGGGCTGGGGGCGGGCCGCTCACCTGGGGGACGGGGGCGGGGCCAGGGGTGAGGGCCGCTCACCTGGGGGACGGGGCGGGGCGGGCTGGGGGCGGGCCGCTCACCTGGTGGGCAGGGGGCGGGGCTGGGGTGAGGGCTGCTCACCTGGTGGGCAGGGGGCGGGGCTGGGGTGAGGGCTGCTCACCTGGTGGGGCAGGGGGCGGGGCTGGGGGCGGGCCGCTCACCTGGGGGGCGGGGGGCGGGGCGGGCTGGGGGTGGCCGCTCACCTGGGGGATGGGGCGGGGCGGGGGCGGGCCCTCACCGGTCATGGCGCTGTAGCCCAGGAAGCAGGCGATCTTCTCGTGGCACAGCTCCTGCTCCTGGTAGGTGAGCAGCTGGTAGACGAACTGCCAGAGTGCCTGCTTGGCGGGCGTGTCCAGCACGGGGTAGATGTCCACGATGAGGGTGTCGATGTTCCTGGGGGAGGGCAGCAGCCGGGGTTCGCCATCAGGGCCTCCCCTTAGGGAATGGGGGGACGGGCAAGGGGGCCCTTCCAGGCCCTGCCCCCCGCCCCCCCCCCAGAGAGGACAGACCGCCCAGACTCAGATCCTGCCTCCACCAGGAACCAGCCAAGCGACCTTTCTCAAGGTACTTAACCCTCTGTGCCTCAGTCACTCTCTGTGACACGGGGAAAAGAATGACATCGCAGGGCTCGTGTCCCCGGGGAGCTGTGCACATTTGACATTTATCCTCGGAGAGGACATGGCTGCAGGCTGAGGCGTTCGTTTGTTTACTCAGTGTGACAGGCCGTGCCGACTGCTTCCCGGAGCTCTGCCCCCCTCACCGGGCGGTGCCGAACGGCTCCGTCCGCGGGTCCTCGCCAACATGCGGCCCCACCCAGCTTCCTATTTAGCTCATCTTTCTGGCCATCAAGTCACATCTTGTTTGGTTTATTTTATTTTATTTCATTTTAAAAATATATATTTTATTGATTTTTTACAGAGAGGAAGGGAGAGGGATAGAGAGTTAGAAACATCGATGAGAGAGAATCATCGATCAGCTGCCTCCTGCACCCCCCCCACTGGGGATGTGCCCGCAACCAAGGCACATGCCCTTGCCCGGAATCGAACCCGGGACCTCTCAGTCCGCAGGCAGGCGCTCTATCCCCTGAGCCACACCGGTTTCGGCTGGGTTTTATTTTAAAATACTTTTTTTTTCGGAGAGGGAGAGAGAGATGGAAACATCGGTGGGCCCCGATGGAGAGTCTGGGCGGGTGTGGGCCCCGGGCAGGTCTCCCCGGCCACCTGTGCTGGAAGAAGCTCTCCAGGGCCCGGCAGACGCCGTAGCGCTCGGCGGGCGTGAGCAGGCGCTCCAGCTGCTGGCTGAAGGTCCGGCCCTGCACGCGGATGCTGGCCGGCAGGATGTCCGCCACCCACTGCAGCGAGCTGAGCGCCGCCGCCGGGCTGGAATCCAGAGAGTCCGAGTCTGCGGGTCACAGGCAGGAGGGGCCAGGTGACCCGGGTCCCCAGGCCAGGGACCCCCGACTGGGGCGGCCGTGGGCACCAGGATTGGGACGCACAGCTGCAGCCGCCGCTGGGGGTGGAGGGAGAGCTGGGCAGGGGCCCCGAGATGGTCCCACTGGGTTCCACAGCACCGGGGGGCCTGGGGGATAAGCAGAGGGGGCCCCTCGGGTCTCTGTGGAGTGGGGGTCTCACCGCTGGGGAACGGGACGAGCCCCTCCTCCACCACCAGCGTGGGCATCGCGCCACTGCCCTGCAGCATGGACACCACCTTGTCATGGGAGCAGTTCCTGCCGAGAGAGGTGGCCCGGGAGGGCCTGGCCAGTGAGCCCCGTCCAGGCCGCCCCGACACCCCCTTCCCCCTCTCCCGGTCCTGCCTGCCGAGGCCACACAACACGTCGCCAGCAGGGCCAAAGCCAGAGCCGGGCACAGCCTCTCTGCCAGTTCACCTCTGCGGGAGCAGCTCCAGGGCACAGAGGGCTGGCACCTGCCTCTCCCCCCGCCCCCCGGCCCGCAGGGCTCCCCCTACAGGCAAGGCTGTCAGTGCTGTGCCCTGCGTGGGGCTGGGTTGGAAGGATGCTCTGTTGTCCTAGAGAGGGCAGGAGAATAGATTCGGGAGGTCTCCTGGGATGAGGGACAGACCCTGGGACCCGCTGGGCAGAGGAGATCAGGACCAGGGCTGGGGGTCCCGAGAGGCAGCAGTTTTGGGGGACAGTTCCCCGCCAAAGCTCTGGTGTCCCCAGCGGCCTCTGACCTCATGTCCAGTCCGTTGAGGAAGAGGATCCGGTCGCCCGACCTGAGGGCGGCATTGTCCGCCGGGCTCCCTGGAGGCAGGCAGAGAGGACCCGCCGGTCAGCGGGGCAGCCGGGCCTGCCTCCCGGCGAGGACTGCCCGGGGTGCCCGCATTAGACGGCTCAGGCCCCGCGCCTCTGCCTGCGGCTCTGGCCGGCAGTGGGTCTGGGCGGGCGGGGCGCTGGGGCGGCCGCTCAGCCCGGAGCTGTTGGCCAGGAGCTGAAACAAAGATCTGGGAGCAGCATTTCTGCGGTGTCTGCGCCCCCAGAGCACCCCACTCCAGACAGCTCTGTCCCCTCTGACACAGGAAGGCTCCTCCTGCCGCTGTCACCGGGGGAAGTGTGCCCCCTGGCGGCGGCTGGGCAGAGCAGCGCACCTGAGTGTTAACTGTGGGAGAGGCAGAGGGGAGTGAGGGTGGCAGGGAGAGGGGTGGGGGTGGCAGGGAGGGGGGTGGGGTGGCAGGGAGAGGGGTGGGGGTGGCAGGGAGGGGGGTGGGGGTGGCAGAGAGGGGAGTGAGGGTGGCAGGGAGGGGAGTGAGGGTGGCAGGGATGGGGGTGAGGGTGGCAGGGAGGGGGGTGGGGGTGGCAGGGAGGGGAGTGAGGGTGGCAGGGAGGGGGAGTGAGGGTGGCAGGGAGGGGGGTGGGGGTGGCAGGGAGGGGGGGGGGGGGGCAGGGAGGGGGAGTGGGGGTGGCAGGGAGGGGGAGTGGGGGTGGCAGGGAGGGGGGTGGGGGTGGAGAGATAGAGGGGAGTGAGGGTGGCAGGAGGGGTGTCGGTGGGGGTGGCCGGGAGGGGGGTGGGGGTGGCAGGGAGTGGGGGTGAGGGTGGCAGGGAGGGGGAGTGGGGGGTGGCAGGGAGGGGGGAGGGGGGGTGGCAGGGAGGGAGGTGTGGGGGGTGGCAGGGAGAGGGGGTGGGGGTGGCAGGGAGGGGGGTGGGGGTGGCAGGGAGGGGGGTGGGGGTGGCAGGAGGGGGGTGGGGGTGGCAGGGAGGGGGTGGGGGTGGCAGAGAGGGGGGTGAGGGTGTGGCAGGCGGGGAGGGTGAGGGTGGCAGGGAGGGGGTGAGGGTGGCAGGGAGGGGAGGTGAGGGTGGCAGGGAGGGGGGTGAGGTGGCGGCAGGGAGGGGGTGGGGGGTGGCAGGGAGGGGGTGGGGTGGCAGGGAGGGGGTGGGGGTGGCAGGGAGGGGGGGGGGGTGGCAGGGAGGGGGGTGGGGGTGGCAGGGAGGGGGGTGGGGTGGCAGGGAGGGGGGTGGGGGTGGCAGGGAGGGGGAGTGGGGGTGGCAGGGAGGGGGAGTGGGGTGGCAGGGAGGGGGGGGTGGGGGTGGCAGGGAGGGGGGTGGGGGGGTGGCAGGGAGGGGGAGTGGGGGTGGCAGGGAGGGGGGGTGGGGGTGGCAGGGAGGGGGAGTGGGGGTGGCAGGGCGGGGGGGTGGGGGTGGCAGGGAGGGGGGTGGGGGTGGCAGGGAGGGGGGTGAGGGGGGTGGCAGGGGAGTGGGGGTGGGGGTGGAGGGGAGGGGGAGTGGGGGTGGCAGGGAGGGGGGTGGGGGTGGCAGGGAGGGGGACTGGGGTGGCATAGGCGGGAGAGACACATCCAAAGAGGAGAGACCACTCGTTTCCAGAGGACGCTCCCCAGAGAGTCCCTTCGGACCTCGTCCCAACAGAATGTTAACGACAGGGGCACCCAAATCCGAGGTGGAGACCGGGCCACATCAGCCGCCAGGGTTAGGCCTGAGCATCCCGTGGCTGGCATCACGCTCTCCCCTCGCCCCGGGCAGTGCGCCCACGTGAGAGGCGGGAGGCACCGCACTCTGGTGCTGGGAGGGGACCCAGCCCCGGGGGTGGGACAGGGAGGGGCTGCCTTGGCCAGACATGGGTGTCCCCCCCCCCTCCCCGGAGGATGAGAAGGAGGGATTCCTGCTCTGCCTTCTTCAAGATGCTGCCATTCCAGGAGCAAGAAGGCAGGCTGGGCGGGGGGAGGTGGGGGTGACGGCAGAGGCCTGGCGATGCCCTTTCACGGTGAAGGTGGGCCCTGCACAGGGAGTAAGGTCTGGGGCAGCCCGGCCTGGCTACCTGGCCAGGGAGTGCCCAGCCCTCCAGGTGGGCACAGGAAGGTCTGGGTGGAGAGCTTGTTTCACGTGGCTCAGGGTGACCCTGAACTTGGCTCGGCAGATGGATGATTTGGCTGCTGGCTGCCCTGTGCGCTCGCTTGGAGGACACAGGCTGCATGAGGTGGGTACGGGAGGGGGGCGGGGGGAGTCGGGGTGCTGAGCGGCAGCCCGATGGGACCCTTGCCCATCCTGGACACCCCGCCACCCCTCACCAGGCAGGACGGACTCGATCCACACAGGCCCGTGGCCGCGCAGCGTGAAGCCGAAGCTCTTGTTGCCCTTGTAGACGCGGACCGTCCTGGGGAGGAAGAGGGGTGGGGGGTGGCGTGGGGTGGGGATGGGGTGGGGCGGGATGGGCAGCATGGGTTCACCTTAACCTCCCTGCACGGTCACCTTCCCCCGCCTCGCCTCCCCGCCCCCCCGCCCCTCCACCCAGGTCTCCATCGGGAGCCGGACCACCCAGCGGGCCCCCCCCCGCCCCCGCCCCCGGCCCGGGTACCTGCGCCCGGAGCCGGAGCCGGGGCCCGGGCGGCCGGCCAGCAGCGAGGCGGCCCTGCGCGGGGGCTCGTCGGGGCGGCGCGGCGCGGCGCTGGCGCGCGTGGACACCAGCAGGCGCTCCGGCCGCTCCTCGCTGCGGCTCCGGCGCAGCCTCTGCGCGCCCTGCGCCCTCCGCGCGCGGCACAGCCGGCCCAGCAGCCCCTGCGACACCACCTCGTCGAAGCGCGCCCGGTGCTTCTTGGGGATGAAGATCCTGCGGGGAGCCGGCCGGTCGGGTCCTTCCAGCCCCAGCCCCAGGCGCCGCCCGGCTCCCCCCACCCGGGCTGGCGCGGGTCAGCGGCCGCACCCCCTGGCGTCCCACCGGGCTCCGGGCCGCTCGCTCCGGCTGGGACACCCGTCATCGCCCCCGGCCTCCGCGGACCTCTCTCCCCACAGCCGGTCCCCTCCTCCTCCGGCCCTTTCTCTCCCTCTGGCCTCGCCCTCCCCCTCCACCCTGCCCTGGCACCTGCCGGGCCTGCCCAGCCAGGGATCCCCAACCCCCTCCCAGCCCGGCTCCAGGCACCGCCGCTGGGGAAGACGAAGATGGCCCGGTCAGAGCGTCCGCCCCCATCACCATCACCGCCTCCCCAGCCCCCAGCCTGCCCAATGTCCGCGGCTCCTGGCCCTGCGCTGCCCTCCCGCTGCCCCTGCCGGCACGCTGTCCTGCAGCTAAGCCAGCTAGCCCTCCGCCCAGCACGGCTCCTCCCCCTCCTGCCTCCCTGCCCCCTGCCTCCCTGCCCCCTGCCCCCTGCCCCCTGCTCCCTGCCCCCTGCCTCCCTGCTCCCTGCCTCCCTGCCCCTTGCCCCCTGCCTCCCTGCCCCCTACCCCCTGCTCCCTGCCCCCTGCCTCCCTGCTCCCTGCCCCCTACCCCCTGCCCCCTGCTCCCTGCCTCCCTGCCCCCTGCCCCCTGCTCCCTGCCTCCCTGCCCCCTGCCCCCTGCCTGGGCAGTCCTGCCCCCTGCTCCCTGCCCCCTGCCCCCTACCCCCTGCCTGGGCAGCCCTGCCCGGGCCCCCGCTGAGCGCTGGCGGCGGGAGGCTCTCAGGGTCCTGTGGGGAGGCCCACCCCCGGTTCCTTATCGACCCTGGTCTCCCTGGGGCCTGGACGCCCTCTGAGGCTGGTCCGCAGCTCAGCTCTGAGCCGGGACCCCAGCACCCCCACTCGCACAGGGGAGGGCTCAGGGGCTCAGGGCACGGGCCACGGGCGGTCCAACCGAAGCCCCAGTGAGGCGGCAGGTGCCATCCAGGGGAATCCGGGTCCACAGCAGGGGATTCGGGGGCCCCTTACTTCCCAGGTTAACGGCTGGACGGCGGCCTCTGCGCCTCGCCCTGGGGCAGCCCTGAAGGTCTGGTTACGGAGGCCTCGGGGCGCACCCCACGGTTCCCCGCCCCAGAGCCAGGGTGGGGGGCCGGGAAAGGAGAGGGGTCCGTGGAATACAACCCTCTGGGGTCACTCAGTTCCCTAACCCTCCCTGGGGGGTTAACCAGAGAAGCTGCCTGCTGGGAGGGAAGGGATGTGAGCCCTCAGGGAGGGGTTCATCAGGACCTGCCCACCCAACCTCCCCTTCCTCACCCCTTCCCTCCTCACCTCCTCCTTACCTCCCTCCCTCCCTCCTTCCCCACCTCCCCCCCACTCTCTCCCCCTCCCCCTCCTCTCCCCACCCCTCCCCCTCCCCCTTCCTTTTTTCCTCCCCCTCCCCCTCCTCACGTGAGCCCTGCCCCTCCATGCCCCAGGAGGCCAGAATGAACGCCTCTCCACTCTGCCAGCAGCAGCCCCCCAATCCAGAGCCTGGCCTCATCCCCACCTTCTCTGCAGCCCGACACCCCACCTGCCTGCCCCCCCCCCCCCTGCTCAGACAAAAGAGAGACAGGAGCTTGGCGCTGCCCACCTCACACCTCAGCTCGGGCCCCATGCGCCAGCGGCCTCGGGTCCCACCTGGGCAGGGGCCAGCCCACCGAACCAGCTCTACTTCCAGCGCAGCCAGAGAGGACCCGCTGCCCCAGCTGGGCACCGGGCGAACCACCAGTGCGGGGGGGGGCGGGGGGGCCTTTCCCTGAACCGTGTCCTTGGGGCGGGACCTGGCGAGCAGATGCCCTTCCCGGCGGAGAGGGCACCCCCGCCCTGGGTCTTCCCTGCACCAACTCTCCACCTGGGACATGCGCGGGGTCTCCCGGCCCCTGCGGCCCCTCGCTGTGCCCCTGACCCTGGCAGCCGGGCCGGGCCGCCCTGAACTCTGTCCCTGCCATGCCCGGCTCCGGGGCTCCGGGGCTCTCCCGGGGCCACGCGATGAGCTACCCTCGGGGTCAGTGTGTTCCTTCCGCCGGGGAGTCAGGTCTAAACCCACTTCCAGGGGCCCCGGGGGTCCCCTCTCCCCACATTCCCTGACCGGCTCTGTCCGGTTCCCTGGACCGGCCTGGGCGAGGAAGAGGAAGGAAAGGCGGCTCCTCCACCGCAGCTCTCAGCTCTCGGGTCCGAGGGCCGAGGGCGGGTCCCAGGCACCCACCCGAGCTCGCCCCCGTACCCCTCCGGTTCAGGTCCCCCCTCCCCAGCCCCGCGCCCCAGACAGGCACCGCGGGCGCCCACCCGGGCAGGCGGCCCCTCGGTGCCAGCTCCACCCCCTCCCAGGCCGGCCCGGGCGGCTCCGCAGTTCTGGGGGCGCAGGGCTCCGGGGGGCGCAGGGCTCCGGGGGGCGCACGGCTCGGGGGGCGCACGGCTCGGGGGGCTCTCGGGGGGCGCAGGGCTCCGGGGGGCGCAGGGCTCCGGGAGCGCAGGGCTCCGGGGGGCGCACGGCTCGAGGGCGGGGGCAGGGGCGGGGAAACTACCAAAAGTGCCGGGAGAAGCCCTGGTCCTTCCCCATCTGGAGCTGGAGCTGGCGATGGCGGCACGGCGGGCGCGGTCGCAGCGGGCAGCCGAGCCCCGGGCAGAGCGAGGGCGCCGCTCGCCTCGCTGCTCCGCCGGCCCCGGCCCGGCGCCCGCCCCGCCCCGGTAGCCCCGCCCCGCGCCCCGCCCCCGGGGGCCCTGCCGCTGCTCCCCGCGATCTGGGGCGCCCGGAGGCCGTGCGCCGTCCCCTCCAGGCTTCCCCCATCCATCCGTCTCCCCGGGCGCCTCGTCCCCGTCCCCGCAGAGCCCGGCCGCCCCGCACAGGGGCGAGTCCCCAGCCCCCGCTGCAGTGAGAATGAGCCCACAGTCCCCAGAAGTCCTGGCCGTCTGCTGTAGAGCCCGGAGGGCTTCCCGGAGGGGGTGGCCACGGCGCTGGGCCTCCGGGGCTCAGCTGGAGTCAGGCCAGAAAGAGGGAGCCCTCACGACCTACCCAGGGGCCAGAGAGGGAGCCTTGGACGCCACTGGCAGCGGCTGAGGCTGCGCTCTGAGGCCCGGGAGCCACGGAGGGTCCAAGGATGTAAGGGGAGGTGGAGGGACCCCGGAAGTTTGGGCACTGGGGGGGGGGGGGTGCTGGGAGGGGAGATGGGGTGAAGGGAGGGATGGAACAAGTGTCTGGATTCGGAAAACAGAGGCAGGAGGGGTGTTAGGTCTGGGAGTGAGTGGAAGGGAGGAGGGCTGCCCGGCTGGGTACTCCCACTGGGAGAGGAGAGGGGAGGGGAGGGGGGACAGGAGAGGGGGTCTGGGCTGTCCCTCTGGCCTTGGGCCTGTGCCTCCCCCCCACCCCACCCTCGGCGCCCCGTATCGTCCTTTCTCACTGATCTGCGCCCTGACTGCCACCAGCAAGGACTGATGGATGATTCCAGGGAGCAGCCGGGGGCACCCTTAGGTGCCATGAGCACAAGGCCCTCTGGACCAGAAGGCAGTCACCACCCAGGCTGGACCCGCAGCGGCAGGAACCGGACCACACAACTCTGCCTCAGCCACGGGGGGGGGGGGCGGGGGGGGGCCTCAGTGGTCCGCTCTGCCGGGCTGCTGCCCGCCTCCTCAGCCCCCATCCCGTCCCTGTCCCCAGCCAGGCTGCCCCCGCGGGACCTCTGAGGTCAGCATTTCTCAGAAGCCAGAGCGGTGTCCTCCCAAGCCTGGTCCCCCGCCTGCCCGGAGAGGAAGGTCTGAGGCCCTCGCTCCCTGGCGCCCACAGGGCCACGGTTCCCCCATCAAGATGGAGCCAGTCCGGCTGATCCCCAGCCAGGCCTGCCCCGAGGCCGGGTGCTGTCTGCCTCGCTGCAGCACAAGTCCTGCTCAGATCCAGACACAGCCGGCCCGTGCACCCGCTGGGGCCAGCGAAGGAGCCAGCACCCGGCACATCTGGTGAGATGACTGAGCAGCAGGGGTGGCCAGGCGTCCGGCCACAGCTGACCTCCCTGAGGACCTGCCGGGGGAGTGTGCCCACAGAGACATCGCTCTGGGCCAGCCGTTCTCATGGGCCATTGTGTCCCGCAGGGGGCATCCCGCAGGGGGCATCCCGCAGGGGGCATTGGGGCTATCTGGGGACAGTGTTGATTGTCATAAAATGACAATGAGGAGGGAACTGTGCTACTGGCATTTGTGGGTGGCGGCCAGGGAGCCGCTAAGCATCCTAATATGCACAGCACAGCCACCCACACGGAGGGTTACTGGGCCCAGATGGCAGTGCCACCATGGCTGAGACCACTGGCACCTGTGAATGCCCGCCACTGCCAGCCCCACAGCCTCAGAAAACTCCCAGTAACTGCACTGCGGGACCCTGATCCTTGTTCCAGCAGGAGCGGGTGAAGGAGGTGAGAGTGCCCCCCCCAGGTGCTCAACCACCTCCTTCTGTTTGGGTGGCAGGCACACAAGGCCGTATGCCAGCGATGGCCAACCCTTTCCGTCTCCTGGCACACAGACCAACGGCCAACGTGCCGATCTGACAGAAAGCGAGGCACCATTTGGCTCATGCGCACCAGATGGCCACTGTGTTGGCTGTTGACTTTTTTTTAATTATTATTATTTAACAATTTAAGGGAAAAGAGGTCAGTGCCCCTGACTAGACAGCCGGCTGTTGTATGTTCTAAAAATTCTCGCGACCCACGGGTTGAAAATCGCTGCCATATACAGTCGACAGATCGTATAATTGTACACCTGAAACCTATATAGTTTTCTTAACCAATATCCCCAATCACCGGAATCGCTCTTTTCTGCTTGTAGGCGGCAGAGTTCGTTATGCTGTCTCCCACCGAGAACCCCGCTGGGGGACACACGGGGGTGTCCCCAACCCCCTTTCACAGGCCAACGGCAGAGGTCAGTGAGCCTGCTCAAGGTCGAGCAGCCAGCCAGCGGATCTGGGTTCGAGCTAGGTCTGTCGGGATCCTACATTCCAGCTCCCTCCACCACCTCCGATGCTGCCCCGCCCCCACCGTCAGGCCTGCCCCTCCCTCTCCTTCCATATTTCCTGAAACACTAGCAGACAGCCCCCCACCCCCACCCCGTAGGGCTCGGCATCCCTGTTCCCTCCGAACCAGAACCGCGTCACACTTTCCAAACTGCCTGGTCTGTCCTAATTAGAGGGCCGTTTCATGGCCTCGTCCGCCGGGAGCCCTTTGGGGACGGACCCAAATTAGGCTGCAGCCTCGGAGTGGCTGCTGGGCCAAAGGAAGATGAGCCGCTGCCGGCGGTGCTGGCCGGGGACTCCGGGATGGTGCGCGTGTGCCCCATCTCTGTGGTCGCCACCAGCCACGCGTGGCTGCCGAGCACTCGAACGGTGGCTAGCACACCCGTGAGACCAGGACGCCGAACTTAAACCTTCCTCTGGCACACGTGCAATGTGGCCCGCGGCTGCTGAGCCGCAGGCCCAGCCTCCGGTCTCCCTGCTCCTTCTCCTTCCTCGGTGAGGCCTGCTGCAGCCCCGGGCCACTGGGACCACCTGCCGGTCTGAGTGTGACACACACACACACACACACACACACACACACACACACACACGCCCTCACTGCTACCCTTAGCCGCCCAGCCTCTCATTCAAACCTGGCGGCTCACTGACGGGGGCGGGGCGGTCCCCATGAAGGAGGGGTGCCAGCGGGGCACTGGTGGGTCCCGGTGTGGGTCCCGGTGTGGGTCCCCGTAGGCCTGAGGGGGGGCTGCCCTGTGGCTAGATGCCTGGCCCTGAGGAACACCCTTAGGCGACTGTCTTCCCACCCCGCAGGGCACACCGCCAGACCCTGCCAGTCACTGCCTGAGCCGGGGACTAGCGCCGGCTGCCTCCTCCTGGGGGTCCACCCTGATGGCCCCTGCAGCCTCAGCCCTGGGCCGTCACAGATGGATGTGTCTGAGCCTCCACACCACCCTGCTCCCCGGGAAACGCGAGGGTGGGGTAGGGGGGTGGGGGTGGAGGTGGGGGTGGGGGTGGGGATGGGATGGGGTGTGGGTGGGGGTGGCTGAAGCCGCGCTGTCAGGGTGGCCCGGCTGCGCCCGGCCCCTCCTCCCAGCCTCCCCACTTTCCCGGCCGCATTTCCCGGGCGCTGACCACAGAGGCTGCCGCTCCATCCTCCCCAGCGCCCCGGGGTGCTGCCTGCGGGCGGGCTTCCCCGGCGGCGCCCCGCTCCCGCCTCCCGGCTCCCAGCCGCGTGCTCCCCGGACCCCGCCCCCGCCCCGGCCCTCCGGCCCGGGCCGCTGGGGCCGCTGCGGAGGGGAGGCGGCGGGGAGGGCCCGGGGCGGGCGGGGCCCGGGGCGGCCTCCGGAGCCCGCCGCCCGCCCTGGGGCCGGGGAGAGGGGTGGGCGGCGGGGGCGTCTCCGCGGCTAAGCGGCTGCAGAAATAACTTTTCCTTCTCTCCGACCCTCCGGGCGGGCGGCCTCACTCCCCCAGGCCGCTCAGGGAGGCGCTCCGCGGCGCCGGAGCGGAGGCGGCCGGTGGGGACACCCGCCAGGCCCCGGGGAGGGGCAGCTCCGGGGACCGCGGGCGAGGGGAGCGGCGGCCCAGCCAGGAAGGGTGGGGGGGTGGGGGGTGCGGGACTGGGGCCCAGGGGGCAGGTGCAAGCTGGGCAAGCAGGGAGGGCGCCCCTGGCGGGAAAGGGGGAAAGGGGTGGTGGAGGGGTTCCAGGTGTGGGGCCACTAATTTAAATATATATAATCTATATAATATATATAATATTTAATATATAAATATTTAAATTATATATATAATTTAAGGCCCAGTGCATGAATTCGTGCACTCCCAGGGGTCCCTCAGCCGGAGCAGTCCCTGAGCCCTCGGGGAATGTCCGACTGCCGGGTTAGGCCTGCTGCCCGCGGGCAGTCAGACATCCTTAGCGCTGCTGTGGAGGAGGGAGGCTCCCCCCACCATCGCTGCCCTCGCCAGCCGCCAGCCGTGAGCCCAGCTCAGGGCTTCCCGCTGAGTGATGCTCCCCCTGCGGGAGCGCACTGACCACCAGGGGCTGCTCCTGCATTGAGCGTCTGCCCCCTCGTGGTCAGTGTGCGTCATAGCGACTGGTTGTTCCAGTGTTTGGTCAACTTGCATATTAGCCTTTTATTATATAGGATTTCCTGAGGAATAAACTTAGAGGGCCCGACGCTGAGCAGGAGAGCAGGAAGTGCACACATCGCTGAGCCGGTTCACATTCCCGTGCCTGCCACTCACTTGCTGTGTGACTGTGGGCCAGTCTCTTAACCTCTCTGAGCCTCAGTCTGCCTCTGAGTGGGAATAAGTATTCCTGGGACATTGGCGCATGGCTGGCATCGTCAGAGGGCAGAGGTGCCCCTTGGGGGACGGGTGCCAGGAGTGCACAGCCCGGGACTCCACACTGCGCCACTGCTCTCTCCTACAGAGCTGGGGCCGTCTGGCTGTCCTGCTGGGTTCTGTGGCCCGGGTTTGGGGACAGAGCAGGGCAGGCTCTGACGTGGGGTCTCCTCCCGGCAGCTGCCAGCCCTTTCCTTCTCAATCAAAGTGGTGCCCTGGCATTGGGCAGAGCCCTCAGGCGCCCTTCTCGGGGTCACTGGTCCCCTCTGCTCTGTGGGGCCGCGGGCATCCCTGAGCGGGACACCCCTGCCCACCCGTCCTGCCTCAGACCGGGTACCTGAGGTTGTCCACAAGGGGCCCTCGGGCCTCGCGGGGCAGGGCCAGGGCGAGCGCCCCCACCAGGTCGTCCACCCGCTGCTCGGCCGCGAACTGCTTCAGCGCCGTGAACACCTGCTCCTTGGCCGTGGGCTGGTCTCCCAGGATCTCGTCCACCTGCCAGGAGGGGCCTGTGAGTGACCTCGGGGGCCCGGGCAGACGGGCGGGGAACCGATCGCCCCTCCCTTCCTCCCTCCGTCTACCGCTCCGAGGCTGCCGGGAGCAGCGGTGCTGAGCCCAGCGGCTCTCACCCAAACCCCCCCTGCGGCATGGGCCTGGCTCCGACCCTCTCCTCACATCGAAGGACACTGAGCTGGCAGAGGCCACGGGGACTTGCCCGAGGCCATGGGGTCAGGGCTGAAGCCCAGGGACAGCCTCCTGCTGAGCAGGGCCCGTGCGGAGGAGTCAGTATGGAGCCCACACGTGTGCCCGCCTCAGTCACGGCTAGTTACTGTCATCCCAGCACAGGCTGCCTCCACCCGCCCGCTGAGGTCCGCAGAGAACATTCTGGACCCGCAGAATCCCTGGAGCGCCCTCAGCTCTGAGTTTTGACGCCTCCGGCGCTCTCTCTGGACGTCTGTCTGCTTTGTCTTTGTGTACAAACCAGCTCACGCTAATGTGCTCGTGGACTCCGTGCGGCGTGGGAAGGGGCGTGGGGACAGTCAGTGGGGAGAGCTGTAGTGTCCTGGCTGGACAAAAGGAAAGCCCCCAGGAGGTGGGGCAGTGCCTCTGGTGACCTGGCAGCCTCGCCTGGCAGGGAGCTTGCCCTGGGCTCTGGCTCTTCAGGGAAGGAGGGAGCTGTGGGGACAGCAGGGCGTGCTCAGGGCGGTGTGGGCCCCTCAGGATGCCTCTTATTTTCCTGGCTGAGGACTGTCTACACCCGCTCTCTCCACTCTACTGCCCTCCCTGGCCCGCCTCCCGCAGCTCCTGACAGCGCTGGGACCAGGACCCCATGTGGTGACAGCCACAGCTTCATTTTGGCCCAGAGCGGGCTCCTGAGCCTCAGGACTGTATATCCCAGTGGTCGGCAAACTCATTAGCCAACAGAGCCAAATACCAACAGGACAACGATCGAATTTTCTCTGGAGAGCCACATTTTTTAACCTTAAACTTCTAACGCCACTTCTCCAAAACAGACTCGCCCAGGCCGTGGTATTTCGTGGAAGAGCCACACTCAAGGGGCCAAAGAGCCGCATGTGGCTCGCGAGCCGCGGTTTGCCCACCACGGGTATAGCCACCTGCTTCCTCCCTGGTGGCACGAAGGTGCCTGGGGGGCTCTCCTGGTGGACACAGGGGCTCAGGGCATGGGAAGGCAGCAGTAGGACGGGTTCCGGGCGTGCCCGAGGCCTAGCACACCACACACACCCAGCCCGAGTCCGCACTCCACCCGGCCCCAGGCACAGGGCCTGGCACAGAGCAGGCGCTCAGCGGCTGTTTATGGAACCAAAGCAGAGCGCCGGCAGTGCCCGGCCTTTCTCACGCTGTACTCCCTGCAGCCCTCTGCCGACCTCCATGGCCCTGGCGGTGGGCGGGCACCCTGTCCTCCTGTACCCCCATGCTGAGCAACGGCGGTGGCTGGGAAATCAAAGTCGGCTGCAGCCCCGATTCAGAGGAGAACATGGCTGGCTGGGAAGACGCTTTATGTAAGAAAGAGGAAAAAATAGTCGCTCCCTCCTGGGGCCTGGGCTACAGCGGTTTTGGTGTCAGCTATTATCCAGCCTCTCTCAACCTACATCTGAGCCCGAGACGCCATCACGGGACGCTGATGGGCTTCCTATTTAACATCAGGCTCTTCAAGGAGGGAGAACTGGGGCAGGAGGGCGTGAGAGGGCCCGGGAGCCCATTGCTGAGGGCCAGCGGGGCTCCGCAGATGCCCTGGATCTGCCCGACGCAGCCTCTCCTGGGATGTGTCTCCGCGTTTGGAGGTGCTGGGTGAGCCCTGACAAGCACCCACCACTCCCTGTGCCCTCTTGTCAGGGGCCGCCCAGCCCTGCTTCCTCGGCCGCCTCTGCGGGGCCGCCCTGTCCTTCTGGGGGCTCTGGTCATGCCCCTTTCCGACTGTCCAGGGGTTGGGTGGGGTCTGGGACAGGCCTTTGGTTCTATAGCAGGTCACCTGGATTACAGCGGACATTACTAGTTGCTAGTCTGAAGGTTGTGTGCCCTCCCCCCACCCCCCCCCAAAAAAAAATGTTGAAAACCTAATGTCTAATGTGGCTGTCTTTGGAGGTGGGCCCTTTGGGAGGTGATTAAGTCCTGAGGGTGGGGCCTTCACAAATGGCATTAGTGCCCTTATTTTTTTAAATATATTTTTATTTATTTCAGAGACAGATAGAAACATCCATGATGGGAGAGAATCATTGATTGGTTGCCTCCTGCACGCCCCCTACTGGGAATCAAGTCTGAAACCCAGGCACATGCCCTTGATCAGAATCAAACCCGGGACCTTTCAGCCTGCAGGCCGACACTCTATTCACTGAGCCACACCAGCCAGGGCAATGGGCCCTTATAGAAGAGCCCCCAGAGAGCGCTCAGGCGCCCTCCTCATGCGAGGACACGTGAAGTCCGCAGCTCAGAAGAGGGACCTCACCGCACCACGCTGGCACCCTGACCTCAGACCGCCGTCCTCCCAGAATGTGTAAGCCGCCTGGCCCTTGGTGTTTTGCTACAGCAGCCTGAGCAGACTGTGACACCACGTCAGTCAGACAGGCCAGAGAAAGAATGATTAGCGTCTATGCACACGTGGGTGAGAGTCAAACAGGCAGCCAGGCACCACAGAGTGCTTGTTGTGTGACTCCATTTCTATGACGGTCACAGATGCAAAATCATCTACGACGGTGAAGTCCGAATAGCAGCTGCCTCTCGACAGGGCGGAGAGATGAGGCAGGGGGTGCATAGGAACCTTCCGGGTGAGGGAATCATCTATATTCTACCTCCTATTGTCGGTACTCGATTCGTCTGTATTTTGGCCAGGGTGAAGTGGTCACAAAGGCGTGTTCACAGGTACAGTGCATTGAGCTGTTCACGCAATACACGTTACGGTATACCTGCATCCCCCGCGTATACCTCAGGGGGAAAGAAACGCAACCTTCACAAATGCAGCGAGCGCAGGTCCATTAGGTACACACTGGGACGCCTGAGCGTTATCATGTTTCTCACAGGTCTGTCCTGGCACAGTGCTCAGCTCTAGAACATGGGAGCCACGCTCTCCAGGCCCACTTAGCAATCCAAACCCCGCCCACACGAGACAAAGCCCGCCCACATAATTCAAGCCCCGCCCACACAGCCCAAACCCCGCCCACACAATCCAAAATCCCGCCCACTAGCCAAAACCCGCCCACATAATTCAAACCCCGCCCATACACTCCTAACCACGCCCACACGAGACAAAGCCCGCCCACATAATTCAAGCCCCGCCCACACATTCCAAACCCCGCCCACATGATCCAACCCCTCGCCTACACTAGCCAAACCCCGCCCACATCCTTCAAACCCCGCCCACCTTGCGGCTGAAGTCCTGGGCCTTGCGCCTGCGCTCTCGGTGCACGGCGTCGGGGCGCTGGCGGCCGGCCAGGCGCAGCAGCTCGCGGCCCAGGAGGAGGCCGCGGCCCGGGCGCGGAGGCCGCAGGGCGGTGGCCGCGGGCGCGGGGCCGGGGAGCACGCCGAGGCTGGGCGGCACGCGCGGGCAGCGCCGGGCCAGGCGCACGAGGCGCTCGCGGCTCAGGCCGCCCACCGCCAGCCCCTCCACCTCCAGGATCTGGTCCCCGGGCCGCAGCCCCCCGGCGTGCGCGCTGCTGCCTTCGGCCACCTCCAGGACGAAGCAGGGCCCGGAGCCGCCCAGCCGGAAGCCGAAGTCCTCGGGCCAGCCCTGGTTGGTGGCCGGCATGGCCGCGGTGGCAGTGCGGCTGGAGAGGGGGACAGCACAGGGGCTTGGTTTCTGGTGGCCCCGTCGGCGTCCAGGCGTCTGGCAGGGCTGGCTGTCTGGGGGCTCCCCACCCCCGAATATTGAGTGCCGCCCCTCTTGCCTCCCCCCCGCCTCGGGTTGCTCACCTTCCTTGCTGGTGGCTGCAGGCTTGGCTGCAGGGACAGAACACGGTGCTTGCCGCTGGCCCTCTGCTGCTGGGGCCTTGGCATCAGTTACCGCCGCGCCCAGGGTGACAGCTGGAGTTTCTAAGGCAAAGTGATCCTCTGGGTAACCCGAGAAGGCCCAGGTACCAGGGGGCCCAGCGGGATGCTGGACAGCGCGGCCAGGGCCCAGAGGGGCCAGCCCTGCTGCCTGGTCCTGGGGGTGAGCAGGGCACACACACCCTCACCCCTCCCGGGGGCAGGAATGAAGACAGGGGAGCTGGGCCCTGGGCCGGGCTCGCCCATGGTTCCCGGAGCTTGACAGGTGGATCGAGAGACTTCATCTGGGCTGTTTTGGGGTGAGGGCACTGATGAGGTTCAACAGGGACACAGTCCCCCAGAAAGCACCACCGGAGCCCACGGGCCAGGTTTTCATGGCGGGGAGAGGGGGAGCCAGGCCAGAAAAATTAAAATATCCAGATGGAGGAAAAGATGCCGATTTAAGTAATTTGGGAAATGAGAGGCCAAAGGAAGTGCACAGACTAGGAGGCACTCCAGGGGTAAGGTTGCTTCCGGAGGAATACAGGCTAGCAGTTCTGGACTCACACCAGCGTGCACTCTGGCCTGGCACAGGGAGGGAAGTGGGTCTCGGTGGCCGTGTTTGTCTGGCGGAGCGGAGGTCACCGCCAGGCAGAGCGGGGAAGCACGAATGGTCCTGTGGTCCCGGGCTGGCTCCTGCACCCACAGACGGGCACGGAGAACGAGGCACAGGTGCGCGCCCAGGCCTGTATCTGAACTTGCGTTCGCTTCTCTGTCCGCAGCCCGGGCCTCGGCAAGGACACCCCACGGCAGCCAGCCCATCCTGTTCCCCCGTCACTTCCCAAGGAGGGCTGGAGAAATGGTGGACTTAGAGCTTGATGCAAGATGAGCCTGGAACACATTCTTCCTTTTTTTTTTTTTTTTTTTTTTTTTAATGTTTATTGATTTTTCATAGAGAGGAAGTGAGAGGCATAGAGAGATAGAAACATCCATCAGCTGCCTCCAGCACACCTCCTACTGAGGATGTGCCTGCAACCAACATACATGCTTTTGACTGGGATTGAACCAGGACCCTTCAGTCCACAGGCCGATGCTCTATCCAATCAGCCAACCGGTTAGGGCTGGAGCACCATCTAAGGCCAGAGAGTAGGGAAGTGCCACACACACACACACACACACTGTTCAAGGAGCACAGGAACCAACTGAAAATGCTCCCGAAGGCCGATGCTGCAACAAGAAGAGCAACAAAACACCACAGTGTGGGATTAGAACCCTGAGCAGGAAGTACACACGCACCCGTCCATCCTGGCACGGGCCACGGGTTAAATAAGTGACGGGAGGAGACCCATCTCCATGCAGAGGAATTCCAGGTAATTCACAGAGCATCGGAGCTGGGGCGTGACCCCGCCCACCAGTGTGGGCTGCACTGTGACTTCCTGCCCAGGGGGACAGTGGGAAGGGGTGGGGGAGGGAGTACCGTGACAGTGGACAAACCCGGTAAGCATGACCCCAGCCGGTGGTCAGGGTCAGCGTCAGCAGGGTGAATCGGGTGGCGGCGTGTACCCTTTGTTGGATGCAATAGAACGCCGCTATGCTGTGGCTTTCCTCCCAGTAACCATCACCAGTCTAACTACGAGGACCCCATCCAGCAAGCCCACAGCAAGGGCACCCTCAAAATACCCGGCTCTTCACAACTCAAGGGCATGCAGAACGAGGGAAGTCTGGGAAACGGACAGAGGTGAAGGGAGCCTCCGGGGCCTGGCCGGTTTGGCTCAGATAGAGCATCAGCCCCGAGGACTGAAGAGGACTGAAGGGTTCGATTCCAGTCGAAGGCACATGCTTTGGTTGCAGGCTTGATCCCAGGCCCCTGGTCAGGACATGGGCGGGAGCCAACTAATTGACATATCGATGTTCCTCTCTGTGTCTCTCACATTTCCTTCCACTCTCTCTAAAATTTAATGGGGAAATATCCTCGGGTGAGGGTTAACAGAGAGAGAGAAAGAGAGAGAGAGAGAGAGAGAGAGAGAGAGAGAGAGAGAGAGAGGACCTAATTACCAAATGTGATGGGGGACCCCGGATAGGATCCTGGGACAGAGAAAGAACATTCACTGGGTAAGAATATAAGGAAACTTGAGTGCGCTAATAATAATGGATCAACATTCGTCCCTCCGGTGACAAACGTGCCCCAGTCAGAAGGGAACTCTGCCCTCCCTTCGTGACTTTTCTGCAGATTTAAACTATTCCAAAATAAGTCTGTTTTTAAACCCTCTTCGTAGGATGTGGGGTGGGATGGGATAGACCAGAAGGTATTGTTGTCAGCATGATTGAGCTGGCTGCTTTCCAGAGTTCGCTTTACCCAGACAGGTGAGCCCGTGAGTGTGTGTGTGTGTGTGTGTGTGTGTGTGTGATGTGTCCATATGTGTCCTCTCGTCTCATGTACATTATAGATTCTGCTGGAGAGCTTACAGTACATCCACATATTAAAAAGAAAAGAGTCCTAGCAGGTTTGGCTCAGTGGGCAGAGCGTCAGCCTGTGGACTTAAGGGTCCCAGGTTCCATTCTGGTCAAGAGCACGTATACCTCAGTTGCAGGCTCCTCCCCGGCCCTGGTCAGGCATGTGCAGGAGGCAAGCAATCAACGGTCTCTTTCACATCCATGCTTCTCTCTCTATCTCCCCTCCCTTCGACTCTCTCTAAAAATCAATGGAAAAATAACCTCAGGTGAGGATTAACAAAAAAACAAACAACAAACAACTATAAATACCACACCAATAGGCTTCAGCTTAGACATTACTTTCTTGGCTGTGCCAATAACTAACAGTGCTCAGCACAGTTATTCACTAAGCACTTAGAAATCAGACTCCTTTTCACATCCTAAGAGCCCCCTACCTTTCCTCCACAGCACTCATCACAAACCACAGCCATTCATGCAGCACTGGGATGACTGTCTACTCTCAATATGATTTCTTAAATTTGCATACAACATATTTTTATTGATTTCAGAGAGAAAGGGAGATGGAGAGGGAGAGATGGAAACATCAGTGATGAGAGAGAATCCTTGATTGGCTGCCTCTTGCATGACCCGTACTGGGTATCGAGCCTGCAACCCAGGCATGTGCCCTTGACCGGGATTGAACCTGAGAGCCTTCAGTCCTCAGGCTGACGCTCTAACCATTGAGCCCAACTGGCTCGGGCTGTGCTATAACTTCCTGTTGATTTTGACAAATACGACATGTCATGTGTCCACCATTACTTTATCTTATGGGAGAGTTTCTCACACACACACACACACACACACACACACCGCCCCAAACACCTCCCTGCTTCATCTGTTCAACCTCCCTGCTTCCCAGTCCTCTGGCAACCACTACTCCCTTCACTGTCTCTGTAGCTGCCTTTTCTGAATTGTCACATACATGGAGTCCCTGAGCGGTTATGCATTTGAGATTCACCCATGTTTTTGTGTCTTTTTCGCTCATTTATTCTTTTATTTTTGTGTATCACCCCACTGTCTGTACCACCATCTCTTTATCCATTCATCTATTGGAGGACATCTTGGCTGTGTCCAGTTTGGGGGGGTTGAGAATAAATCCATTGTAAACATTCACGTCCACGTTTTTGTGGGGCCATGACTTCCCATCAGGCGGGTCAGGGCCTGGGAGTATGGTTGTTGTCCTGTGCGGTGAGACGACGTGGAGCTTGGCACGTCCGTGCCGTTCGGCACGCCCCCCAGCAATGGATGGAGCTGCGGGTGCTCCCCTCGCAGGCAGGCGGGCTTCTGACGGTTATACAGGTCTCAGTCCGAACAGGGACAGAGTTAACATCTTAATTTTCTCTTTTCTAATGTTAATGATGTTGAGCATCTTCGCATCTGGTAATCTGCCATCGGGGTACCTTCTTTGGTGAGGTGGCAGGTATTTTGACCATTAGACATACTTTTTGTAGTTGTTCAGTTTTTTCTTTCTTTTAAAAAAAATATATTTTATTGATTTTCCACAGAGAGGAAGGGAGAGGGATAGAGAGCTAGAAACATCGATGAGAGAGAAACATAGACCAGCTGCCTCTTGCACACCTCCTACCAAGGATGTACCTGCAACCAATGTACATGCCCTTGACGAGAATCGAACCTGGGACCCTTCAGTCCTCCGACCAACGCTCTATCCACTGAGCCAAACCGGTTTCGGCAGTTGTTGAGTTTTTTTCAATTTTATTTATTGTTGAGAGTATTACCGGCGATGTCCCCCATTTTCCAACCCCCTTTAATTGTTGAGTTGTAACTTTTTTTGAGGGGGGTATACTTTGGATATAAGTTCTTTATCTAGGCTTTACAAATACTTCCTCCCGGTGGGTAACCTGTATTTTCGTCTCTTAGCAGTGCGATCCACAAAACAAAGCTTTTGATTTTAACAAAGTCCAGTTTATTAAATTTGGGGGATGATGTTTTGGGTTTTGTATCTAGAAACTCATCACCAAACCCAAGGTTGGGTAGTTTCTCCTAATCCATTTATTTCTAGAAAACTCTGGAAAACATCCAGCCCAACCATGGCGCCCAGTCAAGAGTTTGTGGTTGCAGCTGATCAATGATTCTCTCATCATTGATGTTTCTATCACTCTCCATCCCTCTCCCTTCCTCTCTACAATCAATAAAAATAATTTTAATAAAGGAGTCTTGTGGTTGGTTTGAGTCTTCCACAAAGAGCTTTTTGTCCTTAAATAGCCCACAGAGCCGAAACCGGTTTGGCTCAGCGGTAGAGCGTCGGTCTGCGGACTGAAAGGTCCTGGGTTCGATTCCAGTCAA